TGTGAAATGAAGGCTCTGAGGTGCGATCTCTTTCTGAAAATGCATGGAGGGGGGAGCACACGTGCTACTGAAACAGAAAAACAATGTTCATGCAAAACAGTGGAGTGCTAGCTGTTTGTAAACTAAATTTAGGCTGCAAGTCAGAAACTTTGTTCCAGCTATAAGAAAGGAGTTGTGGAGGCAGGCCATGTTACCAGTTTCAAGCTGGAACTTGAAATGTTCCTGCCCAGGATTGTATGACACAGTTGCCTGCAATAGCATGGGAGTAGGCTTTGATGACCCCGGAGATCCTTTTCTGCCCTGTGTTCCAAAGTGGTGACCTTGAACTCAGTTCAACTCAGGTTATTGGTAAATTTTGTTTACTCTGAAGTTGGTGACTGGAAGATGACTTGATTCAAAAGCATCTGGTTTCTTAAAGCCACATCTCCCGGTTTACATTTCCTATTTGACTTTTCTTATCTATGCAGTGACATGTTACTGCTAAATTGCACAGAACTTGGCACATGCCCCAGATATACCCATTAGGAAGAAAACAAACAAGCACCATATAAAAAAAAAGACAGCGATATTGCATATGAAATGTGCTATGCTTGTTTATTCCAACAGCTGTAAGTTCAATTATTTATAAGAACACACTATTTCAGCTTGTGTTCAGTGCTGCCATTTGTTTCATGTAGCTGAGCCTTTGCTGCTCTCTCTTTGCTGTTTTAACACTTGCTGAGGAGTGTGGGGAGGCTGTGTTGTTCAGAATCAGTATGACTCTTCTGTGTACTGCTTATTCATAGTCCTTTCATGACATTTATTCTTAGGAGCATAATGTCTTCTGAAGGAATGACAGAATGTTCTTTAACTCTTAAAATAAAAATGACAGCCAACACGTTTCTCTCTTATTTCAGGATAAGAGAATAATGATACTTAGAGAGAGATGATTGCATGGGTTAACCTGCAGCTGCCTATTAGATTCTAGTTATTTTCTATTGCCACATTTCATATGACAGTGTGAGAGGTGCAGCAGAGATGTACTTTCCAGAGACTTCCTTTAAACAGAACCTCCTGGTAGGAGACACTGGCTGCAGCGCAGCCCTTTGCCTTCTTTCCAGCTTTGGGAACCCATGTTGCCAGCACAGCTGGTTGAGCAGAGGATCTGGATCAGAAACACTGGTGACAATGTGAGAAAGGGTCTGAGCCAGGGACTAAAAGACTGAGTGCCATCAGTGATGTATGAAATCTGACGAGTTTTTGTGATTGCCGATCCTCCCTTAAGTCTGAAAGTCTCTCGTTTTTCTAAAAGCCTTATCTCATAGATTATTTATACATAAGATTTTTTTCCTTTTAAATGCAGCCACTAAACTCTTAAAGCTCTTGTACATGGAGAGAAACTTTTGCAAATATAAAAACTCAAAACTGGGAAGCTAACGTAGGAGTCTGAGTCTCAGGGATTTAAGGGGCCTGTCTGATAAATCTTGAATGCTTGTGGTTAGCAATTGTTTTTAAATCCTAAGCAAGTCATCAAAGCTATCAGTAACAAGAGAAGAAACCAAAGGAAATTACTCTTCCCCACATGTACATTAGACCACCGAAAATAACCACTGCCTGTGACTCTTAGCTGAGATACCAGTGACTTAAGAGCGTGTGTCCTTACTTGGGACTATTAATGAGCTGTTTGTTACCTCTGGCCATTGCAGGGGGAGTACTTGAATGTTTAGAGCATGTGAGATAATCCAGAGACATGTTGCACAGCAGTAGTCACCACTTATCTGCATTCCTCCTAAATAGGGCTCTGAATCCGCTGTGCTGTGTTTCCACACCAAGTAGGGAAGGAGCTGCAGCCTTCGGAGAAATGTGCTGGGGTGAAAGGGAGGAAGGAGCCGTTGAACATCTGCCTAGATGCACGAGGGAACTGGCAAGGAGCTGGTGGACATTAAGTACAGACACTGGCATCTTCAGGACTACAGTTGCTGGCATATGCCCTTAGGAATTCATTACCTTTCATTGTGTTTTGAATGTTTGCAGCTTTGAAACCGTTGTTGCTACATCTGTCGTATTTCAGGAAAGGCATGAAAGCCTGGCAAGGAGACAGGGGACTGCTGGTTACGTCAGGGAGCTGGAAGGAGATACTTGGGTGATTTTGTGTGTGTGTGGTTTGGTTTTTGTTTTGTGTGATCTTGGCAGTACCAGTTTTCAGTTTCTAAGACTGACACGAGGGATCTCTTTCTGGTTCCTTTTGAATGGCTCAGTTACGAGGTGTGGGTGAGCATACTGCCCATGTCTATGGGACCGGCTTCGCTGTGTCTACAGGAAGTTCTCTAGAGCAATTGGGAGCAGCAAGTGCTTCCAGATCCATCCCTTTTGCAGCCCATGGGCAGGCTGTCTGGCTAACCTGGCAGAGATGCTCTGCTCAAGGATGCACCACCCAAATACTCGCAGAGCACTGACCTCGTGTGTACATCCCCAAGTGCTAGAGGGCAGCACTCTGCTGTGTGGGGGCCATGGAGCCAAATGTGCTCTGCCTGAACCAGGTGTCTGGTCCCAAGAGCAGCCTTAGGCTACTCCATAAAATACAGCATGGATGTAACAGCACTTCAGTGTGTGGTTTAGATTAAGCATGTGGGAGACAGGTAGGAATAACTCCGTAGCCCTGATGCCAAAAAGGCACTGAAGCATGTTCTCAACTTCAAACATGCACCATAATTTCTTCAATCTAAACAGCAGGTATTTCTACCTGTGCGCAGTGAATCTGCACAAAGAACTGCAAGTGACCTACATCAACTTTAAAATCAACTTTAAAACTGAACCTCTGGAGTTACAGGAGTTGAAGCACTCTGGACTGTTTATGGTAACCCCCAGCCCTCTGAATCCATTCTTTGTAAGGGAACCTGTGTTAAGTGTGCATTCACTGGAGTGCTTGAGTAATGCTGATTGGCTTCACAGTTAATGAACGCTGAATGCTTGTTATTTTAATTGAATTCTGAAATCAGAATGGGGATATGTAGAAAAGTCATTTTTCTACATCTAGTACTAATGAGTTTGTACACCTTCATTTAATTTTAGAAAGCTTATTTCTGTAATTGCAACTTTATTTTTAATCTCAGATCACTTTTTGTGAGAAAGTAATTTGTTCTTTTAAGGCGAAATAATTGAGGTTTGTAGGTGTAGGGTTTCTTGGCCTCTCCTCAGTCTCCTCTGCTCTAGGCTGAACAAGCGAAGTGACTTCAACCACTTCTCATACATCTTGCTCTCTAGATCCTTCACCATCCTTGTAACCCTTATTTTGACACTGACTGATAATTTTATACTGCGGTGCCCAAAACTGCACACAGTGCTCCAGGTGAGGTTGCACCAGGATGATCACTTCCCTCAACCAGCTGGCTGTGCTGTGCCTGCTGTACCCAGGATATGGTTGGTAGAAATCAAAGACAGATCCTGTATTGGCAGGCAAAGTAGGGAAGCGGGCCTTTAAGTTCCTGTTCAGGTGGTTTGAGACTGTACCCCCTGAACCCACACTGTGTTCTGGTGGGATCAGCTTCAAGTTGGGCTGTGTCTTGCTGAGCCTTCCCTGGCCCACAATGTATATCTTATGTGGACATTTTAATGAATAAAATAATTCGGTGTTGGTAGCTCTTCCTAGAGTGACGTGCCTGGAGCCCAGGTATTGGGTAGTTTTACAGACTAGTCTGTTACTATATCTGCTTGTTTAATTTTCTTTATTTTCCTTTTTGATTATCTGTTGAACATGCTCATTATACTCCGGCTGATACAAAATGAATACTGGATAAGAATGGGGGGATTTCGGGCAAAAGGGCAAATTTCCTTCCCTGAAGACAATTTCTACCTCTTACCATGCTGTATTGCTGATTCCAGTTCTAGTAACAGGAAAACAAATATCTCCAATTCTCTTCTTCAGCTTCTTGTTCCTAGCAACTTGGAAGGAGAGAAGGTGGGGAAGGTGTTGTATCCCCTTTCTCCCATGTTTCACAGATCAGTGTCTTTGGTTATGCACAATTGTACAGCTTGTGATACCTACTCCTATTCATGCCCTGGGATGCATTTAATTACCCGGAGTCACTCTTGCTCTCATTAGTGTTATTTTTTATTTTTTTTTTGTGGGAGTGGTTGAAAGGGTTTTGAATTCAATCTAGGGCCTTTAGAGAGTTAAGACATCCTGGCAAACATAGACATGTTTTGTAGACATGCTGTTCTTTCACTGTCGAGACCAACATCAACAGTGTGATGCTGTGAAAGCTGTTAGGCTGCACACATCAAATCCTGCCTGGAGTGGGTACTGGGTAAGAGTAGGCTCCACAGTTGTCCCCTGTAGTTTCTCATGACTGAAAATTGACTTTTCTCTTCCAGTCCCAGGCTGATAGTTTTTCCTCTCGGGTTGGTGATTTCATTGCCTTTGGTTCCAGGAGGATTAAAGCTTCTAATTTTAAGTTTCACTTATCAGAGTCTGTTCCTAAAGATACCAGTAGCACTGCAGGACTGGAAATGGTTAGCACAGAAGTTAATATGCATTTCTACAAATGTCTCTTCTTCACTGTAACATCTTCCAGAGGAGAGGCTGACTTTGATATGAGCAGCAGATTGTCTTGAAATCTGGCAGTGGCCTAAGCTGAGGGTTTTAGCTTAAAGATGGTCTCACTATGATTTTTTTTTCTCCCTGAAAGTGATACACTTCATATGTTAAAAGCTAACCAGACTTGTAATTTTCCATATATAGACATATGCTTTAATCAGTATCTCATGATTTGGTGTTGAGGATTCACTTTAAGGTTTGAAAGTAGTACCTGTAATTGGGTGGAAATACTCATCAGTTTCTGATGATTATGAATAAAAATTGTAACTGCTGACTGACATAAATTCGTTTGGGTTTTGAACTAAATTTCTTGATGAAACTACAATTCTTACCTTGACTTTTGTAGTGATTGTTCAGCATCGTATCTACTGCTGCCTGGGCAGGCATGAAAGAAATTAACCATTCTGTCTTTCACTTTAAACAGAGATAAACAAAATCCAGAAGTGAAAAGGGCAAGTCCTTCTGCCACAATGAGCTCTGGTAAGTCTGTTATTTTCTATTTGCAATCATTAGCCTACCTCTTCATTGATACATTCTTTTATTCTTCTTCTGCATCTTGGCAGGCAAAGCCCTGGCATCACAGAATGGTTTGGGTTGGAAGGGACCTTATAGACCATCTAGTTCCAACCACCTTGCCCCAGGCAGGGATGCCACCCACTAGGTCAGGTTGTCCAGGACCCTATCCAACCTGGCCTCAAACACCTCCAGGGATGGGGCATCCACAACATCTCTGGGCAACCCCGTTCTAGTGCCTTACCGCCTGTGGAGTAAAGGATTTGCTACTAACATCTAATCTAAATCTCCCCTCTTTTAAGTTTAAAGCTGGTATCCCATGTCCTATCACTACGATCCCTGATAAAGAGTCCGTCTCCAGCTTTATTGTAAGCCCTCTTCAGGTACTGCAAGGCTACTATAAGGTCTCCCTGGAGCTTTTTCTTCGCCATGCTGAACAACACCAGCTCTCTCAGCCCTTTCTCATAAGAGAGGTGCTGCAGCTCTCTGAGGAAAATCTCAGGGAACCTAACTATTGGAGAAAGAATGGGGAGGCTTCTTAATAAATAGCGTCATGGATTGACCTTTGCTGTGTTAATTTGGCGTATAAAGCTCAAATAACTAGAAATATTTTGAGACAAGGTAGGTCCCTTCAGCTTCTTTTACTTTGTAATACAAGATTAGAATTCAAAATTATTGTGACTACTTGAAAAAATAAAAGATCTGAAAGAAGTGGGTATGTTTTAGTAGTGGTGAATGCAAAATTTGACATCTGGACAAGAAAAATCAGCTGCTCAAACAAAAATGAGGGAAGAGGAAATGGGGCTAGTTGGCAAGAGTAAAACTGCTGGGCTTGTCTAGGTAACAGGCAAGCCACAGTGAAAAACTAAAGCAGACACCATATTGAAATGCCATATGTAGGACCCATGGAATAATATTCTCGACTGATTTTAGCACTTTATCATGTCTCAGCGGGAGTATCATGTCCAACGTTTAGCACCACATTTTGATAAAAACATGAACCATTTGGAGACAGCCTAGAGGAATTATAGAAAACTAATCAGAAGTCTGAAAAACACGATCTGGGAATTTGAATTAAAAGTTGCTAAAACTTTTACAGCTTGTAAAACACTGGAGTAGACTGCTCTAGGGTGATACCATAAGTTTGTAAGAACTGTTTAGGCAAATGTTTGTCAGCAATGACAGAGGTAGAGTTGTTTCTGCCGTGGGTCAGGAATAGAGCATTAGATGACTTTTGCAGGTTCTTTCCAGCATTGTCTTCTGTGTTTCTCTGAATTCACAAAAGCCAGTTTTATTCATGTCAGCTGAGGACCCTGCAGGCTCACATCTCTCTTTTTCCGTAGAGAACATTGTGATCTTTATATTGGCCCTGAGTTCAGCAAATGTTTTCTCAATAAGCTGGATTTCACATTAAATTTCCTTCAAATCTCATATTTGAAATGGTGCAAAAGAGTTATCCCATCAGCTTTAAGAAGCAAGGCTTCAGTGTGAAAGATACTTGTAGCAAAAGGTGGTTGTTCTCCTTGTTCCCCTTGGGCCCAAAAGTCAGTAATTATTGGGAAATAGCAAAGCAGTCCAGAGTGCCATAATGTAGCATGCAGCTTGAATACTGGGGATTGCAGGCCAGCTCCATTATCTTTGGGTTTCTACACACATCTGGCTGATGCAATAGTGAAGAGTATTTGCTTTTTCCCGTGCTAGAATGTGTATGTCCCGTTCAGAGCTGGAACACCTCTGAGCTGGGTGCAATGTGCACGTATAGAGAGAGTCCCCGGTTAAAAGAGGCTGCAGTCCAAGTAGGCAAAGAGGAAGGAGAAACAGAGCTGTCATTCGAGGGAGATCTGTCTCCAAGCAACATCTCATGAGACAGTAGGAATACTACCTAACTCCTGAATCAATAGCTCTGACCCATGGCATAGTCAGATTTTAAATTCAGTTGCAAATACTTTAACCCAGAAATAATCTGTTTCTTTGTTTGTCTTGCAGAACACAAAGAAATTGATGTTGCAAAAACTGTTGTGAATGGGCTTAGCAGCAATGGACAGGACAAAGGTGGGTTAAGAGCTTCAGACGCACCTCTGCAGCTCCCCCTGCATGTCAACTGAGTGATGTGGTTGATTTCCTGGGCATTCACTGCAGCAGGGGTTTCCAAATTTAGTTTGCCTGGCGACTCATACAAGAAAGGCTTTGTTCTACAGCATGCCAGCAGCATTTTTTAGCTGAACAAGTGTTCTTTGTCTCTTAAGTAACAAAAGGTGACAGGCTAGATTTGCATCTTTGTATATTTCCAGTGCTGTTTTGAAGAAATATGTGCACTGCCTGTGTTAATTGTCACCACCTGAGAATCCATATTTCAGTGTGTTTAGACAGCATGGATTTTGGGGTACCTATGTATGAATCCTGTTCATTTCAGAGGGAGGTGAAGGTTTGAGCCCAGGATTAAAGAGCTGGAACTAACTGTTTAGGTAATGAAGAAATCTGTCATTAGCAACAAGGATTTTAAATCCCAGCTTACCTGAACAAACTGGTCATCACGTTAATGTCAACAGGTCTGAAGCGTGCTTTACAGCATTCAATATTGTATAACGATGGGGTGTGTTTTGGCACAGTGAAAGTATATGAGTGTATGGGTTGGTTGTCTGCAGGGTTCATTTCCTTTCTTTTCCTTTGATGCCTTTGTATAGTGGTTAGTATTTTGACTGCTTTGTAGATGGCTGAATTCCATCAGTTACTGAGAAGAACAGAATTAAGGTTTTTCCCCAAACTGTAGACTGTTTGGAGTTGGGATCTATTGTTTTCACAGGATTTGCAGTGTTCAGGGAGAAGCTTGGAGAACAGGGTTTGATTTGGGTTCCTTTTTTTAATACAAGTGGATTTAAAACCATCTCATCAAATAAAAATAACAATTTTATCTGGAGTTAGAAAAAACTCTTATCAAGCTCTTCTCCTATCCTCTTGCTTGAAATCCCTTTGCCAGGTTGAAATCTCTGTTTTCCAGTTTAGCCTGGGACTAGAAAGATCCCCCAAGAGGGGGTGTACACACCATCCTGATGTCCATGCCTGCCTCAAAGTGGCCCAGCACTGAGAATTGGTGTGTTAAATATTAGTAATGTAGTTCTTGCTCCTGATTATGCAGGCCTGAAGGAGGTGGAAAGAAGGGAGCACCTGGCATTTTCCTGTCAATACTTGCAGAAAACTAGCAGGTTTTAAAGGAGAAAATTCTGGATCTACAGAAATCAACAGTACAATTCATTACTCTTGTGGAGCTGTGACTTAAAAGGTGTTTATCTTGGCAGGTCTCGTTAAGCTTTACCAATGAGTAGGGTGTTTTTTGTTGTCGTTTCTAATAGTTCTACGTTAGTAGCAATAAAGAGTTGGAGAGGAAGTAGCAGGTATTCTGGAGAGTTTTGCAATAATTGCTAGTACTTTGCACAGTGTAATATGATTTTCCCCTGTGTTACTATGCCTGGCATAATTAGTATGCAAAATGGTGAAGTGCAGTAGAAATTTTTAATTCTTAAACTGATATTTATTTCTGAACTGGGTATTTGATGCTGCACTCTGTCATGAGAGTGTTTTCAGGATTATTTTGTGTTTCTCTACTCTCTGTTGAACTTGTAAAGCACGTGCCATAAAATCCAGAATTTATGTAATGCGCTAGTTTAATTATCCACTCTGAACTTCTCCATCTTTGTGTTTTTTTCACTTTAACTGAGCCGTTTTAACATTGACTTAATATTTTTATTTTTTTGCATGTAGTGTGTCTCAGCAAAATGATTACACTAAAAGTTTTTGATGGCTTCTAAAAACTAATGCTTTCAGATTCTCATCCCCTGCAGCGCAGTGACAGTCAGCAGTTAGTCGATTCAGTAAGCAGTTCTGCACACTGCATAAAACAGACACGTCCTGATTTAGGACAAGCGAAGGGATATTTTTAACGGTTGCATCAGTGCTCTCTGGACTGCTTTTGTATTTGAAATTTCCTGCTATTGTGTCTCCAAGTACATTAGAAATTTTTGTGGCATGCTTCCCAAACTCTGTTCTTCCCTTTTGGATGTGCCATTTACACTTTTGTGTTTGCAGCTGTTGATGTCCCTTTATATACACGCTCTATTTCTGCCGTTAAAATAATCCCTGTGAAGAAAGTGAAAACTTCTCCTCACCTAGTGCTGCCTACAGGTATCTTCTCCCCACCCCAGCCTCTCCTCCCTTCCCCCCCTCCTCCCCCCCGCATTAGTTGGCCATCCATCATCTTTCTCTCTCTCTGTCTGTCTCCTCTCTCTCTTTCTCTGCTTCACCCACATGCTTTGGCTAGTTTTCAGCTTCATCCTTCTCACTGTTTCCAGAGCTGTGGATTTCATCAGTAGGTAATAAAGTTAGCTCCTGACGGCACAATGCACTGTTCTCAATTATGCTGCTCTTCTGCAGACATAATTGTGTCTACTTGAATCTGGGATCGTAGTAAGCTCTTCTACTAATGCTTGGTTATGAATGATATTGTTAGTACAGCCTCATTGTGAAACGAGCTCCTGATGAATCAAAGAATATTTCCTGCCTATCTTTTAGTTTTTATGAAAGTAAACAGACATCTATGCGCACGCTGACTTTATCCATGTAAAGAATCTGTAAATAAGGATGTCAGGCTCTGTTATACCCCCCGCCCCCAAGCACATGTTTTCCTGCTAAAAGTACAAAATTATTTTTGTACTCTGCTGGATTTGGACAGTCATGCTAGGTTAGCTGATACTGCTTGTCTCTTCTGATCTGCCACACATGTTTTGCTGTAAGAAGTACAGGGCTGATGTCCTCATGTTTGTTAACATCTGGTGGACTCCTGTAATGAGAGATCTGGATATTTGTTTTATTTTTCACCTAAATTGTGAGGGACTTCAACATCTTAGCTGTTTGTCTTCCTTTCCCAAAGTGAAATAGTCTGACAACTTTATTTTCAACCCTTTTTAAAACACCCTGATTTTTTTGAGTTCAGACTTTTTTTTTTTTCCCAACTCTTACTGCTTTGATTTGTAATACATTTGTAATTTGTTATATTATAGTGAAGTGCTTTGGTAGTATCCCATGAGAATTTCTATTAACTTGATTGGTTTCTTAATATTTTTATTTTGTTGAGTCACTGTTTTCAAACACAACTTCTAGTGGAAAATTCTCGGCAGATTACATCTATATCTGGATTTTTGAAAACTCAAAGTTCAGGGACGGTCAGATCTGATGAGAGAAATCCAGTCCCATCTCTTAGTTTTTTTTTTATGGTAAGCTTAAGAGACTAGCTAGTGAATGTTTTTCTTCACACCATGGTAGACCTTTTAAAAGTGTTGTTTTATGGACCCTGAAGGTTAGAACTATGCATTTGAGTATTCACTCATCAATGATGATTTGACTATTGTTTATCCAGTTACCTCTGGAAGAATAACGAGCAGCAATATCCTATTGCTGTTAATAACAGTGGCCAAGATCATACCTGACACCTCACCAAATCACAATGTATGTGCAATATTTGTTGCAAAGCAGCCCAGCAAATGTGATAAAAGAAGCCTGATACAAACAAGGAGAGTGTGCAGCATTAACCAAACAAGCAAAATAGTGGAGTCAGAGCACAGAGGAGAGTTTCAGGATCCAGCTGTAGTTCAGTGCTGGTTTTTGGGTGTTGGCCTTAGTCCCTTGTGCAAGCTGCTGGTATTTGCTGGACAGCACAGGTGAAGTCTTCCATGTCCTGCTAAAACATCTCTCCTCAATCTCTACAGAGGGGTCAGTCCCAACATTTTTCTCTATTGTCAAGGGTCCTGCCACCCGAAACTTAGTATCTAAATGGAGTACAGAAATGACAAGAGGAGTCAGGCACAGAGCACTTACTGTTTTTTTCCTGGACTAATAGTCCGTGGTCAATTCCAGGGTTCTTTTCCTCCAATATAACGGAGACACTTCTATTTTGTCGTGAGCTCTAGTTTTTTTTTTTTTCTCTCTCCAGTGCATGTGAAGGGTATATAGGGGAAGAATGTAGAACAACAGCAACCCTTTACTCTGTGGATGTCTGAATCAGGTGTGGTGACTCCCAGCAATATATCTATGCCTCGGTCAAAGTACTCTTGAAACTGGATTCACAGAGCTTAAACCTTGGTACTCTGGTTTGAATATGAGTCCAAAGAGTCCTGAGGCTGCGTGTTGTGCTGTGTGGATGTGAAATGTAGCCAGAAATAGTGTCCTGTACAAGAGCATTTCCTAACCTTGTTCTGCATCCAGTTCTTCAGGACTTTTTCAGAAACGATAGCTTCAGGTAGCAGATTCACGTGTAGGACTACAGGAAAGGTGGATTAAGTAGAGAATCAGGATATTTTCTATCAGTACAGCCTTTACTTAATTTGCAACATTGAGGCAGCCTCTAGAGGGGCAAAACTATCTACACAGACGTATTAAATGCTTCTCGGTCAGAAAAGTCACTTTCTATTTCAACAGCCATGTGGGTGACCTTAAAGCGTGGTCAGTTGTGTGGTATGAGGGTGAAGTTGGCATACTTCAGCAGCATTTGCTAAGTGTGGATCCGCTACCTGAAACTTGTTTTTGAGAAAGCCCTAAAGCATTGAAAGCCTAAGTAAAAGCCTTCACCATGGTGATTCTAGTGTCAGTCTTTTCCCTTACTGCTCTTGTCCACCTCTGCTCTTGGTGTTTCATTACGTTGTGGCAGTGTTCTGCAACCGTGGCAGAGGTGTCGTCATGGTCTGCAGGCATGATGTGGATGTAGTTGAGCATTGTCTTACTGATGTCAGCCAGGCGATGCAGTTTTGCAGTAAGCATGAGCTGTTATTTGGGCAGCAAGCAGCAGCTTTTGCCCCCTCTGTCCAGTCTGGAGGCATAACTGTCACTATAATAACACTTCCTAAAGAGCAGCTGCATTCCTCCTGGGGCATAGGGAGCTTAATCCTCACCCCGTAAAGTTAAAAATCATCATGTTGTCACTTGTGCAACACAGCACATCCTCAGAACACCTTCAGGCTCCATGTGTGTTGTCATGGTAGGACAAGCGCTTCTGTTTAGGTAGGTCAAAATGAGAAGTCTGGCAGCTGCAGGGGCAGTAATAGTGCATAAGAAAGGGAGGTGATGTGTTTTGCTGTGGAAGTAGCTTGGGTAAGTAAGAGTCTCTTTAGGCTTATTGTTTCTACAGATATGTTAGAGGAAACAACTCTCCGGAAAGGTTTTTAAATAAGGGTAAGAAGATAACAAACTTGAACTTCAAGGATAATGAATAGGATGACAGGGAAAAACCCCAAACCATGGACTGAAATGCAAAAGGCTAAGTGTGCACTGACGCTGTGCTGAATCAGGCCTTAGCCAGAAAGCTGGCATGACCTGGTGTTGTGCTCCACAGGGTGATCTAAGCAGGTATGTTAAATCTCCTGCTTTAGTGATTTGGGTTCCTGTGTCAAAAAGCTGCAATACCACCATGAAATGGGAGGAGATGGCAAGGAGGTAGCTTGCATTGTCCTGCTGTTAGATTGTATTTGGCATAGTTGCAAGACTTTGTCCTCCAGTAGGCCTAAGTCTTTTTCAGTCCAGCACAAAAGGAATTTTTAAGGCCTTAGCATGAAAATCCTGTTGCTTTATACCACTGTGACATCCCTACAGAACCTACAGAAAAGTCTTGGGTATAATTGTGTCCTGCTAATTCATGCAAAGCAGGCCTAATAAAGCAAGTGGACTCATTAAATTTGGTTCAAACACTCATGCTTTTTTCCTCCTCTCTTAGCTCTGTTACACTGGCTCAGAACTTATTTCTACGTTCATCAGTTACTTGAATACAAAACTGCTTTGATTTCTCAATGCTTTAAATCCAGAGCTAATCTTCATCAACATAAACATTACTAGATCAAGTCACCCAAAGACAGCCATGCTAAAAATACTCCATAGAGCTCTGATGGCTTCTAATAGTTTTCATCTAATATCTCTTTCAATGTGTCTCCTCTGGGCCTGTGCATTTCCTGTAGAAATGGATCCCACTAGAGTCTGCAGCGGAAAAGGAGCTGTGACCCTCCGGGCATCTCCAGCCTATGAAGAGAATCAGAATCTCTCTTCACCGTGTCCTCAGGATGCTGAGCAACCTGAAAGTAAGTGTAGTGGGTGCGAGGTTAACTGGAATATGTTACCTCATGGTAAGCTCATATGAGGTCAGTCCAGAGTCCTGGGAAGGTGTTGTTGTTTAACTTTTAAACTAAGACTTAAAGCCCCAGATCCTGTACTAGTCAGAAACCTCTTGTAAGACCCAGACCAGCAGAGGGAGATGAAGTCCTGCAGTCTCCTAGAACAGGTTTCATGACCACTCACTCTTTGTCTATAGCTTGCTTACAGCTCCCTTTCGCTGTCAGGAGCAGCAAAAAATCTCAGCTGGTTGGTATTCTTTAGTTCTGTTTTCCTGGCAGGCTCCTATCCACCTCCTTTTATCCCAAGCCAAGGTGGACCAGAAAGAGGCTGGGTGGTGCTGCTGCCACCACAGCATTCACTTGGGTTGTCAAGGCAGCAGGGATGGCATCCCAGACAGGCAGTGTCGCCACAGAGTTCTGCCATCGTTCAATAGCAGACGTGTAATTACTTAATTGTAGGAGACAGGCAAAGCATAATAAACCTGTCCAGTGTCGTGGGTCTGGCAGAGAGGATGAACTCCCAAAGGCAAGATGCTGTTAAGGGGAAAGAGGGGGTCAAACTTGCTCCTGAAAGCAAAACACACATCATTTCTGGATGCATTGTTGTAGGAAGGGTGATTCCATTAATTCCAGCCTCAGTGTGCCACTTTCTGCTCTGTCTTCTCCTCCCCCTTCTGCTCCACCTATGACCTCCCCTCTTTTCATGCTTGCCATTCCCTATTTCTTCATTCCTGCCCCCCACCATTGCCTCACTCCTTTCTGCTGATGGCTTCATAAATTTCCTGCAGCCTGAATGGCAATGAGCCTATTACTATGGAAATGAGATCATTAATACTACTTTTGCTTACTCTCTCAGTCACTTTATGAAATGTACTTTGGAGCTGGAAGTCCTTTTTGCATGTAACTCGAACAGCAAAATGACTAGCAGGGGGAGAGTCAGTGGGGAAGAACCCAGTGGGAGGTGGGTAAATAGTTGGTGAGACTAAAGCATCTGTCTGCAGGGACTCGGTTGTAAAGTGACGTTGTATTTTATTTTTTTTAATCCTCTTCATATGCGTGCCCTTAGTCATCAAAACCTGATCTGTTTGCTGGCAGTCCTCTCCCCCTGTTAATCATACACAGTGATGTTGACAAGGGTAGATATCTCTTCATAGGCTCTATTAGGGCTGAATACGGGGTCCCTGTATTTCCAGTAATGTGTGGTGTTTGGACTTAAAAGCTGCAGCTTTAGAAACTAGCTAGCTGGGCTGCCTTTTTGCCTCTGAAATAAGAATGTCAATGAACAATTGTTTCTTCATTGCTCTGAATGAATTGCCTTGTGTTTACAAAGGTCAGAAACAAGGAGGGCATCATGTTTAGGGCTGGTCTCTATGGTAATTAGGCAGCCCTGTCAGAGAGCATTTTATGTGTGAAATGAAGTAATTTGACTCTTAACTTCAGTTGGTACATGTTTTCCGTAAATGTAACAGTTTATTTCTTCCCCCCCACCACCCCTTTCTTTTCCTTTATGCTTATCCTCCACCCCCATCTCTTCTATCCCTCTTTTCTGTGAAATGCCTAGGTCTGGAGCCAGAAAACACAGAAACAGGTACAAACATTGGCTGCATTTGTTGTTGCTTTCTTGGAAGTATTTCTTGTTGACTGGAAAAAAAAAAATCCCCTCCTTTCACTCATTCTGTAGCTGGAGGGAATCCTCTGTGATCTGACTTTCTTCCTTCTGCTTCTAGATGATTGGAGGTCATCATCTACTACTGATGCCAATGGGGATGCCCAACCGTCTTCTCTGGCTGCCAAGGGCTACAGGAGTGTGCGTCCAAACCTTTCCTCAGACAGCAAGCCACAGGTAAGCCTTTCTTCTGCGGCTCTGAGGGTGATCTTCTGGGTTCAAGCACTCATTTCATGGTCAGGAGTCCTGGGTTGAACTCCAAGCTTTGCTGCAGACTTGGGTAAGTTGCCATGCCTCAGTTTTTCCTACCTGTCAAACGGGGACAATGCTGATGTCAGCAGAATGCTGTGGAGCTTTTGTGTTCAGACAGACCACAGTGTTTCCTTGGTGGATGAAGAAGGGTAACAATGCTATTTCTTTGCAAGAAAAAGGTGAAGTAGCCATCTATTAGTCTGTCTTTTGTGTTGGTTTATTTCCTGCTGCAGACTGAAAGCAAAGTTAGACAGGATATTAAAACAAGTTACTGGGGAAATACCCTTCAGTTTTAATGCTGTAACTGATACAAGCCTTCTAAGGCTATCAAGGGAAAGGTTATTTGAACCCTAAGATAAATTGCTGAAATGAATCTATTAAAAGAGGTGTAACTTCATCCTTTTTCTTCTGGGTGGTTGGTCTGTAGAGAAGCAGTCTGATAAGGAAGCCCTTTGTTAGAAGCTGCTTTCTTGTATGAAATGGAGTCCCTTGGAAGTCCCTTTGTCTCCTAGCAGGGTGACTTCTCCCATCATCAGGGACCTGTAGCAATGCTACAGAACAGACACCGTTCTTGAAATTGTAAGTGAAAGTGGAATATGGTGCAGCTCAGAAGATGATGGGGAAGGGAGCAGCACCCTAATGAAGAGGTCCATTTACTGTCTGATATTTACAGCTGTAGTCACTTACTGATCTTGTTGATGAACAGACAGAGCACTGATGCAGTTGGTAGTTCTTACAGAAGTCACAAGGACTATTGTCTGAACAGAGATGAAATGGAACAAAATGGAAAAAGGAAATTGCAGGTAGTAAATTAGTATTTCCTGATACCATACAGTGATAACAGGAGGCTTAGCCCAATCATTTAGGGAAATACTGTGGCAATTTGAATTCTTCCAAACTGAAGCTACTTTCCTTAAGGAACCAAAAAAGATGAACCTCTTCCAAAGCCAGAAGCCCTTCAAAAGGAGCACCTACCAACTCACTTCTGCAGTTCTTGCACATCAGGGATGAGGATGAAAGAGGAGTAGCATGAGTTCAGTAGATCATGAGACAGTAGCTGCAGTTTTATGAAACTATTCTAAACCTATATCCATGTAACAAGAATATATGCTGGTCCCAATTCATCCTGCTGTGTGGATGAATTTTAAAGGTGATATTCTTTCAGATTTGGATGTTGTCAACTGTTAAGGCATCTTAATTCTCTGCTTTTTTTTTGTGTGTGTGTGTGCATTTTAAACTATTTTAGCAGTGATTTAGCCAGTGTTAGCCCATAAAGATACAACAATGGTGTGTATGTGTAAAACCTCCTTTTATAGTCTCCAGAGGGTTAACTTGCAGGAATGCAGGGAGCTACTGTTCACTAGGCTGGTGTTTTAGTTCTATTCTTTTCAGTAGTTCATTAGTTTTGGCTACTGGCAACAACAAAGAAAAAAAAAAAAAACAAAAAAAACAACTTTCTATTGCATTGTTACTTTACTTCAGAACAATCTGGATTTCAGCAAAAATTCACTGTGGTTGGAATTAGAGTTTCAATCAGCAGGCAGTTATGGAGTACCAACATGTTGCAAAGTACCAAAAAACAGTAAAGCTGCTCCCCTAACCCTTACTCCGCTTTCTCACCCCTATTTTGGTTCTGGAGACAAATTATGATCTCAGTTTCTCAAGAAACTTTAATTGTTCTGGTTTTGTCAAGAGCATTTTTAAGACGGAAAAGTCCTGAAGAAAACTTAAGAGCCAGTTTTTCAGTGGGATAAATGCTGACTTTTTACTTAGTCATCTGTGACAATCCATTGTGTTCACAAGATGTTTGCTTTCAATAGCCCTGGCAAAACTGCGTAACATTCATCTTCTGGCGATGCACTTAATGTGAAGCAGAGATGGGCTAGAGCTCTGAATTCAGCTTTGTGATTCAGATGTACCCAGTGCTGGAAAGCATGTGGTTACAGAGACATGAGCCAGGGTTTAGTTCGCCAGGATGTTAGATCTTAATTCAGCAGTGTGTAGGCAGGGCCTTGAGATCTGAGTAATGCTTGTGTGCTGCAGTGAGCAGTGCTGAGAGAGGCTGTGTGAGTTGATGTATGTGGATGAGTTCTGCGCTGGCCTTCCAGACACTGTATTTGCTTTTTGTTCTTGCTGTATTAAAACCTGCTTAACCCAAGTCTAATGACCGAATTCATTCTTCAAATTTATTTTTTCCCTCCTTTTTTCTTTTCATTTTGTGCTGCTTCTTCTATCCCTCTGTTGCTTCTTGACTCTGCCTGGGCAGGCCCTTCCTCCTCCCCGTCCCCCTCTTCCCAAAGAGGAAAGCTTTGCATGGCGTCCTCGCACTGACACTAAAGTGACCAACCTGCTGCCGGTGCCCATCATGGACTGCGTGTACCTGAATGCGCCCAAGCCTTATGCGCAGCGTGCATCACCAAATGCCAGTGCACGGACTTACTTCTCATCACCCACCCCCTATGGGGCAGTCCCCAGTGGGAAGCAAGGCTTGCCAGCAGGGCATTTTTCTTCAGGTTCCAGAGATGAGGTGCATGCTGGGCAGCCACTCTCGGAAAGTTGCTCCTTGTCAAATGCATCATCCATACAACGCAGCTCTGACAGGGCAGATCCCAGTAGTAAGGCTGGAATGAATTCCAGTCATGAGACGAAGGCGGATAAAAAGGTCACCAGACTATATGTAGCTTGTTTATCTAACAACACTTGCTCGGCCGCATCTGAAAATTCCACTGGCACCACACATGACCCAGCAGCCAGCACCAGTTTGGGTGCTGAGCTCACTCAGGCACCAGCCACCGATATTGTTTCCTCTGTACCGGGAAAAGCTCTTCCTGCTCCTTCTCCTCCTCCTATTCCTCCCAGGCCGTACTTTTACATTGTCCTCAATAAAGACGCAGTTAGTTATGGTGCGGGCCAGCCTTCCTGGACTCAGTCATCACCTCCGCAAGCTTTGAGGGAGAAAGTGCTAGAGCCCCAGAGCACAGCTGCCGCAGAGGACAGAATGAGAAAAGAGCCTTACCTTACTCAGCAGCGGCAGCCGCCGTACAAGGCAATGGGACGCAGCATGGTACATGTTTTCTCTGTAACCTTGTTTTCTTTCAGCCACGTGAACGGTTCTTTAATTCATTGTAATGTTCCCTTAATGCTTTATCCCCCTCCTTCCTAATTTCTGAGCATCTGATATGCCACCTGAGTCTTTTGGTCTTCCACCTGATAATATTTAACACTCTGTGCCCCCCAACATTGATCTGTGTGTTTGTGTGTGTGTGTTGTTTGCAGGGGGTTGGGTTGGACTGGTTAGGATCTTGCTATTTTAGGAAGGTGTAAAAGGATGAAACTCTGTAATGGGATGGTTAGTGCTTCTCAAGTGATGGGTGAGTGCAGCACTGTTTTGTGGTTTGATTTAGCCTCACTGCAAATGACAGGAGAGAGGGGTGGTGAGGGGAAGGAAGATATATTTTTATTATTTATTATTATTATTTTTTGCAAGAAGTTGTGTGTGTGTGTTCATGGAGGCCAAGGCCAAAAGACTGAAGAAGTATGTTTCCCTAGGGAAAGAAAATCTGCTGGGGCTTTATATCGTTTTGGGTGCATCTTTGCATGACACTATATGGCTGCGTTAGACTAAAGTACCGGTCTTCCCCATTGCATAACAACACCTTGTTTCCTACAGGATGCCACTGCCACCACCACAACTCAGCCTGGAGTTATAGTAGTCCCCCTCCTCCAGGTTAATCCAGACAGACAGCAAGAAGGCAGCTCCAGCACTCCACCACCGCCTCTGGTTCCTTTCGGGCAAGGCTCCGTATTCCCTGAGACTGTTTCTCCTGGCACACCCTTGACTTTTCCGACTTTAGATGATTTCATTCCCCCACATCTCCAGAGGGGTCTCCACCATAACAAAGCACCCTCTCCATCTGACACATTGCCCTCTGCTTACCCGAAACTGCCATTCTTCTCATCACCACCTTCACTTGTCCCTCCGGTAACGGGGGCTTTGCACAGGGGCTTGAAGCCTGAAATCACTGGAGTCATCTCACGTACAGTAAGCTTGCCAAGTACCCTCCTCACCCTTTTCCTAAATTTATATACCCAGATAAAAATGACTTTCTCCTTGGCATACTAAACTTGAGAGGAGTGATGACTCACTCCCTGCTAGCAGCATGACAACTGAAACCTTGTTTACGTCCTGTGCTAGTGCATGCATGTTGCCTGCCTTGTGCAGCTTTGAACTTCTTATTGACTTCTCCTACATGACATTTGACTGTCTACCTTTGTGTCCATTCTGCTAGGTGATACATATCTTAAGAGTGTTCACCAAAATTATCTGAGAATAATTAACTGTGTAAACAGAATAGCTGCGACTAACTGATCTCTTCAGGCTCTTTTAATAGCATCATTAATTGTGTTTCAATAACATTTGAAGTAGTGACAGCAGATCAGTTAAAGGTTAGGGCTGGCTTTCTGTTCCACTTGGAGCCACAAGACTGTATGGTGTCTACACAAATTCCTGCTGAAGGCAGTGTAAGATTGCCGGTATTCAATGACCTAGAAGCAATAATATCAGTTACTGAGCTAAGACTCTACCAAGTACGTAGGTGCCATGGGATAGATCAGGGGAGAGTATCTGTTCAGTTTGGAATTCCGTCTTTCACGGAAGTCTTCACAGTTTTCAAAATGTACTGCAGTAATTTCAGCTTGAACTTTACTGCTTTCTTCCTGGGTTATTTTTTTTACAAGCTCATCACCTTCTTTTAAAAAGTCTTTAGGAATAAGGAGGAAAATGGCTGTAAGTTAAAGTTGCAGAACAGGAGGGAAAAAAAAAAAACCTGACCCTCCTCCCTCCTTGTAGAGAAAGTCTTAAAACAGCCAGATCTCTTATATGGCAGCTTGAGGGCAAGTAAGCAGCTCAGCAAATGTTCCCTTCTCTTAGGATGGTACTTCCTTTACTTTCTTTGGCCTTTGAATCTATATTCAAACATGTGCCCTGAACAGGCATATGGGGACAGGGCACAAAGGGAAAAAAACAACCAAGGATGATTTTTTTTTAAAGTTTTTAGCATTGGCCTTTCTGCTCCTGCTGGAATCAGTGGGCTTTTATTGTTGAGAATAGTAGAAGTATTTTTATGGAGCCTGTCTGCAGGCATCAGAAAAATTCGGCAGGCATCCAAATCATAGGGGAGTAGTAGAAATTTTTTTCTACCTGGCTTTCATATGATGAGTTTTGAAACGTTATTTTCATGCATTCTCACTTCAGGCATGTGGCCAGAGAGCTGTTTTCCACAGTGATTTAAGTGGTCTTTGTTCACCTAGATTGGTGACTTAACTGGGACTCCTAAGCTTAGGAGTCCCCTTCTCTTTTTAGGATTCTTTCTATGTTAGTTATCAAGGTGAAGCTCAAGCATATCTCTCCTCCCTCTCCCAGATTGCATTGCTGAGAATATTGTCCCAACCAGTGAAATAGGGCAAAATGTCTCTTAGACCCTTATTTCTGAAGACTGTTGGTTAGAAACCTTCTGTTCTGTCCTTACGAAATGTCTATTGGCTGATCAAGATGCTTCTTGGAGCAACATAGCTCTATCCAGCCTACCCTTCTCCTCTAGGCTGGACTGACTGTAGATGCTTCTTCAGATTACAGCAAATTCTTGGTATGATTTGTCTCTGATCTCTGGCCCAGGCTCAGCCCCTTATCTGAACCTGTAAGTCCTTTCCACTGACACTGGTGGGTGTGAAGGGCACTGACTTGCACATAGCCGTAAACACCAGGAGAAAGGATTCTTCTGGAGTAATAGTCTGTCTATTGATTTTTATTTTTTTTCAACAGTGATTAAAATCCCCCTGAATGCTCAGCTCCATTTCACACACCAGTAGCCTGCAGCATTCCAATCTGATGATGGAATAGTAGAAGTGCAGAAATTTGGTACACCATTATTCCACATTCACTCTGATTAGATGCTTATTCCCCCTTAACTTTAATTGTAATCATGTGTCCAGATTCCTCAAGAAGCTTTGAAAAATCTCAGCCTAAACTGGTGCATGCATTCTTATGCCATCACCCCTTCTTTATCTTTTCCCCTTACTGTCAACAAAAGCTTGATATTCTTGGACTGAGAGTTTTCAAAGATGAACTAGTTTTTAAAGTCTCCCTGTGGCCACAACTTGTATTTCTACAGAACAACCAGAGCTGTGGTGATACTAAAGGTGGGTTTGAAATTAATAAACAATGGAGCTGGATGCATTAGGAAAGCAAGAGCAGCTTGCTAAACATGTTCCAGCAGCAAAGCCATGTTGAGTATCTTCCTTGCAAGAATCCTGCCATTTATGCTCTATCTGTTTTGTTTTGTTTTTCGTGATTTTAACCATGTAGATGTGTCGCGGTCTCCTGAACGATGGTGCTAACCTAATTTCCTGGACCTTCTTTACCATACCAGCTGCAGTAATAATGTTTCACTCCAGAACTGCATGAGTTTTGCATGCTTGACTTCTTGCAATGAAAGGAATTCTTTTAAAACAACTTCCCCCCCCCCAAAAAAAAAATGTTTGTGTGTGTATGTATCAGGGGAAGGGTGTCTGCATCTTTCCCCACAACCAGATTTTTTTTTTTTTTTTTGGCACCCTGTGTTTGCTTCAGGAAGCGGAATTAATTTAGTGCTTTCTTTTGGGGTTGGAGTTGTGAAACCCAACACCAAAGAACCATAGTAATGCCTTAGCAAACTAATCACGTTAACAAAGAGCAGGGTACATATGTGAAGCAAGGTAATGCTCGTGCTTATGCCTCTTTTTACTAAAACTTGCTGTGATTATGCTTATCGTTCAGTCTAAAATGGCTTTTTTCTTCAGATTTTCCCAGTGTTGTAATTTTCCTGCATGCTGATGGTATGTTGCTCTACTTTTCAGGACCCAGGTCCTGTGCTAAATGAAGTGTCCCAGCCTAGCACTGGCACTGACTACTCAACCTCCTTCACGTCAATCAACAAGTCATCATCTGCCTATCCCTCTACCACAATCGTCAATCCCACTATTGTCCTCTTGCAGCACAATCGAGGTAAGGAGACTTCCAGATAGGTATTTGGACTCAAACTGAGTAATCTGTTGAACTGCAAGAAACTGGAGAACGTGTGTGCCATGGACAGTGAAGTCCATGCTACTACGAGATAATAAAGCTGCCTTCATGAATTGTAGTGACCAGAGCATACAATACAGAGGTGAGGGGCAATGCCTACTTTTTCTACTTAGAACCTGTAGATCAGAAGCCACTCTGACATTGAAGGAAAGGTCTGTAACTGGACATGTGTATAAGCTATGGCAAGTTGCATTTTCCAAAGAAAAAAAAATATATCAGAAAATAAAGGAAAGGCCTGCACTCATCTCCTTTTAATCAGTCTAATTAAAAGCATTCATTGGTCCATTCATTTGTGTTTCTCAAGGTATTTTATTTTTTTCTTCAATGCCTTTGTAAAACAGTCTTCTGTCTTTGGCTGCAAAGATAGTGTCCTCACTGTAGCCCAGCTGATTGTATCACTCATGTAAGTAGATTATATCTTTTCTTTTCTGCTAGCATCTGAAGCAGCTTTGTTTATGCCCTCCTGAATGAGGGTGCCTAGATTCCCAAATGTTTTATCTGTATCGAGAGGAGAGAACATTATCTGAGGCAGCCATTTTATCTCAAATCTTTTTGTTGCCTTCCTTAAGCAGGGATATTTTTAGTAGGTTTTTGGTATTAAATCTGGACTATTTTGAAGCATGTGCCAAACAAGAATATTCTCTCTGTAGATCTTAAGAGCACAAGGGACAAACTCGTATAATACAATGGTCCATATACACACTGGCGTTGAGACAAGTGATGTCAAGTTGTTCTCTTGATCAATTACCTTCACAAACAAAAATTTGTTCTGTCTTGAATGTCTTGCCTCTGACCATCAGCCCTCATGATACTGTAGCCTGATATATTGAAGAGCTTCTCTTACGACGTTTTTTGACAGTGTATAGATCACAACTAGATAAGCAACATGACTGAGCTATGGTATCTGTATTCTGATGCATGTTTTCCAGTCTTTATTAATCAAACCTGTAATTTGCAAGAATCATATTGAGCTGGTTTGACAAGGCACCTTAATCATCAATCTGTATCAACTGATGCTGTATGTGCCATGCCGTTTTCAATAATAAAATCTTGTATTAGTCATTACGATATATTCTTTTCCTGGGATTACTGTCAACGTGACAGACATCTGGCAGTCACATTTATGCTTCTCAAATATTATCACATCTACCTCCTTCCTGTCCTGTGGACTTTCCTTTGTATTCCAAATCATACTGAGAATGAATGTCAACAGTCCAGCAAGCTGCCCTTCCTGAAAATGCTTTATTTAGAAAACTGTTCTGAAAGTCTTCAGTACAGTTTACATGAGCATGCTGATTTTCAAGCAGATGACCTCAGTTGTTGTCATTCAGCATGGACCTTAGGTACTGTTGAAGTGGAAAGCATTTCTCCACCAGGCAGTAGGACGTCAGACTTTTTTTCTTCATCCCCTCTTCAAAATACAGAATGTAAATAATGATTGTATGCATCATCCCTCTTACAGGCAGCCCTCTTACAAGCAGTTCCAGTATGCCTATTTGGTAAAATACCAAGACTATCACTAGGTTTCTGTTTATTCTTCATGAACCTTGAATTCTCTTGATGAGTCTTCTTGAACATTCTGTGACTTTTCACTTCCATTGTCATCTTGTACTTTCTAGCATGTATTATTTACTCATAGGTATGTTTTCTTACTTTTCTATCAATGCATTAAGAGTTTCTCAGTTACTTATGCTTCCTCTCCTATCTAGACTTTATTCCAGCATAACATTAAGACTTTTTTTTTTTTGTAGTGTAACTGATGTGTTTTTTAAGTGGTTCTTAGATTTTAGTGATCTTCTGTGTTTTTCCCCTGGCTGACATGATTCATATTTGGTTTCATCTTTATGGATCTTATCCATTCAAAGCTGTTTTGGTCTAATGGCACATAACATTTTTATTGGATTATGGTTCCCCTTCCCCTGATAGTTAATTATATTTTGTTCTCAAATCAATTTCTTTATGTCAAGAACAGGTTTAATATAAATTCCTCTTATGTGCTATGAATACCCTTAGAGTTAGAAATTTCAAGGTAGTCTGAATGCTGGTAGTCTGAAGTCTCCAGTAGTTCAGTTAGTCTTCCTGATGAATAATGTGTGTGTGTTTTTTTTCTCTTCAGTAGATTATTGATTAATTTTTCAGGAGCTTGTTATCTTATTCTTTGGAGGGACAGTTGTAGCAAATATCACCTACTGTCCTATCTTATACTTTATTTGCTAGTTCATTAATATATAAGCATGTAAGATACTTTGCTTTGGTGCTATAAAAGTCTTAGAAACAGGTAATGATTTTTGAAGCACAGAAGATACTTCATATCCTCTCTTTTTTTTGTCTGCTTGATCTTGGTAAGTCATGATGAGAGATCTGTTTGTTTCTACCGGATTTCAGTGATACCAACTGGCATTACTGACAGCAATGCGAACAATACCATTAATGCTTATAAACAAGTCATTTCACATCCTCTAGTTCATTCCTAGCACCAAAGTAAGAATTTCTTCCCTTCACAGTTGTTGGTGCCTTGATCATTTTTTTTTGACATAATTTTTTAATAAATCTACTCAAATATTTGTTTCCTCTTCCCCCTTTTGTTATTGGTTTCAAATGTTAGTCTCTTCCACTGCTCCTCTGGGAACTCTCAAGGCATGTTTAATCATTCCTTTACTATTGCCAGCAGTTATATTCCTCTACTCAGCCCTTTCTCTGAGAGGCTTACAAGTCTTTGGCCTTTGCCTACGATCCTGGAACACAAGATCAAGGATAAAATCCTCATTAGCAGGTGTGGACCTGGGGCTACAAGCTGATTTTGGTCAGGTGGGAGAGTGAAATAGCAGATACCTCCCCCTCCTCAGCTTCTATCTGTCAACAGCTCTCTTCTCTAGTCAGAGACAGAAGTGAAAAGAAAACCCACACTTCAGATAAATACATTTTTTTTCATGAAAATTCTATTCATCCATGATATTCTCTCCCCCATGGAAGAAGAGACAGGGAAGAACTCTCTAGCATGGATCTTTAAAACACCATTTTTTTGCCAGAAGACCTTAGTGACTGAACACAGTTCTCTTCAGCAATAGCAGTGACTGAAGCTGAGATCATCCTTGCATCCTTTCTCCTCTCTCATAATACACAAGACTGACTCCTGATGGCCTGCATGGAAGAGCAAATCCTGCAGTAGGTGATTCCCATCTATTTATTGGCTTCAGATTGCAAACCCTTTCTTGTCCTAATTGCACACAGTCAAATGTTGACAACTATCACATGAGCATAATGCACGCAAGCAGCTTGCCCTTGGTGGTTAACAGAGCAAAAACACTGGGATTAAAGAACAAAGTTCATACATACTGGCAAGGGACCTGCCCTTAGTGAAGAGACATACCGTCCTCCCTTGCTAAGTTGCTCCATTTAGTATAAATGTCCATTGAAGGTAGGTTCTGCTAGTAAACAACATACAACTGGAGGATGTGTTTTACCTACTACACAGGGGTAGACATTGCATGGCATGATTTATTATGAATATTTAACAGGTGTGATTAATATATTCAAGTTTTGGTATCTTTGCATTAACTCTATGAGCATTCAAGAGTGTTTGCATTTTGTATGTCAGTAAAATAGCTTCTTTTCAAATGTCTTTTGTGTTGGTTGACTGGATTGATCGCTGGGGAGCGGGTAGAGCAGAGAACGTAGATCTAAGAATCCTTTCTTTATTCCTAGCCATGACTTGGACAAGTCATTTGGGCATCTATTAGAAAGCAGTTCCTAGTGTCAGCTTCACGGTGGTGAAACTGTGGAAGCTACCACAAATGTCTAGTCTGGGAACTCAGAGATGGAAGGCCCTAAAACAGTGATCATTCTGAAACTGTGGCTGGGGGCAAATCACTCAGTCTGTGGCACAGTAGTGTGTGATGAGACTCAGCACACCAACAGTGGCTTGGTCCTTTCCTATATCCCTACAACATGCTACAGCATTATTGTTTTAAAATGTACTTAATGGTAACAGTTATTTATCAAGTTGTTTGACTGAGAGTCTATTATTTTTAAAATTGTCTCCTGTCCAACTTTTTCCATTCTCTCTATTAAAAAATAAAAAACAAAAAACACCTCTTTGCAAATGTATTGGTCACTGCATCATAAGATTTGTGTTATCCACGAGGCTGCTGTGTGGAGAAGAGGCTGTGGATTGTCACTTTGGCAGGGTATTTGAAAACAGATTCTCTCCAGCAGCTGCTGCTGTTCTGTCTACAGCATATTTCTTGCCTGTCAGAAGTGCAGCACCAGAGCACTTGCTGTTTGTCTCACCCATTTGTTCTGTATTTCTTTTTGTTTTGTTTCTTCCTTTACCACAGAACAGCAAAAAAGGCTTAGTAGCCTGGCAGGTATGATGTGAAAGGTCTACTACCTCCCAACTGCTGCCTCTGCTGGAGCAAAGCTGCTCCTTCAGCTCTGTTAGCTTGTGGAGTACCTTGAGCAAGCACACGTCCTGGGAACTGTAACAATAAATAAATGTTTGTCCTGGTTTCATCTAGATCACTGAAATGTCTGATTTCAGTCTCTTCAAATGTTACTCTCTGGACATGCTAATGTACTTAGGTCCTAAATTATTAGTTTATTCCTCCTTAAACCATAAAACCCTTTAAAACATTACATATAAAAATACAAGGAAGCCACTACTCTGTGCTCTGGCTCTGCTGTGGGGGACCCGGTCTAGCAGGGTGTGCAGAGCCTGCCCCTAAGGCAGGTGCAGACCTAGTCTAACTTCTTCCACCAGGCTCCTCTGGCTGCTGCACCAGCCTGTCCCTCTTCTATGCTGCCCCCTATTGAGGTGATGGGCTGCCCCCAGCTGTCTCCCTGCTCCTTCCCTTGGTGGTGCCAAGTGGACACCGCTCAGCTGTGAGTTTAATGCTGATCTGCAAGCCCAGACAGAGGTTTCCCTTCATGATCAGGAACTCTTTTTTTTTTTTTTTTTTTTTTTTTTTCCTCTCTAAGTCTCTAAACTAGAGCTAATTCATGGTGCAGCTTGTTCTGGCCCAACTGATCCTTGATCTGCAAATGAAGCCTGTTTTGCACAGCTGGGCCTGCACCTGCTCTCAGTGTGTCCAAATAACCACAAAGGTGCTGCCTGCCACCTTGTCCCCCTGCTTTTCACATATTCTTGGTCACAGCAGTAAAACTGTTGCTGCATGACCCCATATTGATGATGCTGCTCTGGAAAAGGATGACTCAGGTGCCATGGGATGTACTACGTGGTGCAGCCTGGTTATCTGTATGGTCAGGCACCAGATTTGGCTATTTGATTTTTAAATACCTCAGAGCCTGGTATATACCTCCACCAGTACTTATGAAATCATCAGAGCTGTGGCAAATAGTTCAGTGTGGAATTTAGCTGTTAATTCTTCCAGTTGTAGGGGAACAAACCGAGAACTTCATATAAAATAGTCCTTTGCACCAGGAACATAGAAGGACCAAAAGTGCATCTGCATTCCCAGGGAAGGGAAACAGGATGAAAAAGCTAAACAAGGATTTAATTGATGCTTTGTCCCATCTTGACCTTTCATAAATGTTATTTAATTTTTTTTTAAGAGGAAGAAGACAAAGATTGGTGATTTCAAGCCAATCACTCAAATGCAAATCCTTCAAGTACAGTTTCACAGGACAGAATTGTGTTTGCTCGGGGTACCAATAGACCAAAGCTTTGTTATGCATGAGCTTTTCCTCTGCTAACTGCCTCTTTCATTTTCTTTCACCTTTAATGGCTTTGGGCAGCATGGTGATGTGCATGTAAATAAACCCACTTTCTCTCTCTTCAATGCATGCAGTGATGTAAAAAGGATAGGACCCAGCAAAGCCTTGATGAGGCAGACTGTGAAATCACAGATGTTTCCTCCCCAGACATGCACACAGAAAAAGTTTTCAGCAGAGCCTAAGGATTGCAGTGCTGCAGCGCTCCAGAGCATAGCAGATCTTCAGAGCAGTGCAAGCTCCCTTGGTTCCTTGCCCAGGGGTGCTGGTGCTTGCTACTACCTATGGCTGTCAGTCAGGCAGCATCAAGGGATTCCAGGTGGAAGCAAAGCAGGCTGCAGCAATTAGTTGTTTGCCCTCAGAGAGAGGAATCGTGCTTGTGCTAACCAAGAGTACAATTTGTTGTTTGCAAATTCTGATTAGGGCACAAAGATGACCTGGAAATATCACATACTGACTAACAAATAGGATTGTCAGGCAGGTGAGTGCAAGCTGTTAAAAAATAGTGCCTCACTACCACGTGGGATGCTCTGGATGCTCTGTTAGATTGAAATCACCAGCAGAAAAAGGTGTGAAGAATGAGATTACGGAGTTGCTAATTAGACCAAAAAAGCAGTCTCCAAAACCAAATATCTCTTGTCCTACATAATAGCTGAGCCTATCTCGAGGTGTGTGAAGGTGACTACCACAGAGATGCTAACCTGCTTTTGCTCATACCAAATATTTTCTTGGTAGATTCCTTCAGTCCATCTGCTGGCCACAGCAGATGGTGACGCAGTCTGTCTCATCAACTATTTGCTAGGATTTTTGCCTTAAAAAATGTGAAATACAGTGAGGTGGTAGAATGCTGGAATGAGATGATAATCTCCTGTTTTCATTTCCAGATTCAGTGCCAGACAGACTAGTTTCTGATAAAGTAGATTTGGGACTCACACGGGACAAGCCAGTTCAGGAGATAGCGCCAAGTGAAAAGAGGGCAATGGAGGAGAAGAGAAGAATTGTCAGGAGCCCTCAGCACATGCCTGATACCTCCATTGATGATATTGGCATTCCACTGAGGGTAAGACAACGCTGGACGAGTGATCACTGCAAAAATGGGGGCCAGATTCTGCCTGTCGTGAGACTTACGAAATTCCCTAAAGCTGCAGGGGCTGCAAAGATAGAAGACGTAATTCTAGTTCCAGCATATCTTATTACCAGCTTTGTTATCAATAACATGTTTCAGCTGTATCAGGTTAAAAAAATAAATATGATCATCTCTTTTCATCCTACTTGAGAATATTGTTCATTCACTGCTAGCAGCTGAGGGAGAGAGATTAATCTTGCATTATTTTAACCATCTTAAAGACAGTTATCTCTTCTAAACAGCATGTGTAAGTTCCTTCAGTGATTGGGGAAATCGTAATGAAAACAACAACTCATTCTTACAACTAGTGTCTGGAGTGACTTGAGCACTACGTGTGTCTGACTGTCCATTGGATACAGAGGAAATCGGCATATATGGCTAAACTAGGCATAGTGTCTACTTTTAGATGAATATAATAAAATCGGATTACAGCGGACAATCTTCTGCACAATGTAAAGTTCTACACAGGCTAGAACATAACCCCTAAAGAACTTTCAAAGTATTATCAAAGTATTATTAAACTAGAGCCTGTAGCTTCATTAGATACGAAATTCTATGTCAGAGTGAAATTACTCATATTTTATTATAGCCTTGATTTTCAGGTAAACATAATAAATGAACTAGGAATCAGGGTTCTAACCATACTGCTGCTGCAAGATCTGTGGTTTTTGTTTTTTTTGTGTTTTTTTTTTTTTAAGAAAAACGCTTTGAAGTGCTGGTAGAATTCATGTCTGTGATTATTTATTTGCATGTTTATGTTTCTGATAGAATACAGACAGATCGAAGGACTGGTACAAGACGATGTTCAAACAGATCCACAAGCTAAACAGAGGTACTGTAAAACAAATATTTTTATTTACTTCAAAAGACCATCATAACAACACTTTGTTTCAGATATGTGAAGAATTGTACTATGGATGATCAATAAAAGCCTTTTATGTTAACTAGTATTTTCTCTGCACCACAGAACACAACTGATGTATTTAACATCTCCAGAGACAAAGGTGAAAAAATAGTGAAGTCCAAAGAAATGTCTGAGTTATTCTGAGGTGTACTGCAGTGCCTTCATGAAATACGAGTGCTGTTTGAGAACCGAAATCAGAAGGCTGTCATTAATTTCATACTTAGAGAAAACAGATCCCTGAACTTCATCTTTAGCAGCTGACCCTCCCTGCCCCTAACACTTCTAGGAAGTCCTCTCTGAAACAGCACTGTACACAAGAGAACTTTTTACACTTTAAAGCTTTAGTACCTGCCTAATAGAGCTTGGTTTGAGGCACACTGAAACCAATGGAAAGATTTGCATTGATATGGGGGAGTTCAGAATCTGAATTCGCTCTTCAAAACCTCAGATTTTCTTCTTTCAAAATTCAAAATTGTGGTAAGCTCTTACAAACATCATCATGGTGTGTTCTCAAGGAATCCACTACTTTGAGGCACTTCTGTGCCTGGCTGCTGATACATTCACATTTTCTTCTGTGTGAGAAATGGCTGCAGTAGTGTGTGCAGACTGAACGCTCTGACCAGCCTGATGTCCAGGCAAATGCAATTCAGAACTGCGCTTACATAACAAACCCTATAGCATGCAAAACTGGAGCTGTATTTGCCACTGCAGATGCTGTGATGGTGAGCTTTATGCATATATAGGCACTGCATTGTATTGGATGGAATGAGAAAGAGTTGAACAATTTCCTCCTCCCAGCGCTCCTAACAGAGGTTCTTCAGCTCAGCCAGAGCCTGTACTTCAGGATGTAGAGAATCAGCTCAGTACTTTGTGCCTCCAGGATCTCCCCCAGGGCCTCTACATGCAAGGCAGCAATGAGCAAGAAAGCATCTGGGTAGTTTTATGCTGTAATGTCAGCATGTGAGAGACTGTTCTGCAGCTTGTGTGGATTCTTGTCTCTCCATTCTTCCCCTTTAAATCTTTACTCTCTGTTCTTTTTTCAAACCATGTTCCTCTCCTTAGACACTCCTGAAGAAAACCCTTATTGCCCTACCTACATATTTCCTGAACTTCCTGAAATCCAGCAAAAACCTGAAGGTACCAGAAGCTTAGTCAGAGTGTATGTTGTCTCGTGCTTTGAGTTAACTGTACTATAGCACCGTAATAGTAACTAGATTCAGGTTCTAGATTTCTGTTATCCATTTGTTACACTAGCTGGAAATTCAGTTATGCCCAGCATACCTTCTCGTGTGATGCATAAAATAACTAAATCTTTGCTAATCCATTAATCTTTTTAAAAGTACAATGATGTTTACACAAGTGTTATTAAAGTAAACGATAAAACCATCTGGTGGTAGGAAATTGGGGGATGAAGCAGAACCTCCGCTTCACTGTGGATAGTCTCAAAATCCACTGCTTTTCTCTGCTGCAGAAGACAATCCTTATTCTCCTACATACCAGTTTCCTGCGTCTACTCCTAGCCCTATCTCTGAAGGTAAAAATAAAGGACCCTATATATTTTTCTGCACAAATGCTGCCTTGTCCATTTATTTTCTTCCTGGAGTTTTTTCTAGTTGCTGAGCATTATCCTGCATCATAATTATTTGCTGCACTCTAAGCATTGCCTTGACTGTATGCCGCCTTTCGGCTTTGCAGTGCTCCTCTGGCTTTCTAACTAGTAGTTGACTAATGCTGCAGACCTGGGGTTTGCTTGGTTTTATGCGCTTATCAGTTGTACTTAGCCATGTGTGTGCAGTGATTATTTAACATGCCTAAAACGCTGACATACATGTAAACATGCGGTTTAACTGAGATTTATTCTGCCCCCCCCCCCTTTAAATCAATATGTTTCTTTAATTATTCACTTCTGGTTTTAACTATTAACACAGTAATAGGGCCAGACCAAAATTCCACTGAAGTCTGGTGAAATGACTGCTTGCTTCAGTGGGTTTTGGATCAGTCCCTTGATGTAGTCCTTTAAAATAAATATAACTTAGTAATACGGGTTCAGGGCTGGTCTTATGTGCACTGGCATATCTAGGCAAGGACAGATTTTGACAGTCTCATCAGCATATCTTACAACTTGTAACACTGTAGTTACACCAGCTTCCTCACGTGCCCAGCAGATTCTTTTAAACTTCAAGTACAACCTAGAATCCTTTGTCAGTCATGTTTCAGGGATGATGGAATTGTATTTACTGTCATTACAACCCTATAACCATATACATGTGTGTGAAAATACTGATATATGAAAAACATTGGAATCTGCTGCATATATTGGGCATACAGATGTTTCCTGATTAGAAATTTGTTGGTGGTGACAGCCTTGTTGGCTTGGTGTTTTGCTATTTCTTTGGATCCTGCAATTTAGGAACTTGCCTATTTAGCCTGTGCCTCAAGCCAACCCTAGTGAGACTGTTAATTAACCATTTTATTCAGTGTTTGTATTAAACATTTGGTGGGTACTGTTTAAAAAAAAAAAAAAAAAAAAAAGCATTCAACCTGGGTTCCAGCTAAGATGCTCAAAGAATAGGAGATGTAAGGTGCATTTCAGTGTGACAATTAATATGGACTAGTGTCATAGAGGTATCTAATATGTTTATTTCTTGGTGAAACCTGCAGGTGAAGAATCCTGTCTAGCAAATCACAATGTAGTGTAAATCATCTTCTGTTGGCAGAATGGCATTTCAGTATGGATGAGAGAGAAACAAAGAGCCTCAATAACTAGTTGCTAAAGGAATTTTACAGTGATTCAATTTTCTTGTTTGTAATGAAGTTTGAGAATTCATTTTACTCTTGTCTGAACTAACATAGTTTGCAAAACCAATGATCTTAGTGTATTAAAAGTCTGCTTTCCCATAAATGTCCCCTATGCACTTACAAGTGTGCAGATGAAAGTAATTTGCTGGTTTAGGTAGTTGAAATTTTATTGGACCGAATGCTTGCTCTTTATTCTCAATACATTGGGAAATGCTTCTCTAACACACGCTTGGATTCCTTTATCGATAAGGAATCCAGAATATCTAATGACATAGCAGGGTTGAAGTCCATGTTTCATGTTATATGAAGGATATATATAGGATTATAGGATAGGAATGTTATATATAGGATATAACATTTTATCTATTATGTTATCTATATATCTAAGATATATATATCTATATATCTATTGAAAGTGATGCATTCAACTGCAGAGTACTTATACACAGAGGGGTTGAAACCTTGAGCCTCAAATTTCATGCAATCTAAGTGTCATAGTCTTTTTGCCTTGGGTTGATGATCTAAAAACACTAAGATTTGCATTTCTCTTTAAAATACCTTCAAAGTTTAAGGATATCGAAATCTAGAGATTTTGGCCAAAGAAAAAAATACCCCCCCCTTTTTTTTCTTTACAAAAAAGGAAAAACTACAGATTTGCTAGAAAGTACAGGGGAGCTGTCTCTTCTCACAAAGAAGAAACATATTTTGAAAGTACAAACTGGTGATACCCAGCTCCAGTAAGGAGCGTCCCATAGATAAAATGCAGCTCTGAGAAGCAGGAGATCTTATTCTAATGTTCATCTCTGGTTTACTCTTTAAACTTTATTGAGTCATTCCAGTTTTCTGTGTTTTAGTATTCATTGTTGTAAAAGGGGAGAAAACACAGATATTATTCTTCAAAAGGTACTTGAAGAGATAAAACATTATAACTGTATTCCTTATTGTAGATATTAAAATATTTGCAATTGGAGTCTTGCATTTATCTGAAGTGATCTTTTTTCCTGTTTTTCCTATCTGAATGATAATCGATAACAAATATTGATATTTCTCTTCAAGTAAGTAGATCGATTTTTTCATTGATCACTAACATTAAATACAAGAACTGAATGGGTGCGAAGATAGTTTTAGATACGTTTACGTTTTTGTAGGGACAGACAGTGGCTTACCGAGTATTTTGCTACCTGAATAAACCCATCTTTTATATGGGAATAGCAGTCAACTTTTTCAACAATTCAGTATAATAACATAAAGTAGATCAATATTTATTTTCTGTCATTTAGGTCTAAATCATGGAAATTGGCCTGAAAATTGTCCTTCATTACTTTTTTAGCCTGAAGGTTATAATAAGCACTGAAGAATCAATAACCATCTGCTTGGAACTTAAACCTTCAGTTTAATTCATTCACCACGAGAACCCAACAGAGGAGCTAAGAGTTAAGACTTCTTTGAGCCTTTCTGAAAGGCTCGATTAAGCTAAAAGTGCAAGCTGAGGTCAGCTGTATTAGCCAAATTGTTTTTCCAGGGGATGAAGTTGGGTGAAGCAGCTCCTTGACGTCCTTCTTGAGAGAGAAGCTGCAGATTGTTTCAATCTGTTGATTGACATCACTAAGTTCATGTGACACTCGTATAGTATAATCTTTTCTTTGTATATTTCTGGTTTTCTGTATTTTTCTCTGACACTTTGAGTTGTTTATTCACAGAGATAATAGTAATACCTTTGCTTGCAGTTCTCTTTGCAGTCATTGCATTATATTTTCCTGCATTTTGCCTTTAAGTCCTGTATATATCTCATGTATATTTCCTGGCTAGTTTGAACCTCATCTGTAGAGAAAAGTGATGGGCTTGTGGGTCTACTTTCCAGTTTTGAGCCCAACTCCCCCTGCTACTACATGTGGTTCATTGAGGATTTACTCCAAAGCATGCTGAAGAGGGTAGAAAGATAGTGCTAGGCTTTTGATCAAGCCAGAAATACTCTTTAGGATGATGTTCACTGCTAGCCCTTATAGAGCTGCTTGAACATCTCAATTACATTATCTAGGTGTATCTTTCTTATTTAAAATGTAAGCTCTTCAGACAAGGACAGTCTCTTGGTCTAAGTAACATTCCTGGCACAATACACACATGTATATCCGTGCTTAAAAGATAATCTGAGTCTGTGAACATACTTCAGTTTGGTGCGCTACTTAATACAAGGAAGATGGCCCACTGATTATCATGTGTGATTGAGAGCAGGACTCCTCAGACCTATTACTGTGTCTAACACTTGATGAGTAATTTTAGGTATATACTTCATCTTTTAGATCCTTGATTTATCTTTCAGCTTTTGATAAAGTGGATCTAATAACACTTGCTCTAGAGGTGTTTTGTGACAAAAAGTGATTATTTTTAAAGTGCTTTGAGAGACTAGAGAAAGGTATTAGTGTAAGTACAACATTAATATTTATATCTCATCTATAAATTATTTTTACATGCAATCTAAACCTCAAAAAGATTTTTCTTTTTTTAGGATCCTCTTTGTGGTAAGTATTGGGCAGATTACTCTCATATTATGTCCAGTGTATTAGTATAAGAAATGAAAAGGGTCTCTGATGCTTCTCTGGGGCTTTTTCATCTCACTTGCAAAATGCTTTTGTCTTTCAGATGAAGATTCTGATTCATACTCCCCTCGTTACTCCTATTCTGATGATAGTAAGTAATTCCTATTTCTTGTGTAATCTTTCAAACATAAGGGGTAAGTAAAGGATATATTTGTTGGCCTCCCGTCCTGTTCACTAACATTCCTACATTTGATTTACTCTACAGCCAGAAGCCAGCCTTCAGTTCCCCGCTCCAAGAGTGAGATGGACAATATTGACTCGGAGAAGGTGTTTAAGAGGTCTGCCACTTTGCCATTGCCAAACCGTTCTTCATCACGGAAGTCAAGCCCAGAAAGGTGACCTAAACTAAGATATGTTTTTTCAGTACTGGAAGAATCTCTGAAAGCTATAAATGGGAAGGGAACAAAGGTGGAGGATCTAGGTCCACAACTCCAGTTAAACTTTTCTGGGGAGGTAGAAGTGTAGTTTCAATTCAGATTATTCTACCAGGCACCAATGAACTCCTTTATTGTCATAGTGCAGTCACCCATTTCAAGTCTCTCTGTGGTTGTATTTTGTTGTTACCAGGCATCGCACCCTCTGTTAGATAGGTAGCTTCCTGCTGGGGTGAGGAGTGTTTCCTAGATATCATGTCTATACAGTGCCTACCACAGGAGCATAGCGAAAGGTCTCTGCTCAGTGTGACACTGTAAAGGCACCTCAGAATACAAGCAAATAGCAATAATTGCAGAGGAAAAGCATTTGAATTTATGTTGAGCCTTGGTTAATAAATAAATAAATAAAATAAATTCTATACTATTCTTCTCTGAGAAGTCCCACCCACATGGACTTTATTGGAAGCAGGTTCTAGTTAGGTGTGTCATTTCTGATATATCAGTATTACTTCTATTCTGATCTTTTGTTTTATTTGTTACCATGTATTTTAAATCTCATTGTAACAGCAAAGAATATATTTACCAAATGAAGGAAAAAAATTGGGCAATGAATATTTAATGTCCTGCAGAATTCTCCCCGCTTTGAATATACTACTTTTTGAGAAGGCACTGGACATCATAGGATATGGACACTACATATGTTATGACTGATACTGTCTGAACTGTGCCAGTGTGTATACAGAACAAAATTATAGTTGTTTGGATAGATAATGGACTATTTTTACAAGCTATTATTTACAAGCTATTTTTAGAAATGTCAGTCAGAGATAATGGGTTCTTGTCTGTAGAAAAGACCATTTCTTGGACCCCAGAGTGCCACCAGAGTCAAGAGCAGTTCCAGGTACTGCACAGTAGTCAGTTAATCAGTGACGTGACCAAAAAGAAGGGATTTAGCAAAATGAGATTTTATCTGAGTTCTGCTCAAAACTTGGATGTGTTGGTACTTGTGAGTTTAGTTGAAGTCCATTATTAAGCTATTTCCAATCAGGAAAGATATGAAAGTCTGGCAGTTTATTGAAAGTACAAGGAAGAAGCCCTTATGTTCCAGTGGTTTCAGTATTTGAGTTCTGTCAAACTCTGCCTGCTGTAGAAAAACAACTACATGCTCAGAGCCCTATCTAAACTGGGCCTCTTGCAGCAGGTTTCTCTCCTAGATGAAAGAAGTACCCTGATTAAACCAGGATTAACAGGGGAAGGCGTCTGTCAAAAGAAAGTATTTGTCTCCGTGGAAACCACAGCATTTTGTGTTAATTGATCTTTCTTTCCTCAGGACTGACTGGGAGCCTCCAGACAAGAAGGTGGACACTAGAAAATACCGTGCGGAGCCCAGGAGCATTTATGACTATCAGCCAGGAAAGTCCTCAGTTCTGAACAGCGAAAAGATGGTAATGTTTGTCTTATCCTACTCTGTGCCTTGATCCCATGAATGTAATACACTCCCTGAGTGCTTGTCCAGTTCCATTCCAATATGACTCCTTATGTTTGCATTGCAGTGCTCATGTGGTGTATTTCCTGTATATTTTGTTTAGAAAACTGTTTTGCATAACTTCTTAACATTGTCTCTCTCTATAAAGCAAGATCCAGGGTGACTGAGAGGCTTCTTTACTTTTGGACATGTTGTTTTCTGTGTTAAGTATGGATCACTAACCCTAGTTTTTAATCCATGTTTGACACTGACTTCTTCAGTAGCTGTTTTGCCAGTTGTACTTTTTCTAGGGCACAGCAGTAGGGTTGAAGGAATTATACAACAAAGCAGAATGGTTCAATTTATGTGTTCCTCTGATGCCATTAGCTTTAAACACCAAAAAAAGTAATTTTTAGAGTGCCTGTAATGTGCTTTAGGGGATGCTTCTGAGGTGCACTGGGATATGGCCCCTTGGCTGCTTTATTCCTCAGCCATGGCTGGGGTGGCAAAACTGAACGTGAGCAGGCTCCCCAGCTACACAGGTGCATAACCTGGAGTACTAAGTGAACTGTTACTGATTTCAGTTTGAGTTAGTGAGTATGCCGTCAGTTTTGATGGCTAGGAGACATATAGAAGTCTCATTCTGCAGGCTTAACTAGGAAGACTTGGTACGGGGCAAGGCAGAGAGGTGGTGCTAACCTCAGCCAGTCCTGCATAAATCACCGCGAATCAGTATCCTTCAGGCTACAAGTTCAATACTGTAAGCACTTGAGTGGGGTTATTAGTGAATAGCCGGTTTGTTAGATAAAGATGTAATTGTTCGATATAGGCATTAATTTAAAGGATTTGATTGGAAGTGCTAATTGCATGTGGGATTCCAAATGTAAACCGGACTCTATGCCTTAATAGCTCAGACATTGATCTATACATGGAGTAGGTAGATGACCGATCCTGAAAAACATACCATGGATTTTGTGCTGAAACACAAGCATTGTACAGCAGTTTAAATCAATAGAAACATAAGAATCAAGTCTGATCTGGGACCTGGTGTTTCTTATTACTGTGTCTTTTTTCCCTCCAAGTGCAATCAAGGTCCATCACTTTTTAAAAATCCTGAAACCAACTTCTTTTCACACCTGTGTCCCTTCATTGACTTCAGCGAAGTCGCTCCTGGTTGGAGCATGATCTAGTGCCGATTGAAGTAGGCAATGGATTACTCCCTTGATTGTGATGGGAGCTGCCTCAGCCCAGTACAAAAAGAGCAAGTGAGGAGTGGTTTGAACATAGTATGACTACTCCATTCCTGCAGCCCATCCTGGAGCAAGATTTCTGCTGACTTCAGTGGCAGTTTTGTCTCATGATAAACAGCCAAGATTAAACCTTGTGGCAAAAGGCCTGCTTCATCTGCGTATTTAAGCCTTTGCAAAACTTCTGATCTCACCAGTGTCACTGTTTACATGTTCAGACTTCAGAGAGTATTTAATTGAGCTGTTGAATCAGAATCTAAAAGCCATGAACAGGATCATCATCAGCATAATTGAAAAAAATTGTACAGAGCTCATCAAAGTTGAGAAGAATGTGATAGCTGTATTACTTCCAATGTTATTTTTTGAGCTTTAATTTCAAGCAATAGAAAGAAACATCTTGAAATAGTGGCTTTGTGGTCTCCATCAGTCTCATTAAATACAACAGTAATATGCTGTTTAGCAACTAGATCTTTTTTTGTTTTTCTGAGGAGGCTGCAGATTTGTGAATATCTGCTAGTAATCACACCCAGAGCTGTGGCTATCAGAATCCCCCATCATATGAAGCATTGGGACAGACTTTGTTTTGTATGATCAAAAGGGAATTTTCTTTTCAACTGTACTGTTTTCTGTCCTGTCTGATTTTCCTTCATTTTAGTTTTTTCTGATTCTCTAACATTTATTTGTGCAGAAACAAGTAATAATGTCTCTCTCTCTCTGTCCCTTCAGAAATTTCAGAAATGCTCTCTGTCTGACCTGTCTCCCCTTTGTTTTAGAAAACCACCTTTCATGCTGTTTGCAGTGTATAGAACAGGGTTTCTCACATATTCATGTACTGTTAAAGATGCAGTATTTTGCTGTATTTGATTTGTGTCTCACTGAAACTGCCTTTTTTTAAACCAAAGGATGATTTAAAAAAGTTCAAGAAGTACGTGCAGCTTTGGTCTTAGTGGAATCGTCTGATAGTAGGACTGAGGGACTGGTTGACTCCCAGCTCTTCCATTGAGTCTCCCTGTGACTCTGGGCAAGCTGCATAATCTCTCTGTGTAGGTCTCCTGATCTGTAAAATGGAATTCATTCATATTCATGTCTCTCACAATGATGCCATTAGGCTTAACTGATGTTTGCAAAGCGTCTGTGGCTTTTGTGAGAGAGGTGCTATAGAAATTCTAAATTATAAGGCTAAATATCGGCATTTTAGAATGGAAACCATGGGATCTGCATCTTTAACAGTCCCTTTCCGTGTATTCTTTGCATAATGTTATCCTTCTCTTTCTTCCATTCCCCTGTCACCAACTCCTTTAGACTCGGGATATAAGCCCAGAAGAGATAGATTTAAAGAATGAACCTTGGTATAAATTCTTTTCGGAATTGGAGTTTGGGAAACCGGTAAGTTTGATAGTTGCAGTGACCAATAAAATCAACCTACCATTTTTTTTCTTTTTTCTTTCTTTCTTTCCTTCTTTTTTATTATTATTATTATTTTTAATTATTGTCACATCTCTTGCTAGGCCCTAAACCTGGAACAGCTGTTTTACTCATTTAAAAATGTGATTGTTCATAACATCATTCTGGTGTTGATGTAAAACAGCTCTTGTGCGACTGCTTTAAAGTACTTTGAAACCATTTACCAACACTCCCCACCTTCCAGCTATATTTACCAAGAAGGCAATATTTTTTTACACCACAGTTCAAGCCCCATTTTTATTGTTAACAGTAGCAGTAACGTCCCGTTCTTACTAATGAAAGTCTTCTTTCAATGCTCTTATTCTCTTTCTCTTCCTAAAAATATTTGGGGTAGCTTTAATTCAAAGTGAATCACTCATTTGTTTCTGGCCTTGGTTTGCAAGCTATAGATAAGTAGTTTCCAGCTATCCATAACAGATTATGACCCCACTTCCTGCTCCTTTCATTATGCACTTAGCTACCCGTTGTCTGAATGGGGTGCATCAGTCTGTTTGAGCAGCCCCGACCATTCCTTGAAACCAAAGGAGTTTGAGAACAGTGTTCTTTCTTTTCAAATGGAGCTGTGTTGCTATGCGTGAAAAAGCATAGCCTTGATTTCTTACTCGGGAAAAGGATGAAGCAAAGCTTAATTATTTGAATTATTTGTCAAAGGACCTTTCTGATGGAGGAACACATCAGTGGTGAGGGCTACCTGCAGAAAAAAAGAGGTAGTGGACTTTGAGAATCAGGCCACAAAATGCTACCCTGATTAAATGCTCTGCATTTCATTATTAAATACTGTTTAATAATCTGTTCTTACTGCATCAGAGGGTCAGCATCAGCCTTTCACATTTATTCAAGTGTAGCAGCGATTTCTCCTTTCTCCTTGAGGTCAGTTGTCAAATGCTCGTGCACTCCACTTCTGAGCACTGCTGGGATTTCCTTCCAAAACAAAAACATTTTAGGGTTCAGTACTGGCTTCAAAGGCTATTGAACGTGGACACCAGAGGGCAGACTTTCTTTAAAACGAAGCTTTGCTCATGCTTCTCAAGAAAGTGACAAAATTCCTCTGCACAGAATATAGCTGCCTGAATTTGGATACCTAGTCTGATCACATCATAGAAATAATGTAATTTCTACTGAAAAACAGACTTGATTGGTGTCTGGATGTTCCACTCTGTGTTTCAGCACATACTGTTTCAGCATTACATCAGGCACTTTAATTGAGGATGCCATCTCAGACTTCTATAGATAGCTGCTCTTGAACCTGACAAATTCAGCAAAGCTCCATCTGAGCTCAGTGGCCAGAGCCAGCAGAGTACTCTTTATGGAGTACTGTGAACTGTGCTCAGTTCAGCCATGAGAGGACCAGATTTTTGTTATGTGGTTAGGCACAGAGCATTTCAAGTGACATCTGCTAGGGCCTGTGATTTTCAAAAATTCTGTTTGAATAAGCTTCCCCCCACTAGTGCTGCAGATAATATATCCTTCTAAAAGCATGATTTCCCCTAATTTTATGGCTTTAACTGCAATTATGTGACACGGGCAAGAAACACCCTTGCTGAAAGCACAGGATTCTTATGAGGCTGTGGTATTGCTCCCCGAACACACCAGAATGACCATGAATAGGGATTTACATTGAGGAAAGCACGTGCACTTCCTAGGGCAGCCAAAGCAATGCTCTGCTTGTCCAGCATCCCAGATGCATTTCTAGGCAGATCTACGGACATGGAGATCACTCCGCAGCATGGATGATTTTCCAGGGTGCTGCTGATACTGAATTCCCACAGGTTTCTTTCTTCTTCCTCCTGACTGTGACTTCACAGCTCCATGAAGCCCCCCCCAAAAAACCTGATGGTCAGTAAGTCTAGAGCTCAGTTGCCTTCTGTTGTGATTGTGGGCACTTTTCTCCTGGCCTCTCCTGCGATGGCAGTGGGCAAGCTCTTTTCTAGTAACAGAGAAGCAGGGGGTTGGAACAAAAAAAAGGGTCTGTGTCCTGTCTTCTTACCTCCTACCCTCCACATCTCAAACCTAAATCTTTGTAGCACCATCTTACCTATTCACCTGCAGCTGCCGATCTTATAGATAAGAAATAGGGATTTACAGTGTTTGCAATCCCCACGGTGGCTGTCCAAGTTTAGAAGTGGATCTAGTTCACACTACAGATCCAGGCTGTACAGAAACCTGAAGGACTTTGGACCAAGACCTGAGCATTGTAGGTCAGTCTTACCTTTGATGGACTGACACCGGGAGATTCTCTGTCAGAGATGCTTTGATAAAATAGTTATATAAGCCAGTATGGACATACATACAGGGTGAAGTTGAGCTTGCCAACCAACAAAGGTTATTTTTGTTTGGAAACACAGAGTAAACGTATTTTGATTTCACAAAGTAATAACAAAGTCTGTTTGAGCTTATCGGTGAAGTGCATGTTTGATCAGAGACGGTTATCGTGGCATTATTTGGATATGACAAAGGTCTTACATTTTGAATATTCCTTCCCGATATATTTACATGTATATAAAACAGGAAAAATCCTATTTTGAAATAGGAGCCTTTTCCTGTAGAATATATTTTAAATAACTTGTTTCCAAACTTCACTATCTCCAATGAAAAAAAAAAACAAAAAACAAAAACCACCACAAACACCCCCCTCCTCCAAAATAGAAAAATAGAAAATAACAACTCTGCGTTCTCATTGCCCCACAATGCCAACACTGGAAATTCAGCCATTTGTTCACATGGTATGTATTCAGAGTCTGCCGGGGGTGGGAAAGATACCTCCCTTTTCTTTATCAAAGGCCCTTGTTTTACCCTTTCCTTTTGAAAAGAAGAATGAGCAAAACAAACGCTTTTTATGACCATGTGTTTTTTTCCTTGTTTTGCTTTGTGTTTTTTTCTTTTATTATTTTTTTTCCTTTTTTTTGTGTGTGTTACGAATGCTTTAACCACCAGCTGTGGGCTCCTCCTAGAGAGTCCAAAATGCCTTAGAGCACCTTGAAAAAACAAAACTGTCCTCAAACATTGCTGAAAACAACCCCTCCCTGACTTGCATGTATGCTCCCTTTTACCTCCCATGATCTCCTGATATTTGTGCTAGAGTGGTTTTATCCCTCTCTCTCTCTCTTTCTCTGTTGTTGTTTTGTTTTTTTTATATATATATAATTTCTTTTCAGTGTTGATGCAAAACCCCTATTGTATTCCCTCTCTGTTCTAATCCAGTTTCCATATTCTCTGTGATGTCTTTCCTTATCTTCATTTCCTCATTTCCTTCCTCTGCTTTCCATCAGCCTCCAAAAAAGATTTGGGATTATACTCCTGGAGATTGCTCTATCCTTACTAGAGAGGATAGAAAGGTAATTGTGTCTCGCATACGTTGTACTACAGCATCCAGTGCGTATGTATGTGTGTATGTGGATTTATTTCTTTATTTCTTTCGTAGCACTGCTTGGGTTTTGTGTGCTTGTGATTTTTTTTTTTTTAATTGGGCTTCAGCTCATTAGCCTAACAAGTAGCTAGTGAATTGATTTAATAAACAATTCTCAAAAACATAATCAACAGTAGTTTAGAGTGGTGGTTTTGCTATCTGACTTGCAATGATAATTATACTAACATACTATCGAATATTGTTACAGTATCTTTTTTTTTTTTTTACAGGTGGGTTTTATAACTTTATGGTTTGTAGAAGTAGATTCTAGTAGGCCTGCTGTGCATCTTTTAATTTTGGATCTTAAATGCCTAAATCAATTTCCTCTGTAATGATTGAAATGTGATTAATTACTAGTGAATTTCTGTGTATTGTCCATACCATCTTTGTCTTTTTCAATTAAAAAGGCTCGCTTATTTTTTTTTCAAAATTAACATTCCTTTGGTTTCCCCTAACCCTAAGCATTATTTTCCCATTCTTCTTCTCCTTCTTTAACCAGACTGATCTAGAAAAAGACCTCTACCTCTACCAGACTGAGTTAGAGGCAGATTTAGAAAAAATGGAGAAGCTTTATAAAGTGCCACATAAAAAGCCACAGAAGGTATTTCCTATTCTTTTCATGCTGCCAATCCCTGTTTCCAAACTCTCTGCTCTAATCTATTCACTGCTGGATGATTATTAAATGAGGTTGGGATAAATAATGGTTCTGACCATTCTGACTGCATGGCTTGCTGTGTCGCTGTCAGAAATAATAGAATGTGATGCTGAGAATCCGGCTTGAAATCCATTTCAGATAGAGTGATTTCCTCTCCCCCCATTCCCTTTCAGCTGTCCTCCACCCCCACCCACCCCTTTCCCCCTTCAGGGTTTTGAGTTCGGTGTCTGCAAAAAAAAAAACCCTCTCTATTTTTCACATGAATAGGCAGCAGCAATCAGATTAAAATTCTTGGTTGGTGTCACGTCATCATCTCGTGCCTTTCAAGCGTGTTGCCATCAACCCTCCCTTCGTACAAACCCTGCTGCTCCCTGCTAGGAGCGCATGCCTACCCAAGATTTGAATATTCCCAAGAGATTTTGCACAATTTTCCTTACGCTGCACCTTGTCATGGCCTTCTAGGGCAGGTCAGCTGCTGCTGCTGGTCCGAGGGTCTGCAGGACTTGAACCGTGAAATGACAGATTAATTTGGTAACACGCCATTTTTTCCCTTTGTTGTTGGCTTTTTTTTTTTTTTTTTAAGCTGCAGCATTTCACCAGGACTTGAAAAAGCTTCTTTTCCAAACACAAGATTTGCTTTTTATTTTTTTATTTTTATTTTTTTTTCCTACGTAGGAATCCTCAGGTAGATGAGAGGAGACCTAGTGCAGCATTTCTTTTTAAATTGCCATCAATTTTTTAAATAAGCATACCTAGGAAGTGTTAGATGGATTTAAAGCAAGCGGATAAGAACTGGCTTTTGCTATTGAACCTGTGCAGCTGGCATTGCTTCTCTTAAGTAAGGAAACTGAACTGAAACATTGCTTTTCTTGTTAGTGCTTTGATATTCATCTGAACGCTTAGGAATGTATTGTGCTGCGGAAATGTAATGTACCTTTAAAGCAAAGGCGGGCAGTGACTGGTTGGGGGAAAAGCTTGGGGAAATAATTATGAGCATGTCTCCTGGTCCTGGCCCAGCTGGTTATCTCTTCTTGCTTTTGGCTTTACGCACAATGACTCATTGGCAGACAAAAGAATAGGCGCTGCAAAAAGGCATCGGCTGTGCTAAAAACCTGTCACTGCCCTGATGGAACTCAGGAAAATTGTCGCTTTTCTGCAGACATTGACAGCTTAAATTGCATTTAGACTTAAACTTCAATGTCTCATAAAGGCTAATATTCAAGCAATAAATGGAAAATTACTTAAGCAAGCCTTTTTCTTTCTCCTCGTGTATAAGTGGATATCAATGACTCCTTTGTTTGGACTTTTGCAGAATACAGCAGGTGTTACTCCTCTGGAAACTTCCACAGACCATTCTTCCTAGTAAGTTTTCAAATTGCTTTTTGATGTCTCTCGTACAGTCTGAGGGCATGTGGGGCAGGGTTTAGGGTGTTGGAAATGGGCTGGCTTTATTTTTTGGTGATGGATATAGCCAGCCATATATCCCATGGGAATTATGTGTGTGCTTTAGATGAATCCAGATACTCCGTCTGCTCTTTGATCTTGAATTAATTTTGAAGTGATTACTTAAGTGATTGCATTGTCTAGTTAAGAATTGCTATTGTGCCTAGGCAGCTACTTTCAAAAAATCAAACGGAATCTTAACTCCATCTTTATGAAACTGCATGAAGCCACAGCCTATTTGCAAACAACTTTATTGCCTGGAGGGGAAAAAAAAAAAAAAAAAGTTCCTTGTGTATGGCAGATTGGTTCCTGTTAGAAGTTTCCAATTATGCATTCCAGAGGAAAAGGATGCTGTTGATGAAACACAATAATTTTCTAGTTTCCAGGAAGGGAAAAGTAGTTGCAGTTGCAATATTTCTCAGATCCAGTGTGGCACTGGTTTTCTGGCTGAATACTTAATATAACAGTGAACTCTGTCTAAATGAGTTATACATTGAACTGGTTCATTTTGAAAGAGGAAGAGAAAAAAATCGAGGGCAATATGCTGAGTTGTCCATGTAACTGGACTAGGTGCATCGCATTTCTCATAGACACAATCTCCCCTGCATGCATGGATTATTAGGAAAGGCACTCTCTCCTCCAGACACCCATTGACATCATTTTGTTCGTTGTTCCTATGACTTTTTAGTTTTGTTTTGGCAGGGAGAGAACAATAAAATACATGGAAATCCCAGAGATTAGCATAAAAGGATAGCTTATATTTGCCAAAGACTGGTAAGAATCCTCAAATCCTGACTGTCCCCCAAGTGTTACAAAAGCTGTGAATCTTCTGTTTGTTTTTGCTAGGCAGGCCAGCTTTGCTCTCCTGCATTCAAGTCATCTTATAGAGCCCATGTTAGTTGCCACTGATGGTTGTAGGAGCTGTTCTGGACCTTGAAAGCTGCATCTGTACATACAGAATTAATATTTACAACTCAAGTCAAGGAAATTACCCTTCAGCTAAAAGCTGTGCATAATGCACAATGCACCAAAAGCTGTGCATAAGCATGTGCATAATGTATGTGTGTTATCATACATTTTAAAGCCATCTTACCTCTACTTTTCATTACACAGAACAGCATTCTGTTCTGCAAGGCATCTCTCCCCTGTGCACAGACTGATCTGTTAGCAAAGGCCAAGGTTTCCACCCATGGCAGCACTGTCTGTGCCCTTTCTGATACCATGCAAAGCATTCAGGAGTGCCAACGTCTGTGCTGGCAGATGAGAAGCAACCTGGGTAGGGTGGGAATGGGAGGAAACAGAGAGGGCTGATGAAGTCATACATTCTTCCCTAGCCTGCTGATAGAGAACATGAAGAAGAGCTACCTGGAGTTTATTGCTTTTTTTTTTTTTTTTCTTCTCTCTTTGGTGTTGCTCTTCCCTCTGCTCACCTGATTCTAACCTTCTTGCAGACTGCCCCAGCTCTTAAATACAGCTGGCTGGCCCTGTTGGGGAAGAAACCAGTATAGGGACTCCTTTGCCAAGTACCTCCTCTCTCTCCCCTACGTGCTTTCCCAAAGCAGCAAAATTATTTTAACCCTTTGTTTTTAACAGCTGGGCTCAAGTGCTCTCACATCTCAGGTGAGGAACCTCAAGGCAGTCATGGGTCCCTGCAGCAGCTGGCAGGGTTTCCTCAGGAACCTGACAAATAGAGGCACTGGAGTAACACGCACGAGACAGAACAGCTCTGTAGCTATGGTTATGGCTCAGGCCCTTGCTTCTATTTGAGCATTGCCTAGGTAGAAGTGGTGACATTATTCCATTTCTCTTTAGTGGCGTTTTTCACAAGCCCTTTCACTTCAGAAAATAATTGATGGGACTGCATATGACCTGATTTTCCTTGTCCAGAAACTAAAATCTTCTTTGTGATCCAGGCATTGTGTAATTCCACCCCCATAGCCAGTCCTCTGATGTGTTTGAAAGCTTTCTCTTTACCCTGTAACTACAGTGTTCATCCAAAATAACCAGATGCACGTACAAATTTAGCCACAACAAGCAGGCTTAACCACAAGCATTTCCACACTCTCAGAAATTTGAATCACCCCTGGACATCACAGTGAAAAGAAGCTTTCAAAAGTTTCCGTGATTTGGCAAAAAACTTTTTTTTGTTTGTTTGGTTTTGTTTTAACTTTCTAGCAGACGTGCTTTGGCCTCAGAATAGCTTTGTGTGTGAGACTGCATCTTATTCCAAAGAGCCTGGTTGAGCATGTACGAGGAGTGGTATTGGATGAGCTCAGCTTTTAGGAAAACACAGTCTGCCTGATTGTTCAGCAAATCTTTTGCACCTGGGAAAACCATTCATACCACGAAATAATTGTTTTTGGTTTGGTTTGGTTTTCTTTTTTAGAGAGAATACAGTGAAATTTAGAAATCATGTGGGAGATTACTGGTTCTGTTTTAGGACAGGGGAAAGGGATTTGTAATTCCTTTTGTAATTCCATTTGTAATTCCTTCACTATTTAAGGGCCGAAGAAATTACGGTTGTGCCCACTTTTAACATATATTTCAGAATCCAGCATTTTGTTTGTATGTCTGCATGGTAGACCTAGAGTCTGTGACTTCGTATTTCCTCTAGTGCAAGCTTGAGGCAAAGCTGAGCAGAATTGTGCCTGTCTGGGAAATTTTGCTGGTGTTTAAACAGTAGTGTCTGTAGCCCAGTGCTTGTGCTTCTCTGCACAGTCCCTCACTGATTGGCTTGGAAAATTGCTCTGGGAGTTTTGGTTTATAATGATGGCTGGGAGGCCGAACTGGTTGAGATGAATTCCTGAGCAGCTGTGCTTTGTAACCAGGGGACAGGAATGGCTGGCGTTTAAGAAGAGAGGGCTAGAGCTGGAAAATGTATGTGCTACTGCTAGCTAGCCACTGAATTTCTGTATGTTTGCAAGGACTTCATGCATTTGCTCTGTGACCCCGTTGTCTCGTCTGTAAAATAAAGGAGGAATGCTTTCCTGCCTCCTGTTTTCTGGGGGATTGGGCTGGGAGAGTTCCCTCATGTGGAGAATGTTGTGGTAGTGCAATACTTGCAGCACTATTGCAATGTACTCATAACCTCCTCATTCAGCATCAGTTCTTCATGCACAGTCTATTTTGGGTTTATAAGTGTGGTGTTCTCTTTCATTGCATGAAGCTCTCAGCAAACAGAAGTGACCACTGACGTTCTTTGCTGTTTTTCTGTTTTGCAAACTGTTTTCCAGCTCCACGTATTCTCCCAGCTACCACGCAGCGAAGAGGGAGACAGAATCAGCACCAGGGGACTTTGCTGGCTTGGAGAATGAAAGACAGATTTACAAGAGTGTGCTGGAAGGTGGAGATATCCCGTTCCAGGGGCTGAGTGGTCTCAAGCGACCTTCTAGCTCTGCTTCCACAAAAGGTAGGCGGTCAGGGTCCTAACCTGACCTTTGTTCTGAACAAAGTGTCAAAAGTCTGGTGATATGGGGCAAACTCCTGCAGGGTTTAGAGTCCTATTCAAGCCAGTCAAGGTTTCCTCTGTCCTTCCTCTTTGCCATCCCTGGTTTTCTCTCTTTTTATCTCTCAGACTACACTGGCCAGTATTTTTCATGACCCCTTTATCTGATCCAGGTTCCTCTTCTTACCAGGAACCAGCTCTCTCCCTCCTGCACCTCAGCCACATTCCACACCCTCCTGTTCTTCCTCCAGGCTGCTCAGGCTGGCCTTGCTGTCCATCTGCTCCCACTGCCTTGTCATGCTAGAGCCCTTCCCTGCCTTTCCTGCTCTTCCTGCTGGGGGGTCTCAGCAGGCGACACCATGGCTGCTGGCCTGGCCACCCTGGCGTAGCCAGCACCATGTGCTCTGCAGCCTCCTGCCTGCGAGGGTTGTACAGAGAATGCACAGGACATTGAACCAGCAACACCCTGCAGTCTCTGAGGCACCAAGACAGTAGAGGCTGCTGCATTCTCCTCCCCCTTCCTCCCCCCATCGTGGACTTTCAAGAAGATTAGGTCAAGGAAGAGTCTGACTCCCATCAGGGAGTTATACTGGGGAATGTGTCCCTGAGCCAACTTCAACCTAAAAATGGATTGAGATGGGGAGAGGACAGGGGAAGGAATGCTTTGGGTTTCTGAACTGCTCTCCCTAAAAATAGTGCATCACACCAAAAAGGTCTCTGTCTCCATCTTCCAGCTGTTTTTCAGTGTTATGTCCGGCCTATAGGGCAAGGAGTCAAACTGGAGATGAACAAAAAAAAATCTGGTCAAACAGTAATTGTTCCCCAAACTGCAGTTGAACCTGAATGGTTATTTTGACAGTTTAATTTGAACTCAGATTGGAAACAGACCTAAAAAAATGCAGTCACGGCTCAGCTCAGTCTGGATCTGATGTCAAAAAAATGTTCTTATTTGACTTCTTGATTTTTAAAGCAAACACAGGCCACACCACGCTGTCTGAAGCACACTCAGCTTATTCCTGGAATGGGAAATCTCTAAGCAAGCAGGTCTTTGACCAGGCCAGCTAATGTGGCATGCTTGTGCTTGCACAGTCAGCCCTTGATTTTCTTCTCCCTCTCAGGAATAAACTCTGTGGCACACACTGTGGTGAGATGCACTATGGTGTAGGTGTGATTACAGGCTTGGTGCATTACGCCATTTTTGCAATGTTAGTGCCTCTGCATTCGTGCTGACACCCTGATCCTGCCCAGAGTTCAGCCGCCCTTTTCCATAGTGCCACAGCTCCCCTGGAAGCTGATGATGCTCAGCACTTTTTAGGAGGGTACCTTGAAAGTGCAACAGGCCTGTTTCTGGCCAAGCCTCTCAGCTTAGAAACATTAGCAGCACTTCACCTACTCCTGTAAGTGCAGCTTGTTGTGCGGTGTCTTCCTGCTTTTCTTTATGTTTTGGAACTTTGTTTCTTTAAAGTGCATTGTATGAAATCCAAGCATGTTCTCTCTCCTTTCTCAATAGCTTTCTAGCACTTAAGCTAACAGGTTGTATTTATTTTATTCTGCATGCTTACCAGTGGATCGTAAAGGTGGGAATGCTCATATGACTGCACCCTCTTCAGTTAATAGCCGAACCTTTAACGCTAGTCATACCGGTATGTTAGGTCACTCATGTAAAAATAAGAAGCCCTTATCAGCTGCAAAAGCCTGCATTACTGAAATCCTCCCTTCCAAATTCAAACCCAAACTAGCAGCTCCAGCTGCTCTTGTGCAGGACAAGAAGGGTATCTTGCTATCTCATGAGAAAGCTCAAAGCTGCGAAAACCTTCGTAGCTCCATTGCCTTGTTTGATAATAAAAAAGCTTTTATGGTAGACATAGGGGAAAGCATAGAAGACATGTTGATGAAGTCGAAGCAGGAGTATGCCATCAAATCTGGCAGTACTATGAGCCTACAGGAGTATGGCACCAACTCTAGGAAAGGCTACCTGTTCCCTGCCTCCAGGAAGAGCGGGATGGAGTTCACAATGCTGTATAAAGACATGCACCAGATCAACCGGTCCAGGATCAATTTGAGCACAGTCTCCTCCTGCAGCGTGAGAGACATCGCGTCTCAGTTTGAGAATGAAGCAAAGGACAGGATGGAGCACAGCCTTAGTCGAGAGGATTCAGAGCAGATCCCCAAACACACCGTTTCCTCCCGTATCAGTGCCTTTGAGCAGCTGATCCAGAGATCCCGATCAATGCCCGCACTTGATTTTTCTACCGGACCAAGCAAGTTCACCACTTCTCTCCAATCTAAAACTTGTCTGAGTTCTGCCTACTCCGCAGAGTTTCTTCTGGATTTGCCAAAAACACACCGAGAAGAGAAGGATGCCACCAGCTTGGCAGACAAATCCTCCCGCTCCTGCAGCAATGTGGAGGACACAGCTTCGGATGTCAGTGATGCTATCCCTATGGACACACTTTCAGTTTGCACAGATGAGATAGATCTCCTCTCAAATGCATCCAATGACAGTGGTGGCAGCAGCAGCAACCTCAACGGACCTCAGAAGCATAAAATCAACAGGTGCAAAGGCACATGCCCAGCTTCCTACACCAGGTTCACTACCATCCGAAGGCATGAGCAGCAGCAGGCCTCCAGGAACCCTGATTCCAAAGGGGATATCTTTGGGGACAGACACACACTCCCCAGAAATGTCTACCTGATGAGCCCACTCCCCTTCCGATTGAAAAAACCCTTCCAACACAAGTCCAGCAGGACTCCACCCCCAGGCTGCCTGGAAACCCAAGCAATGCCCAGGCCCGACAGCCCAGATGACCCCATACAGCTGCAGGGGAGCACAGGAGATGAGAGTCACCACTCCCAGCACAGACTGTGCTCCAGAAGCAGGCCGCTGGCTCCCAGGCGCCTGTCTTCCTTTGACATTGTGGAGAGGCTTAGCTATTTCCCCACCAGGGGATCTAGCCGAGATAGCTCCATGGGCCGGTCTGGTACTCCTGACTCCTTACACAATGGGAACCCAGTCCCATACGCTCTATATCACAGCTTGGACACAAACAACAACCCGCAAAGTGAACTTGGGACGTACCTAGGAGGTGGCTTTTTGTGTTCTTTACCAGTGTCCCTTCATCTGTCTTCTTGCTTTCCTTTCTCCTCCCCTTTTCTTCCACAATCCCTGCATTTTTACCCCCCATCTTTGCATCCCCTGACTCTCTATTTTTTATTTTATTTTATTTTTTTCTGGTATGTCTAATGTCCTTTGCGTGTCTTGCTGAGCATTTTTGTTCAGGACATATTAACAGCTGCACTTCTGAGAAACGATTTCTGCTGCCTTTCTAATCACATCGTGTTCAGTTGGTCTCAAGCAGCTCCTGGGATGCAAGAATCTCAACATGAGTTATTTCTAGTCCTATATCATTTGCAGACATGGGAGTATAAAACAAACCCAGATGATTTGCTGTAAGGAGCAGTTTCTCAAGGTCATGTTGTGTGTGTATGTTTGTGTGTGTGTGTGTGTGTGTGTGTGTGTGTGTGTTAAACTTTTCTCAGTAGTAAAATGCCAAATCATATTTTGATGGCAGCAAATCTTTTCTTCACAAAGTCCTTCTGTGTTTTTACTCTTTCCCGTACCTTTATTTTCTTCCTGGTTTTGGATCTTTGTTAACAAGTATAGTCCAAAAGGGAAAAAAATGAAAATGGTTAAATTATCAACATCTGATTGGCAATTTGGTAAATGACAATTGAGAATCCTTACCGTTGTAATGGAAGCAAATTTTTAAAATATATTTATTTTTTTCCTTTCTGGTTATGCTAGATAAATCCATCTGTATTTTAACTTCCTTATGTTGTTTCGAAGTAGATTCAGAATCACCAAGGCATTTTGCACCATTTGATTACATGGAAACTCCCGAAGAAATTCTCCGCAGACGCTATGATGATAAAGAGGTAATAATGCCTTCTTTTATGGCCTAGTAACAGTTACGGCAGCTCTACATGCAAGAAATAAAGCAGTAATTCTTTTAGAAGGACAACTTATATGTGCATTGATATGTATATTGGAAGTTATAGCAAAAAGGTAGACCCAGTATATTTTATTTTTAATACTACTTTTGCCACTAATTTACTGTATAATGTGTAGTCCAGTTTAGCTTTTATTCAAAAGGAACCTGATAGTTCTTATCAATTGCACAAAACAATATATGGGGGCTTTAAAAATGTATAAAGGCTGGAGAGGTATGTGAGATGCGGTATAACACCTCGGTACTTGCAGATAAAGCTGAAATGGTATTTCTACAAGTGAATTATATTTTTATTGTTCTCCACGAAAGCCACCTGAGTCAGTATTAATCAAGCTGGTCAGAAAGGGTTTATTTTCATGCAAGAGTCCTCAGGTTTTGAATAACAAATGTAAGGCGTATCAAGCCACCAGGAAGTGTGAAGCTTTTCCCCAATGCAGATTAGAATTCTTTGATATCTCAAATTGTCAACAGAATGTATCAGCCCTTTTTGAAATGGCTAGGTGATGTATGGACAAGCTGAAATACTAAGAGAGCAACAAAGGATGTTCAGCACTGACCATATTCAAGTTGGGTTAAAGAAATTATAAAGTGTTTGCGTTCTAGGGAGCTTGTTTAATAAATAAAAATAAAACCAAGTAACAATTTTACTGAAGAATCATGTTACCTTTCTGAGTTCAAATTATGTTTGTGTGGGTTTTGAAATGTGTGTAAAATCTGTTCTTAATTCCAATGTGAAAAATATACCTTTAGCTTTCTTCTCCCATGAAACAGTAATCCCCCCACTGCCAAAAGCCAGCAAGAAAGCTCATCTAAGAGCAAAACTCTGAGTTCACTGAGACATGCTGGCTTCAAATTATAAAATCATTCAGTTGGAAGGGACCTACAAAGGTCATCAACTTCAACCGCCAAATGAGTTACCAAAGAACCTAACTCTTCAGCCTACAGTCAGCCCCAAAACATGCAAGAACCCTTCTGCATGGTTCTCGAGAATTCTCATTTCCATTAATGTGCCAGAGCCTAAAGAAGTCCAAAATATTTCTGTGGGGTTTGTTTATTTTATGAAGTGTGTTACATGAACCCAAAAGGAAGTATGGGAGAATCTGATACCTGAAGGTGGGTTAGGCACTCTCCCAAGCTCCTTTCAAAGCTCAGAGGGGTTTGGTGCCTCAACTTACCTGTGGATCTGATTCAGGTCTCTTGGAAGTCGAGAGAAACTCCTTATTGGCTGGAGGGGGTGTTGCATCAGCCCCCTGCATTATCAGCGAGCTTCCAATTTTCTTAGAAGTTCCCAAGACCTGGCCAAAACTTAGAAAACCTCATTGACTTCCATCAGTGTTGGATCAGATCCACTGTATGAGCTGGATTGCTGTTATGTGATAAAGGGAATGTACTTTTGTGCTTGCTAAACCAAAGGGTATTGTGTAGTTAGTAGAATCAGTGTTTTATGTTGAACTGTAAAGTTCCAGCTTTTTGCTGGGACCTCAGGAATTTTATTCAAGTCACATTTGTGGCAGCTTTCAAATGGCCTTAACTAGATAATTTACTGCCCATTTTATGCAATTTTATGGCAGAAACTTTTAGAGGACCAGAGACGGCTTAAACGTGAGCAAGAAGAAGCTGATATTGCAGCTAGAAGGCACACAGGGGTTATTCCAACGCACCATCAGTTTATCACTAATGAACGATTTGGGGACCTCCTAAATGTAGACGATACAGCAAAGAGGAAATCTGGGTCAGAGGTCTGTTTTAGTTACCTCAGTCTGCTGCTTGACCCAAAGCGATATTTGCCTCTCACAATGTTGTGCTGTAGGCCAACATTAGCTCTTCGGAGAATGTCGTTTGTTTTTTTTATCCCTTTTCCCCTTTCCCATTCTGGCTTCATTTAGAACTGCTTTGACTCTTGTGCCTGGTAATTTAATAGATACCTCTATACCAAGCTGCATATGTTAAAGCATGCCTGCTGAGAATTGCTGGTGCACACCTGTGATGCATGCCTTTAAATATCAGCTACTTGTAGTAAATCAAAGGCATTCTACATCCTTTGCATCATATTGCTACATCGCCTTCTTGTCTGTGCCTTATGCTTAGAAACTTCATGTCTTGTTGATTCTGGCCATGCGACTGTTTTCATAGTTGTTGTTGTTTTTTAAAAAAAAAAAAAAAATAGATTGTTTCTTCTCCTATCTAAAGATGTCCTTGGGAAAAAAATGGAAAAAAAATGGTCTCAGCATGTTCCACTGAGTAAAACCTGGTCAGCCTTTCAGAAAGAGACAAAGGAGGAGATAGATGTATTTTTTTTTCATGAGCCCAAGGCAGTTCTCCCTAGACTCTCCCTGGATGCTAGGCCAGGTGTGCTGGCCACATGCTATCTCCTGCCTTACAGATTGCTGCTGTGGCTATTTACAGCTCCTGTGTTTCCCCAGAGGTGCAGCACAGTGGCAGTGGGTGAGGTGGTCACCATGTGGATGGGGTACATTTGTCTGCCCCTTGTTTACATAGCTTCAAATGCAGTTGTGCCATATAAATGCATCTACTTCTTATTTTATGCTTCATTACCAAAATGACTTTTAAATTGTCTGAGTATTCAGTAGCTATTAGAAAACAGCCAGCTAAATCATGTTTTGAAGCCCAGGCCTGCTGTCAACATGTCCTCTTTGGCTTTTTAGCCACTGAAGATGTTTTTTATGTACAGGCCTGATTTATTCGTACTTCCTCCTCACCTTCGTCTCTTTGCTACCAATCCATATTTTTTTTATTTTTTTTCCCCAGCTGGTTAATTTTGCTTTCTGATTCAGACACTGAGAGGATTATTTTTCGAGTCCCGGTAACTGTAGTTACTGGAGCAGCTCTTGTTAACCAGGGTTTGTCAAATTTAAATGTTTACTGCTGTTAAATCCATTTTCTTTAGAGCATTAATTATGATTAAACCAAAAGTGTTATACCACTTTTTGCCTTGGTAAGGGAGACCCATCCAGCATATTTGAACTGTCATACCAGTTGCACACCAGCTTGTAGCAGAATACCTGCATTCAACATCCTTCCCTAGACTAATGGTAGCTATAGAAGAGTTTGGGTTGTTTTTCCTTAGAAGAGGATGGAAAACCTAATTATTATCTTAATGTGCTAATTATTATATTTTTTTGATCTCTAGATGAGACCTGCTAGAGCCAAGTTTGACTTTAAAGCGCAGACGCTGAAGTGAGTATAGCTTGTTACTATTGCTTTTGGTGTTCTTCCTCTGTCTTTTCCCCTAGGATGCAGCATTTATGAAGTTTCATGCCATTGGATTTAAGTGTATCTTTCCAACTCAGTCGAAACAAAGTTCACAATATGGCAGGTGAAAGTAATACGAATCTTGCAGGTCATAGCCTGTAATGGTCCTTTAGGAAAATGTCTTCTTTCTCAGGGTCAGCAAGAGATTTAAACAGGTGCCTAGTTCATGTAGCTGGGCCTTTGACTCAGGATTTTCCTGATTCAGGAACTGTAAGGATACAGACTGGTCACCGCTCCCCTGATATCTGTGGAAAAACCAGCAGATGTTTCTAGTGGCATTGTACCTTCAAACTCTGTTGTGGTCCTTGTGATGAATCAAACAAGAACAAGAACCTTACTTTTTGCATTTGCCTTTTCATGAACCTGGAGAGTCTCTCATTTTAACATTGCTAAGGAGGGGAGAAAGAAAAGCAGATTTCAGTGAAGGAGCGGAGCAGCTGTTTTCCTTCTCAGGTGCTAATGCCCTGGGATGGTTTTGTTATATATTCTATAGGTGATGATTTGTAATGATTTACACAACATCTCCCCAGGACCTGTAATAAAACTGAAGCAAATGTAAGGATTAACTGATGTATCCCTAGAGGAGAACATACCAAAGTACCAAACAAAAATAAAGCAGAGCTCATGAAAATCATGGTAAGAAAGGCTGGATTTTTTTGTGAGGACCCATGTAGTAGGTTTATAAGCCTAGTACAAGCTTCCCACAGTGGTTGTTCCTCAAGGTGCAGATATTGATAAATCTAGGACAGAAGACTCTGGGTTGAAATCCCAGTTTTTAGGCCAGGTGAGGTCAGTGGTTGTACTGGCTGACCATAAGCATAATAAGGATCAACATTTGTGTGTGAGAGAGGTCATCTAATCAGCAAATTAGTTTCCATTAAAATCATGTGTCCTTTTCGAAGGCTCTTGTGTAATGCCTGTTTTCAAAACAGGAATTGAGCACAACTTTCAGTCCTTCCATATCCAACACAGAAACCAGCCAGTGGCATCTGTTGCTTGAGTTTGACCCCAATCCTGCTGGGAGGTTGTGTGGTCAGTAGGGCCCTCATAGGTCTGCTTTTCTGACACAATCCAAAAGAACAAGAGAGTCCTTGCACATTGCAGTGTGAACAGGATAATAATTCTCAGCATGTAGCTTTCACTTTGGTTGGAGTGCGATATATCAATAGGGCTGATGCAGATCTTGGTACCTATGAGTTGCTGGCCAGTTAACACATCTGATCTCCAGTGATATTCTGATGGAGTGCTTGTGTTGTTAACAGGGAACTTCCTCTGCAAAAAGGAGATATTGTTTACATTTACAAGCAGATTGACCAGAACTGGTATGAAGGTGAACACCATGGCAGAGTTGGCATCTTCCCACGATCATACATAGAGGTAGCTGCAAATGTTCTCTTTTCTCACTCCCTTTCTCCAGTGACCACTTCATGAACTTTTTGCATGTTTATCACTTGATTTTGTTTGTTCATTCTAGCTCCTTCCACCAGCTGAGAAAGCTCAGCCCAAAAAGCCATCACCATTGCAAGTATTGGAATATGGAGATGCCATTGCTAAGTTCAACTTCAATGGGGACACCCAAGTGGAAATGTCCTTCAGAAAGGTGGGATTTCTGTTGTGCTGTTGAATTGAACCCAGACAAAAGGTTTTTTTTATGCTAGCAACTTGCAATTTCCAAATGAAAGCTACAATAAGATCAAGTGTTTAGTGGTCTGATCCCCCCCAGTGGAGATGCATACAGTCATATGAAAATGGTGATTTGACAAGAAGAAAGCTGTTTTCCCCTTCTTTTACTCTACAAGCTACATTGTTAAGCACAGGCAGGCAAGGTTCTGTGGTGCTGGAGTGACTGCCTACATTTGATTGCAGAGTCAGAGAATAGGAATGGGTTGTGGAATGGCTGTTCAGAGCAGTCAGGCATATTTACGGAGAAATGCTATTTAATCTCTCAACCAACTCAAGTTTTTTGATGATCAATTTAGATCTTGTCAGCCTTCTTTGCATTATAAGTGAAGGTGGCACTTGTAGTTTATATTAAGAGTCTGGAAGTCACTTCATTTGTCAGCAAAACATGAGAGATCATACAGACACCTAGTTTAAACTGCAGATTGGTGCTTACTCCCTGTACACCTCATACCCCTAAAGGTCTCACAGTCATTCAATTTTTTTATGTGGCTTTAGTACATATAGTCTTGAAAACATGAGGTAAGTGTAACTGAGTCTGTAGGCAGCATGAAAGAGCACCAGAAGATCTGCATCTCCTTCTCTGAACAGACAAGTATCATTCCCACCCAGAGGTTAGTGTAAGAACCACATGATTTGGGAATAAGGGAGGCTGAGAGCCACAGATTATTTTAAATCATCTGCAGCAAGATTAAAAGCGTAATATGCTTTGGAATGATCATATGTTAATATGTTGAAGTTGGAACTCCATTGCCATTCTTTCGACAGGGTGAAAGGATCACATTGATTCGACGAGTGGATGAGAATTGGTATGAAGGAAGAATCCCTGGCACCAGTCGCCAAGGCATCTTCCCCGTCACTTACGTGGAAGTACTCAAACGGCCAGTGGTCAAGAATGCCATTGATTATCCAGACCCACCTATGTCCCTCTCCCCTAACCGCAGCATGACAGCTTCACCACAGGTATTTGGACTGGCTGCAGCCAGTTACTGCACCTTGTGGAACAGAGGGATGTTGCCATTATTGTGCAGGAAACAATAGGTGGGAAAAGATCTAGCTAACACTAGTAATCTGCACAGAAAAGCCCTTGTGCTCCCTGCAGTATGCTGAAACTGCAGGAAAAGGTGATGTTTCATTTACCAGAAAGGTTAATGAATGGGTAATTTGGGGATTTGGAGACTCAGTTTTTCTTCTCTGATCTGTAGCTTGAATTCAAGCCAGGGCAAAAGGGCTATAGTTAATAGCCATCCGAATAAGTTTCACTGCCAAAGATGGAATGAATCGGTGATCCAACCTCTCCTGAGTGGGTGTTTACAGGCCTCCACTGTGATGAGTGGATTTTTTATAATGATTATTAAAAGAGCATTATCATGGACTGTTATGTGCCATAGGAGCTGTTACTATGGATCCCAGTGGGTTTGAATCGTGCTATACCTTTACTCCAAAATGTTCCAGATCAGGACCAAGATTTTAGGAGACAAGGTCACGAGGGTGTGCTGCAGTATTTGCAACTCTTGCTAAATGAGCTCAAGTTTAGAGAGCAGACCTCTCTGGGATCTCTCATGATTTCATTATAAACCATACTACAGTTCAAACCAGAAATCAAAATAGCAGCAGATAACTGCATGGGGAATGTGGGAATCCCAGAATGTTTGCCATGGAAAAGGTGTCAGGGAGGCAGTGAGTCTCTAAATCCCTTTGTTTTGCTCTCATTCTGCAAATACTCACACTTTCGAAGGTCAGCATACATGTCGAGGATGTGTCTGTGAGGTTCTGGTGCATCCCTTTTATCACTTGGGACTGAAGTAAGGTTGTTCTGAGGTCGAGACTGCAAGGAATGAAAGTTAAGAATTGGGATCAGGAGGAGGGGATGTACAGTACAGGACAGACGGGAAAGACTTCTGTGACTCGAGCCTGGAGTTTGTGTGGATTGTCCCTAAAAGGAGTGGTTTTATTCTTACCTCCTGTGTAAGGAAGAGAGGCTTGTTGCTTCTTTGGGGTTCCCTGTGAGAGTGGTCCCCAGGTGCATTTTTCCATTTGAGCTTGGCAGTCTCTTTGTAGCTGTGGCCCCTCTGCCACCAGCTCTCTGCAAGCTCTTCTCCCTTTGGTGGAAGGGATTGTAACCAACTTTCTTTGGTTTCCTTTGCTACTCCTTTGATTCCTTCTTAGTAAAGCAGTTCTCTTCCATACTTTTCCACCTAACTTGGCAGAGAACTGAGAAACAATCTAATCAGTGCTAAAGTAGTTGATCTCACTGATGTTGCTGATAGTAACAGCCTAGGGCAGAATTTGGTCCTGTGCTCTACCTTTATAAACATAGGACTTTAATCATCCAGAGTCCAAATAGCCATAGCTGTTGTTTTTTTTGATCCGTTTCTCCCCCATGGCTTCAGCAATGCAATTTTCTTGAGGAGCAGGCGTTACTCATTGTAGGGTTGGATAAAGTCAAAATTCAATGCAGCAATGAATTCTGACTGGTTTCATAATGTGAGCTGCTGAAGTCCTGGGTATTACTGCCAGGCCAGTCAAACGCTATGTTGCTATCCCGGATGATGGCTTCAACTGCTCCCTGAGGGACTTAGGGCATATGGTAAGAAGTGTAAGATCTTCCACAAGGCATTTTGTGTCTGGAATACTGGTAAAGACTGGGGAAATGTATTAGGAGCACAGATGAGGACTGGACTCTGTGGTTGGGGTAGCTGTGGACAGCACGTTCTCTGACAGGGTGCGCCTGTCCGTGGAAAACTACACACATGCTTGATCACAGATCTGCTCCTCTCCATGCTCGCTCACTCTCCTTTTACTTTTGCTCAGTTGCTTTGTATTTTCCTTTCTTATTTTTGTTCATTTCTTTCTTTTTCTCTTCTGCTTTTGTCTCCTTCAAGTCTCCCAGCTCTGAGCTGCTCCATACACCAACTCCTCCGCCTTTGCCTTTCGCACGCCGCGCCTTATCTCCAGAGGTGCAGGCGGTCACATCCGAGTGGATTGCTCTGACCGTGGGAGTGTCTCCTAGCACCACTCCTGCCATAACTCCTCCATTGCCTCCTCCGCCTGAAGCCTCCCTCCCTCACACTGACTCTCTCGCGCCTTCTGCTGCAGCCAGCCCTTCCCCCTCGGTCAGCCTCCACCACTCTCATCTCTCGGGCTCCTCGACTCCCAGGTCCATTAAATCCCCATTGCCCTCTTATTCATCCAGGCCTCAGTCCTCCGCTCGCAGTTCCTATCAGGCCACTCCGCAGAGCGAAGAAAAGTTTGTTGGCTCCCCGTCTCCCGGCGCGAGCTACTCTAACTCCCCTCGCTGGGCAGGTGGGAGCCCTGAAAGCGTCCTCGCAGAGCAGCGTGGCACCCCTGGCAGCCAAGCCTGGCTCCAGAAGACCAGAGAGGGCAGCAGTAACCCCGAGCAGGGTTCCTATGCTGGCCCCAAGATCTCTGTTGAGCGCTGCCTGAAACCGTCCCAGCTAGACATGCGTGTGAGCCCAGAAAAGAGACCTCTGAGTTCCTATGAGGACAACCAGTTGTGTCAGGAGCTAATGGCTATTGTGCAGGGAGGTAAAGCAGAGAAAAGAGGCGTGAGGAAAGGTGATCTGGGAAAGTTTCAAAGCGGGGAAAATAAGGTACTTCTCCTGCATGTGTGTGCACTGCTCTGAATCCCTGATTTTACCAGTGTGTTGGGGTTTGTGCTGCTCTGCTGGCCACACAAAGCCAGTGGCTGCCACGTGTCCTGTTGGTGACTGTAAGACCTTCATCCAGGATTCACCAGTGGCATTCACTGGACAGCAGGTCAAAAAATTTTAGAACAGGGCTCAGGAGTAGTGTAGTGAGAATTATTCTAGAGTAGATAATAGCACAGGACTGACTCAATTGGTCCTGTCTAAAGAGGTGACTGTCCCAGACAGTGGCTGTTATCAGATGTGTCAGATCATAGAATCACAGAATGGTTTGGGTTGGAAGGGACCTTAAACATCATCTAGTTCCAGCCCCCCTGCCACGGCAGGGACACCTCCCACTAAATCAGGTTGCTCAAAGTCCCATCCAACCTAGATTGGATAAAAGTATCACACAGGCCTCATGCCCCTGTAATTCACCACATAGAATACAGGCAATTATTTGATATTCAAAGATTTTCCAGTGTGCAATGGACCATCTTTGGTAATGGGATTTATTTCTTCCCCTTTAATGCAAGCACTTCTTGTAAATGTCAGCCTGGCCTGTGGAATCACAAAAACGATTCCTTGCTGTGGAAGTGCAGGATGGTTGATCGTGGAGTCTGTGCATTAGTGAGCTTTAGTTTTGGATGTGCAAGACTAACTCATGGAGGTTTGCTTCTTATCTGTGCTTTGAGTGGAATTTATTAATTTTGCATATCCAAAATGCTGTGACATAGTCCAGCCCCAAATGCGAATTAGACCAAGTGTTATTTTCCCCCAAGAGTATTTAGGTATGTTATTAGAAGGAACACAGGGGAACCCTCTAGTGGTTTCTACATCTTCTGCCCGCAGTCTTCTGCCTTACTTTGCAGCCCTCAGTTGGCTTGGTGTCCGTTGTGGGCTACAGCCACCCAAAAGACGTGAGAGCATCCTCATGCTACCTTGTACAGGAGTGGGAGTTTTGAGAGCTCAACATCATAGTGTTATAAGTAGCTTCTTGAATGCAATGTGATAGCCTCCTTGGCATGCCCTATCTGGCCGATGTTAAATAATGAAGGACTGTGGTTTCTAAGATGACACATTTCACACTGGGAAATCTTAGGACAAATTGCTTGATTTCTGCTTGAATCATAACCAGAAGCATATTGAAAGCTGTGTAAAATCTATGCTGTTTACCATCTGGATATATTTTTAGCAGCATTTTCTACAGGCGTAACTTGCATGTTTAAAACAGAATGAGGTGGTGAGTTCAGACAAACCAGCTAGGAAACTGCACCTGCCCTTGCATGGAGTTCAGTTTGCTGTGTGTGCATCAAATTTTACTGCATAGCAAATGCTCTTATCACTAGGAGTGATTGTGATAAGAGTGCATGTGCCAAGCTGACCAACTTTTCTTTTCTTCAAAAGACTGCAGACTCAAAAGCATTCTCTTCATCTGCTCCTCTCTCTTCCTCTGCCCTCTCTTCCTCTACTGTCACAACACAGCCACCTCCCAGACATACACGCAGAGTCAATAAGCCACAGGTAATCATCTTTGCTGATTACTCTTCCATTACCTAGAGTTGTTTCCATGCCACGACATTGTTTTGTCATATGTTTATCCATTCACTGATTCAACAGATGAGATATTTCTCCTGCCATTTAAGTAAGCATTTTCATTAAATAAATAAATAAATAAATAAAATAAAATAAAATAATTTTAAACAATTTCCAGGCTGTGCAGAAGGACAGGTATGAGCAAAATCTTCAGCTGGTGCAAACCCACATAGCTTTGCAAGTCCGTGGGTTTCTGCCAGTTTGCACCAGCTGATCTGATTTTCTGTTCTTTCAAAGGATTAACTCAGGACCTTTCAGTTCCTCAGCTGTTGATAGGTTCTGACCTTGCATTCCTACAGCTTGATTTCATTGCAAGGCAGTATCGGTGCTTTGTTAGCAGGAACAATATAATGTAAGGTACTTTGTTTCCGCTTTTGTTTAACCACCTGAGATCAGGATTCAGGGCTTGAGTGTCTCAGAGCTGGGATGAGGCACGCTCAGGTTGGTATCAGCTGTGCTGGGGACCTGTCGCAGCCTCTCAGGTAGGATAGCTGTAGTTCAGAGGTTCTCAGCTCAGCTGCTGAGAGCTACAGTCATCTTTAAAGAGGGGCACAGCAGTGTCTGTGTGCAGTAACCAGCTCGGCCTCAGCACTGTGTGGTGGCTCTTCCCGGCTCCAGGAAGGAGCAATGCTTCTGGTGACTCCTCAGTCTTTACAGGCAACTCCCACACGATGGCGATGTTTGAAACAAAATGCTCAGAATCAGCAAAAAACGGACTGAGGTTGGAGCAGCGGGTTTGGGGGCAGCACTCATGGCTTGGTCAGTGAATCAAGCAATTGCTCACACAGAATGAGTTTGGGAAAGAGTTGCCAATTATACTTATTTTCTTGATTGCTTTCTGAGAGAGAGATCCAGTTTTAACCCTGAAGTTTCCCTGTGTCCTTTACTCACCTCATTTCCCATGCTGACTAGCGTGCACTTCTATTTTGGGTGTCACACCTGGATGTAACAGGACTCCATGGCCTTTTTTTTTTGGAGTTGAAGTCAAGCCAAAATTTATGTTATGTGCCTTGACAATCGGCCCATTGTCAGTGTCAAGTTAAAATTGTTTGACAGTCAGTAGTCTTGGCCTCCTTTCCAGCTCTGAGCCTACAGCTATTTAGGGAGCAGGAGTGGGATTTATATGTGCAAATGACTTTCCCATCACCTGCATGGCCCATACAGAGGCTGATACCTTCAGCAGAACTGCTGCTAATCCCCTGGGGGCCTTCTCAAAAGTCTGTTGTCTTTTCATTGATTGTAATCAAATGAGAAGAGCATTTAGTAGACATGGAAACGAGACATTGCAGACATTGGGAAGGCAGGGCTGTGTCTTCGTGAGCAGCTGGACGAGGGTCCTTTGCCCTGGCAGTGTGAGGAGTCTCAGTCTGGGGACAGCCTGCTCCTTTCTGCTTGTGCAGAGGCAGGCAGAGATGTGAGTAATTTCACTCAGTTTGTGCTGGCAAAAAGGAGAGGAGTGGCAGAACAGGCCTGCTCAGGCATCAGCACAGACCAGCTATGCTGTGTTCATTACTTAGCACTGCCTCCATGGTAAGCTTTTACCCCCACCCAGTGGTTTGCTGCTGCTGCACTGGTCCAGCACCACAAGGCTGGTTATCCAAGCCACAGCTGCACATCCTGCAGCAGGCACTGGCACCTCACACACAGTGGAGATTCATTTTTCTGCTGTAGACACAACCTTTAGCTCCTGCTCCTGGGGCCAGGGAGTATTTGTGTTAACTCTGACAGCCTTTAGGTCAGGCTGCTGTGCACTGCAGCTTTTTCAGCATCCTTTGTGAGAGCTCTTGGGCCAGCTTTCCCCTCACTCCCACTGGAGCTGGGGTTTGGCATGTGCAGCAGTTTTCCTGAGCAGTCCTCCCTGCTCATGGTTCTCTGTCCACGTGCAGGAACGTTGCTGCTGCTGTGTGCCTGTCTCTGAGGGATGCCAATTTGTCTGCCTTCGTCCGTCTGTCTTGTTGGTCTGTTCTGCTTAGCTTTCTTTGCTCATGTGGTCCTTTTAACTCCCACCAGAAAAGGATTGGAAGACAACACATAAACAAGAGCTGCAACAGGTAGACACCCCACTGATGACCCTTGATTCTGCTAGGAGCGTGGTGAAAGCACTATTGAGTAGCCCCAGGATCTTTCTTCCTAACAGTAAACACCTGTCTGGGGACTCCTGTAGGCTCTTAACATGGAACATCTTTCTGATATTCCCACAGACCTGTGGTGCTCCTTAGATCCGTTCTCAGACCCCATATGAGATGGAAACAGCGGCCAGCTGTGCTTCAGAACCGACTGTCTTGCATATTTGTGTAGTCTGGAGACAGAGACACTTAAGCATCTGCTTAGTCTTAACAAAGCACTTAGTGTGACTGAGAGGGTAGCACTTGGGTTGTCTTGATGGTTCGCGAATGCTTTGTCACTTGTAGGGCCCTCAGTTTAACTGCAGCAGCTGCAGGACTGGATCAGCTTTTTGGGGGAACCCCTGTGTTTTGTGCTTCCAAGGTACCAGGAAAGGGAACGTGGCCAAGTTTCTGATGTTAGTAGGCTGTGTCTGCTGGTATTACAGATATAAGCCAGTACCATGGAGCATTCAGAAGTAGTGCTAATTTTTTAGCTCTCAAGTAATTAATTTAATTCAGAGTTATTAATGCTTTTTAGAGAAAAGCTGGCCAGGGAGTTCACAAATAATCAGTGAGAAATGGACCATGCGGTCTTAAGGAGCTCATGGAGCAATTCCAGCTGTCAATGTATTAGTAAGGAGCAAGGAAGCACTTTCTTGAATTTTAAAAAATCGTTCTTACAGCTGTCTCTCACCTCAGACTGGAAATTGGTTTTCCCAGCTACTTTACCACCTGTGTTAGTCTGATCACATCGGATTTGATGCACTATATTCAGTTGCTCTGCACAACATTAATTTTAAACTTCTAATTATTCTGTTAACCTTTCAGGGCTGATGACAGACAGGCAGAAATGACTTCCAGAAATTCTGTCATTATTTCAGGCTTTGAAGACAAATTCCACTGCAATTATCCCATCCCGATGACATTTTATTTTCTCTCTACAGAAATATGCACAGTAATAGGACATTGTGTCTTAGGGCAGTGATCCCAGATCCCAGCCCCAGGCAGCACAGCTGATTAAGGGGGCGTTGTTGTGGGGTTGGGTTGGCTCGGACTGGGTCACAGTCCTTGAGAAAACAGACAGCTCTTTTGGAACCATGCCCATTGTATTAGAGGTCCGAGATGTGGTTCAGAGGAGCTCTGAGAACGGGAAGTAGGCAGGGATGAGCTCATCACCCCACGCTTATCCAAACTCCTTGAGCATGCTTGTGCTGAAGGTGTCACAAAACATCTTTATCCTCTGCTTCTGCTCTGTGTCAGGATGCCATGAGAAAGCAAGCCTTTCCCTAAAACTGCGCTGCAGCCACATCTTTGAGAGCACAGGATGACAGAAGGGCACTGTTGAAGTAAAGAGGAGGAGGGAAAGCATAAATTTGAGGCATTTGGGTGGAATATTATACTGAGTGATCACAGAAGAAGGCAACGTTCTGTATCTTATCTGGTCCGGTTTGCTAATCAGTACTGCACGGACTGTTAGAACTGGACTAGTTCAGGCTTCCCATTTACTAGAGCACACACACAGCATTCCCCTTGCTTTCAGTAGGTGTTCGAATCTACAAAAGCATGCAAAACTAGGCTCTGGATATCTGTGTGACTGTCTCAGTGACAGTCCCCTTCCCCATAAAACCTCCACCCCCTTAAAGCCTGGTTTTCCTTGCTGTGCCCTAGGACGTGTGAGCTCCTGTGAAGAGGTGTGGCTAGGGAGGAAGGCAGAGTCAAAGGTGGTGGTGTTTGGAGCTGAGTTTTCACTCAAGGCCTCCTCTGACCTGGAGGAGCTCTGCCTTGTTTGGGGAATTAACAGAGCAGTTTGCATCCTCACGTGGTACAAGCTAGAGTGATGTTGGTGATGGGGCTACACTGCATTGTGCCTTTTGAGGACCTGAACTGGTCTTTTTCTTTTCTTTTTTTTTTTTTTTTTTTTTTTAAGAAGCAAGCAAGTTCTCTCCTGTGTCAAAGTCACTGAGAATTTTTCTAAAACCAGCAGCAGATTCCTCTCAGTGAGTTTGATGCACTCAAGCACGTGCTTCTGTCCTTGTTTTTCACCCCTACAGGAATGCAACATGATGCTGTGTATCATTTCTGGTTGTAGCTGTGTCCGTAATCTTCCAGCTCATCCTCTCAGTCCCTGCTCTAAGCTTCTGTTTCGCTGTCACCTTCCTCTTTGCAGCATCCTGTGTGCTGCATTGCTGTAGTCCTAATGTTTAAATGAAAGACCTTGTTGTCCAAAAAGAGTGGTGTTGGGGTGGGGAGGGGAGGAGTTGTTCTTTTTCTTTTGTTGTCTGCACACCATTTATTTATTTATTTTTAATTCTGACCAGTATGACATCTGCTAAAATGTCTTCCTTATCATTTGCTTGGTGATCACACAGCCTTCCCACCATTCATTGAGAGCTGGACCAGATCTCACAGAGTCTGAAAAGAGCTATGTGGTAAGGCCACTGTTTAAATCAGATGTGTAGTCCTAGCCTCTCTTCACCCAGGCAGAAACATCTCAGTAGAGTATAATATGCCAGCACCATTTTTAGCTGCAAAGTAGGTACATTTTTATCTATTTACGTTGTCTTGTTTGCAACGGAAGCGGGGAATTTAGCACTTAGAAAAACTGCCATATTCAACAAGAAGGTGGGCTAATTGTGCTGCCCATCCCTGGATATAAGCTAAATGAAGCCAAATGCATGAATGGAGCAGCCCACCTTGTGGTCTTGAACTGACTTCATAGCATTTTTAATGATGCCACTGCAGAACTAATTGCAACCTCTTATGCTGCTGCTTTTTAAAATATATGTATATGTATTTGTGACAAATCTTCAAACTAAATGCCAAATTCTTCTGTATCTTGCCTGTTTTTCCATGCTTACACCTGGATCCCTTCTGCACTCCACTACCTGGATGTTTACCTGGATCTACAACTTTTTTCTTTTTTTTTTTTTTTTAACTGGACTTATGTACTGCATCTGGAATGTCCCATCTCTTCCTGTCTATATTTTCCCCTCCCTCCCCCCTGTTGACTGTTCTTTGGGTGTTCTTGGATGTCAATGCTGCCTACCACGCAGGAAGCTGTTTGCAATGAGATCATAAACATTGCAGAAAAGTCTGTTCATTACTGCAGTACTATTTCTCAGCCTCTTGACTCTCGCCACAAGGTGACCTCTAATGACAATAAACCATCTCTCATCATTTCTCAGCAACCTCAAGCACAGCAGCAAGGAGCCAGCCCTGACAGAAGTCATACACCACGAGACATGTAAGTCCTTTTGGCTCCTGTCTCTTCCAGGAGCCTTGTCTCTTACTGGTGGTGAAGATGGGGTGGTGTGAAAGCTTCAGCATCTCAGGGGTTACATTCAAATAATGGGAAAGTGACAGCTTTTTTTTGAAGAACAAAAAGAGCCACATGATCATAGTGAGAATTCTAAAACTGGGACCTTTTTTTCTGTATACCACCTGAGGCAATGACCTCATGATCCAAGACTGGGTCGCCTTTGGGCTCTTGATTCATGCTGCTTACAGAGGTTCTCTCACTGGCTTCGTATCTGAAGCTGGAGGTGAATTAGCATCCATTAGCTACACCTGGCTCATATGGCATGAATTGTTATGTTCATCCCTTTTCTTAGCTTCTCACAGCACAATGAGCAGTCCCAACACCAGCCACCTCATGCATTGTTGTCTAGGTCCAGGGGAGAGTATCTGGTTTAATGATCTGAGAGACTAAGGCTGAGATCTTCAGTGGTTTCTGTTAGATTTAAACCTGAAGCTGCCACAGAGCAGTAACCTGCACTGTGCACTGGTGACTGAAGTTCACTGACAATTGGCTCCTAAAATGAGTCTTTACTTCCCCCAGCCTCCTCATGGAGAATTGAAAGTCTCACATCAGCTTTATTTTCACTCCCCACAGCCAGGGGACCCAAGCATCCACCAAATTTGCCCAGAAATTTCTTAACAAAAGGATGTCAGAACAATCCAACAGCTAACGTGTGCTATTTTTCTGGTTTCAGAGTTAGCTACCAAGCCCTCTACAGCTACACTCCTCAGAACGATGATGAGCTGGAACTGAGGGATGGTGATATTGTCGATGTCATGGAGAAATGTGATGATGGCTGGTTTGTGGGTGAGTGTGACACTTGGCAGGCAGCAGGGCTCTTTGAGATGCAGATGAGCGATTTTGCAGAGCATCTAGAAGATGCTTTCATCTGAAGAATCAAAAGACGGTGAAAAAAATCAACTCAACTTTTTTGGTGGTTTCTCATCTTTTCACACCAAGAACATTAAAATTAGGCTGCAGGGTGATGGAACTTTGTTTTCTTTGCTAGCTGTCTAGATTTTCCTTTTTGTGCCTTTGATTTTCCTTTTTCTCCTGATCCTCCTTGCTCACACAGATAGCAGAGCAGCAGAGGGAACCAAGGAAAGCTGGATTTCTGTATCTTTTCCAAAGCTGAGGGAGCTATGATGAGTTACAGAAAGTGGCAAGTAGGGGACAGAGGGAACACTTGTATGGGAGTTGGAGTCCCTGGAAACCCAGCCTCATTTGTAGATGTGTATTTAGCAAAATCTAGCCCTGTATCTTCAAATAGTCAAGTCTGGACAGTGCTATCTGTCTCAGCAGTGCAAATTAGGCTCATCCTTGGTTGTTGAGGAAGATTAGCTCATCTGAACTGGTAGGAGTTTGGCTTCTAGACTATAGGCCCAGAAGCTTTCACCAGCACCCTATCCATTGTTAAAAGGAAAGACCAAAGATGATGATTAGCAGAACTAGTTCTGATCTCTTCTATACCAAAAGGCCCTTTGGCCCAGACTCCTATTTATTTTAGAAAGCAATGCCTGGAAACAGAAAGGGCTGCCCTCTCAACCTTGTTAAACCCCTAAATCTTCCTTGCATGGCTCTGTCTTACTCTGGCTTCCGTGTGTTTTATTTTGCTACAGGTACGTCCAGGAGAACAAGGCAATTCGGCACCTTCCCAGGCAACTACGTGAAGCTTCTGTACCTGTAAAGTAACAGCGATCCCACAGTCACAAAGATGGGGTTGTTTTCCAGGTGGTGTTTTTAATCAGCAATGAAAGAGACAATTTATGAATGTAATAGACAGGAGACAAAGTGTTAGGAGGATGTGGTTATGTGGTACAGTATTGAGTTGAATGTGCAGCCCTGCTTCCACTGATTCAGGGTATGATTTGTTTGCTGAAGAAGAGACAGTTTCTAGTTTACAGTGCTGCCTTTGTGTATTCTTCTCCCCTCCCCAGCAAGAGTTCTGGTGATAATCTTAATTTGTATGGAGTACTTTACCTCTGAGAAGGCTTCAGGGAAGCAAATGGTATGGGTTTTGTTTGTGTGTTGAGAAATGATAGTGCTTTTGGAAAGTACGCAGCCTTGCAGCTGCTCCCTTTCACTGGCAAGGTTCAGGAAGGCCAGGCTTTCTGCCTTGCTGGAGACTTACTCTGCTCTGCCTTCCATTTCCACAGAAAACCTTTCCTTCATGTCATGCACCTTAAGACCCAGCACAGGCAGAGGATAGTTGGTATGGTTTAACTGCAGAGCTCTGAGTGGAAAAGGAGTTTGGGACTGGTATTTAATCCGGAGGGGTCAGCCAAAACATACTGCAAATGCGCAAAAAGCCCAAACCCCTTCATATACGTAACATATTACCTACTTCTGCAGGGTTTTTTTCTTTTGTGCAGGGTGTGTGTGTGCGAGTGTATTGTGTGCATCAAAACAAACCTTTTTTAAAGAGAAATCAGCCTGTTTTTGAAATTTATCTGCACAAAGACTAGAACCAATAAACAAAACGTCAGTGAGAGCAAATCCTGCTTCTGAGTCCTATGGCTGGTCACTTTCTCGGCTTCTCCTGTCCTGTTGGTAGCCCTAGAGGATTTGAAGCATGCTATTTGGGATGAAGACTTTGCTTTTTTCCTGGCATTAAATCTTAGTGGCGTTGATAAATCTGAGCAACGTGTCATTGAGGGTGCCTTTTTTTGGGGGTGGGGGTGGGAGGGAGGTGGTTGACAACGTTGATGCTAGATCTCTGATAAATACACGCATTTTGGCCGCCTCTTAGTCAGACAAAAAAAGTCTAATCCATTTGGAAAGCTGTGTTTCCAACGGTTATTACCAGTTACAGAGATTTGTATTTCCTTGAGAAAAAAAAAAACAAACATGGCTTGCCTGTGTGCTTGCCTGTAAACCCACTAAGAATACTCTTTTGATAGACATTTTGTTATTAAGAAAAAGCATAAACAAAACCAGTTCTCTCAGACTCTGCTTCCTACAGTTACCATACAAATAGCAAAGGGTTAGATTGCTATTTTGTCATAAGCCGTATTTAATAATATAAAATGCCTATTTTTATGCTGATGCTTTTATACAGATTTATTAAGAATAACTACAACTAACTGTTAGCACGACTTGCAATATGTTTTGATAAATTAGCCATGCTCCTGGGTTTAAAATCAAGTAGGCTTGTCTTCCGCCTAGGTCAGCGGAAGAGAAGACTCGGTGTCTCAGAAGTTTGACTGTAAATATGTATATTTAACTTTGTACAGACAATGTACTTACCTTGTATAGAAAAATAATTTAAACACATTGAGCGAAGGGAGGAAACGAAAGGCAGTTGTGAAAGGTTGGGATTTTTTCCACTTTTATTTAAATGATGGAATTCCATGTGTGTTCACATAGAGTTTTAGCACAAAATATCCACTATGAAAAGGTTTCAAATATGACACAAAGTACCACTGTTTTGTTTTTTTTCTACAGGACATATCATTAATCCTGCATCTTATTTATGGGTTTGTTTTTCTGCTTTGGGTTTGTCCTCCAGTTATTTGCAGCAATATTTAGACCTGTTGTTAAGATTGGATAACACCAAATTAATCTATCCAGCAAGTTAACACGATGATACTGACTGTATATAACCTACTCATGTAAAGGTTTATTTTCTGTTCTTGCTCTTGCCATTTTAAGTTGCGCACACACACGCGCGCACACACACACACCCCACAACTTATTTTTGTGTTGATTTTTGTTTCTTATTGCAGTGGATTACTATTTGATGATTAATAAATGGAAGTATTGAATTACTACTGTGTTTCTTGTACAGATTATTAAATAAAGCCTATTCCTGCTGTTCCTGTAGCAATGCACTTTTGTACCAAAGCCCCACTGTGTGGCTGTGGCCACACTGAGTGGTAGATGTCTGCCTCAGGTCTTCCCTAGCATCCTGCACCTCCACATCCTGCTTTTCTTAATGATTAAGAAAATTAGGTCTAAAAATGCTGATGGGAAGGCTATGTCCTTAACATGCATCTGCCACCTGAGGCAGGCTCTTGCTCCAGGGTCCTGCACCTGGTCACCAATGTCCTGGTTCAGTGGCTGCTTTGATACTTTTCTGTGCCACTTGTAGAGCATCTTGTGATTTCATACTTAATAAAAGGTGCTTTTAAACCTCACCCTTGGCTTTGTACCTGAGCAGTCCTGCCAGACCCTGCTCTTTGGTGTCAGCAGCACTGCAGGCAGGGGCTGGGGGCTGCGAGCCTTGGGCAGCAGGTCCGCTCCTCAGCTGGCTGCTCCTCCGTGTCCGAGCCTTACCCCCTGCACTTACAGTAGCTCCAGCTAGATCAGCCCATTAATTATGTGTACAGCTCATAGGAAAGCTTTTAACTTTAATTCAAGTGCTGGAGGTTGTGGCTTCACTGCTGAATGAACTGAGTGATTAAATGAACGATGAATTGAATCACGCTGCGCCGGATCCCTGCTGGAGGTGGTGCGCCTACGTAGATGTGTACGTGATGTTGCACGTGGTGCGGTGGGCGGCAGTAAGCTGAGGGCAATAACTGACGTCTGTAAGGGGGGGATTGCTCGTGATCACGCTCTCCTGGATAATTAATCCTAGCAAGTGCCTCAGCCTCGCTTGCTGACCTGTCTGAAGAATTCCTTCTTTTGTTGGTGATGCCACCTGTAAGGGTACTGGGAAAAAAATCAATAAAAGCAGCATCCTGCCTAAAGCGGAGACTAATCAGAGCTAAACTAGTGAACACATAATCCCCTTGCCAGGCTCCACTCGCACTCAGCAGCTCCCAGAGGCGTGTCCCTCCCTTTGGGAAACCGCAAAACTCATCTCCCCCGCCACCATTAGGTTTCAGAGTTAACACGGCAGCTCCCCGAGGCGGGACGAGCCCCGTTTGCCCCGGAGGTGCCGCACCGGGGCACTCTCGCCTGCGGCTGGGTGGTGCCGCGGGGTTCAGCAGCTCCGGCACCAGCAGCTCCGCACCGCGGCCGCCGCTCCGCCTCCGGGGCCGGCCACGGCTCAGCCCTTCTCCTCCTGCCCGGGGCCGCGGGGCCGGGAGCCCGGGGCGGGCCGGGGCGGGCCGGGGGCGGGCCGAGGGCGGGCCGAGCCGTGCCGAGCTGAGCCGAGCCGGGCCGTGCCGTGCCGGTGGTGCCGGGCTGTGCGGCGAGGTGCACATGGGGACGCTCCGCATCGTGCTGCAGGGCCCCGGGCCCTGGGGTTTCCGCCTGGTGGGCGGCCGGGACTTCGAGCAGCCCCTCACCATCTCTCGGGTAGGGCTCGGCGGGGCCGGGGTGGTGGCTGGGAGGGGGACAGGGGCTGCCCGGGACCCCTGGAGGCTGGCACGGCTCGGCTCGGAGCGGCAGCGGGTCCGCGGGAGGGGAGCCGGGGCTGACAGGTGGCTGCTGGTGCCGAGACGGGGGTGGTCACACAGCCAGGTGTCCGTGGGGGTCTTTTCCTTTTCTTCCCCGTTTTTCTCTATATGATTTTGGACGATCTGGGAGAAATCCGCGGCAGCCGGTGCCCGTGCCGGGGAGCTGCCCCCGCTGTGGGACCGGCCGCTTCGGCTTGCCTTGTATAGCTACAGGAGCAGCCTTTGTTTACAGGAGCCGCACTGACCTCTGCAAGCCTCTCCCTGCTTCTGTTGCAAGCCCTTCTTACCCCCACTTAAGGAAAAATTGGGAAATGGCAGTTTAAAGTTTCACATCCAAACGGTTTCAGAGGTGTAACTTAACTTGCCTCTCTCTGCTCCAGACGGCAAAACTTGAGGGCTCCTTGTGGCTGCCCTGCTCCCACCTGCACCCCGCTGTCACCGCCTATGGGTGCTCACGTCCTGTGGTGCTCTGGCAAAGAGCTGGGCCCTGCCCCGAGCTGCTTGCCACACACCCATGAAAAGTGGGGCCGAGTGTGCCCATCTCTTCGTGCTGGGGACAACGCACCCCAAGCCACCCGTTGCTTCACGTGGGGTGCCCTGCTCAGCATCCCATCGGGGCTGCCTGCGGTTGTCCCTCTGATGTCATGGAAATGTCCGATACATCCCACTTCCCACGGCCCTTCCTCACCTGGGGCCATTGGGATTTGAAGGCAGCGCAGAACTGGGACCAGGCCACCGCATTCTGTGAATCCCTCTGAGGGTGGCAAAAACTTGTGATTTTTCTAAATGCCTCCTGTCCTGGGATCCCCCGCCGCTGGTCCTGCCGCCGGGCTGCAGGATGGCAGCGCTGGTGAGGTCAGACCCACAGCGGGGGGGCCGTTATTAATTTTCCCTCTGTTCTCCTTCAATTGCAGTCATAACGCCACATTCCTGTAAAGCATTTGTTTGGGACATGAAAGTAGGTTTAGCGTAGGGGAAGTGATATTTAGTACATTGTTATGGTAATTGCTGCCATTTCCTTCCAGCGAGAGACTCAGGCAGAACTATGTCTGAAGGCAGCACTATGTCTGAAGTTCCACCTCGCTGCTCCTACCTCTTCTCCATGACTGTCTGTGCCAGCGCTCATGGTCGCATACCAAGGGATGTAGATCAGCAAAGCGGCAAAAATAACTGCCTCGTGAGAAATTGGTTGTGACTCTGGAGACTGAAATGTAGTAAAATAGCCTTTCTGGTTTTGGTGACGAAAACGCTGACAATTGGCAGCTCCTCTGACATTGTTAATTCACCCTCCAAGCCTTCAAACCATTAATCTTTCCTGTGGTTCACTCTGAAGGCTGCTGGGTTTCTCCCCTTGGCTTAGTGACAAAGCTCTCAGCGAGCTCCCCCCTTCACCATGTAAAAAAGGGTTGTGAGGGCTTCGGTCCCACCAAGGTGCGAGGTGGGGGGGCAAGCTGAGGTGAACAGGAGGGAGGGGAGTGTGATGAGAGCATCGCCTGCAGCAGGGAGGGTGCGGTGCGGCTGTCCCTCCCCAGCAGTGTTATGTTTGCTCTGTGCTGCAGCATGTAAGTCGTGGGGCCGTGGCGCAGGCATGCCCAGAGGGTTGCGTCCATCTGCCCACGGGCTTGAGCTGGGTGTCTTACACCTCCCTGTGAACCAAGGTGCCTACGTTCAGCCTGTGTTGCCTGTCAGCAGCTCAGATTTGGCCTCTGCTGACCCTCAGGGTGAGCTGTTCAGCTGGTCTTGGTATTTATGGCCCTCATCACCATTGTACCTCAGCGCCTTACCACTGGCTTTTATCTTCGCAACCTGCGACTGCTGCAAGGGGGGCTTATCCCGGTCCTGCTGGTGGGAGGCAGCACTGTTTGAGATGTAAACATGAATTGTTGGAGCCTGGAGCCTCAATTTCAGGGCCAAGTGGGGAGCAGTGGTGCCATGGACATGGGAACCGACAGAGCAGCCAGGCTGTGAGCTCCCAGCTGGCAGTGGCTATATGGCACCAATGTCCTGTTGTGTTTTACAAGAGTAGCAGATGAAAGATAAGTGTATTTCCACAGCTGCTCTTGCCCTGTCTTTCATTACTTCCCTAACTCCCTTTCCACTTGAACTGTGTGTTTGGCACTACCTCAGGCTCAAATACTTCAGGAGCATCTTCTGGTGCAAATGCTCCTGGTTCCTAGGTTGGTTCCTAGGTTGTGTTGGACCAGTCTGCCCAGCAAGAGCCAAACGTGGGGATTTCCCAAGTGCTCCACGTGTGACTTTCTAGTGGATCTCCCATTTCTTTCAGAGGGATTTCTTCATAGAAATCCCTCATTTCTTCCTTTCTTCATAGGCATTCCTGGCTTACGTTTCTTTTAAAAAAATGTGGGGTTATGGTGGACATTTTATTTCAATCTTTGCTCAGAACAAGCATTGTGTTGGTCAGTGTAATGAACCTGAGACCAAACCCTGCAGGATTTGCTTGCAGGAGTAGGCAAGACCATTGTCTTTATCACCCTTTGGGTGATAGCAGCAGTGAGCCCATGGGGCAGAGCTTTTCCCAGCTCCTGCCCGAGCTGTGGACTGACATGTTACAGGATGGTGGTGATGGTGGGGCTGCCCTGTGCACGGGGTAGTTCCCTGTTAAATTCCTGTGAGACCAGCAGGGCTGGCAGAGGAAGCAAGCAGCTGCATAGTGAGACAGCTGATAAAGCTGCACAGATAACAGACCCCATCCCCCTCTGTCCTTCAGGTAATACGAGCTCTTTCCTGTTAGTTTGCATTTTATGTTGATAAACACTGGATTTCTGTTTGCACTTGAATATACACATGGAACTGTTCCATAAGCCCTGCTCTTGAACTAAATTTATATTTTGTACTAGTGGTGTGTTGATCTTTCATGGCTGACACAAAATACAGGTAAAAGGGAGTTTTGATTTACACTTTGTCAGGCCAAGAATCCCCAGCCCCACTGAGGAGTGATGTCTGCCATAATCTGTGGCACTGGCCAAAGGCAGAGCACCTCAGTATCCACATTTTGGTATGACACTGAGCATTTTCCCATTGAAAGAGTGGTTTAAAGACAACCTAGTTCTGCAGATATATTAAAGACCTGAACGCCCAACATTACGCATGTTGCTGATTTCAACAACAGTGACAGGAATTCATCCATGCTCGGTCTGATATTTCATCTACTCATGGTGCTTGAACATCTCTGGATTTATAGCATGTATAGAACTGGAAGGTAATCAGATGTTGGTTCCTTACACCCAGAGACGTGACTCAGTGCTAAAACCAGGCCCAATGGCCTGAAGTCAGACGCCGAACTAAGTGCCTGGGGTGTGAAGCTGTCGGGTTTGGCTTGGCACTGTCACACACACACAGGGGGAGCGGCGCCAGCCCAAAACCTGCGTGAGGGGGTGTGAGTCGGATTACCTCATGGTATCGTATGTGTGTGTGGCAGGCAGTGACTCGCGAGATACCCGGGGCTCCTAGGCTGCCAGGCGGGAGGAGACATGGCTGGCTGGGATTTTCAGGGATGTGGGGAGGGGCGTGAAGCTGAACCACAGCAAAATGGCGGGCTGACATGGTATGTGGGGGTGATCTGCCCAGCGCATGCCTGAGCATTTGCTGTGCATGCCGGGGAAGAGCCGTCCCCCTGTCCTCTCCTCAGGCCACATCACGTCTGACAGGCCTGCCCTGGGCGGAGGTGGCCCTGGTGGATTTGGAGTGGGTGCTGCAGATGCAGATTTCGGTTGCCCCTCTGTTCCCATCTTGCCTAGCGGCCTGAGCAGGAGCAGCCACGCCGTGCTCAGCCCCATAGCGCTGCCTGCACAGCTCATGGTGCTGGGAACACCCCTGTCCTCTGTGCAGCATCCTGCGATCTCAAGGGCAGCCAGGCGCCAAGTCACTACCTGCCAAACCGAGCACCAAAACTTCCCCACTCGCCTCCCTGCAGCTGCTGGGAGCTGATGGCTGCCAGCTCCCCCAGCCGTTTCCATTTTCACTCACACTTAGCACAGAAATGGATATCTGTCTGTTCCCATCCTGTTCTCCTGCCCCACGGGACTGCTGCGTGCCCCACATCATGGCAGGGATGTTCGCCCTGTTGGGCCCTGGGGCACCCCTGGGCAGGGGTTGTAAAATGCTTTGGGTTTTAAGGGTGCTACATCAAAATAACTGCAGCAAATGGATTTTTTAAATATTTTTTTTTATTTTCAGTATAAACAGGGAAGGATTTTTTTTTTTCATTGTAAACACGGAAATTGAGAGAGGCCTAAACTGCATAAACAATTGATGCAGTTCTGGACCATGACACAGTATCTTAGATGGTTGCTGATTACACCACATCTTGTTTTATTTAGAGGATGAAATAAACCATCAGGAAAGGCTCAGCTGATGAGCAGCATTCTGTAATGTTTTGAGCCCTTGTAAGAAAACTTTATACTTCTGTGGTTGTGTTCCTTTTTTTTTTTTTTTTTTTTTTTTTTAAATACAGAGCACATTACAAAATGAGCTGTGGGAATGCGCAGCCTCCAGCATTACTCCTGTGCAATGCAGGGAGTCTGACCCACGTTTTGCATTGCCTTCCTGAGGTCAGCCCTCTCCACACGGTGTCTGATGCCTTCCCTTTTCTGTGTTGAGAATCCCCTGGGCGAGCCCTGGGCTGGGCAGTGTCTGACCGCAGCAGTGCACGGGGTGGTGGCAGCCTGGAAGAGCAATCTCCTGGAGCTGCTTTAAGGAACCAGCCCGTGGCCCCCCTCCCTTAAAAAGAGCAGGGGTGGGGAACGTGCCTGCCTGCATTTTCTCATAGCCTCTGATCTCTGCTGACCCAGCTGCATGCTTTTGCTGAGAGAAGCTGTGGCTGCTTAGCATAATGCTCCGGTGCTGAGTACATTACTCATGGTAAAACAGCAGTGTGCGCGGGTGGGGAGGCTTAAACAATGTCAGGGATGTCTCGTCACTGGTGGCCTTATAAGTATGTTGCTGCACGTCTGTTCTGTCCAGCAGGGATGCAGCTGGATTTTCCTCTCCAGCACAGATAGGTGCTGTTAATCCAGATCTCTTCCCTCACTGTTGTTCTTAATTTTCTTGTTTTCTTATCTCTTCATCGCTTCTTGAGATGTGTGTCTAGGTGTGGAGTGATGGGTGGTGCCGGAGGCTGTAGGGTCTGTGAGAAACTGCAGAGGTTTGATGGAGTAAGCAAGCAGTGTGCCTGAATGGATAGGGAGAAGGGCAGAAAGGGCACTGAATTTCAGACCTGCCCACATGTCTTGACTCACTCTGAGCTGCTTTATGCAGCATTTTGTTCATGCTTCCCACCCTTCCTCTCTCTCGTTTGCTGCGGGCAGCAGCTTTCCCTTAATAATCCCACTGCTGCTTCTCGGATCCTCGCCTGCAGAAGGAAAGGAGATGCCGTGTATCTCTGCAAAGGGCTCACAAGGCTTGCTAGAGAGTATGTATGGAGTTAATTGCAGCAAATGTAAAGTGTGGTTGTGTTTGGCTAGCTCTGGGACAGACAGAGGTTTTATAAAGAGGGCCTTGGAGCTGGGTAAGCAGCCAAATACATCTCATTCCCTCTGCTAAATCAAAGCATTTTCTCTCCTAGTGCAAATGCTCTTTCCCAAAGATACTAGCTGAGGGATTAACATGTCACAGCCCAGACCTTTGTTGGCTGCCTGGCCCCCAGTGCGAGGGAGTGACAGCAGGAAAACCACCTGGGAGTCTGAAACCTAGACTTTGCAAAATCCCCATGGTGTTGGCAAGGCGGAGCCCAAAGCATGTGCACTGGGAAGGCAGAGTGGGGCCAGGTGGTGCCCATGGACACAAAACCTCACTTTATAGTATGACAAAAGAGGGTAGGTTTTTCTCCCAGCCATACCAACCCTGAATCTGAGGGACCACTTCAAAAAGAGGGGTCCAAGCATACATTCATTACTTCAGTATAAATGTCATAATCAAGCCCATGGACGATGGGGCTTCTTCTGTACTCTGGCAAATGAGTCTGAGCTGCTTCTTAGTTTTACGGAGCTGGTGTCAGGGGCCTGGTTGGATGGTCTGGTTGTAAGTGACTGGATTATTGCAGTAGTAGCCCAGGTTACGTGGGACAGGAAGATCTTGCCTGTCACATCTCCAGCCGCACACCCTCCCCACCTCCAGAGGTGGGTCTTTGGAGGGTGAAGTTGCTCCTGGCCCAGTTGCTGGAGGACTGCCCCTGCAAGCTGGGCCTGTTCCCATGTCACAACTGGCATTTCTTGTGGCAACTGCTTGACACGAGACAGCTTCACTTGCATGGATGGACCCAGGCCAGATACCTACACCAGCCAGCCAACATCGCTGATGTTTCCATGGGCAACACCTAAAAAACAGTTGAGCTCTGGGACCTATTTCAGGTACAATATCACGCAGTACTGCCAGCGTGTCTCAGCATTGTCTGCTCAACAGTGGAATGACCTAATGGCAAAGTCTTACACAATTGCACTGGAGCAAGCACCGGGAGGTAGGGCATGGCTTGCTTCCAAAGGAAGCCTCAGGGCATGATGTTACAGGATGTGCAGAGCTTTATTCATCCCATGTAGTGTCCTGAGGGCCTGTGGTGAGGCACGTCCCCTCTGCCAGAGGCTGCCGGACCCAGTGCGGAAGCCAGCTGGGAGCAGTTTTTAAGGAGGCAGGAGGCTCAGCCTTTGCACAAGATGTAACTTGTGCAGTCGTGCTTGCAGGTTTTGCTCCTCACAGCATCTTTCAGCCCTCCTCGCCCTCCCACACAGAGGTGCAGCTGCATCCCATGGTGTGCGAGGTGGCTGTGCCACCATCCCCTCTGTTCTCCCAGGCTGCTGCTCTGATGTTGGTTGAGAAGGGAGAAGGGGGAGAGGCTGGTGCAGAGCTTTAGGTGGTCTGAGAGGAGCAAAGCAGGGTCAGGCAGTGCAGCATCGATGCCCTTGTGCAGCTTGTGAGCCTGTAGGCTGTTCATTTTTGGAGTCCTTGTTGGGTTGTGCAAGCTGGCCAGTAGCTGCCAGTGCTCTGAGCACCCTGCCTGCCATGCTGCCACGGCCCAGAGAGGGGCACCACGCAAATAAAGGCAGAAAAAGGTCCTTGTTTAATAACTGCTGGCTTTCTGCTATCTTGACGCTAACTGGCTGGTGAGCACCTCTCAAAAGCAGCACTGAGATGAGAACAGACCATGCTGCAAGGGGGGAGGGAGCATCATTAGGAGTTATTAATCATGCTAAAAGGCTGGGGGATGGGTTCCCTGCGGTGCTGAGCTCTTGTGTAGGCACGTTTGCTATGAGCAGTCCTGGCAGAGAGCATGAGCTGGATGTTGCAGGGAAATGGTTTGTGGAAGGTTACATTTCAGGGCAAGTTATTTCAAGAACTGGAGCTGGGTGTTTAAGCAAGTTTCCTTTTGGCAAGTTTGCTTATCTTCTTCATTACTGTGCATCCTTGTGGCTTCCCCTTAGGGGAGAGGTTTGCAGGGTACCTAATGGGTGTAATCACCAGCTCTTATCTGATGGAGATCAGCACTCAAATTTCAAATTCCTCTGAAGTGGACACAGAAGAGGAACCGCAAGCCCAGGCAAAGCACTGAGGTGTTTCTGTGGGTGCCACTCTTTCATTCTGGTGGTTTTTGGGGTTTCTCCAGGAGGCTTCAGTATCAGTGTCCAGCTCAGCTGCTCCTTGTGGTCCAGGATCGTTTCCAGCAGCCTGCCAAATGCTGCATAGGCTGTCGGTCTTTAAATACAAGCTATATGGCTGAGCCTTCAGCAGCGTGCCAGTGGTGGTGTTAATCCAGCGTTATTCTTGACCACTTCGCAGCCTTGTCTGATTGAAAATGAATCACGGTAATTGTGTGCTGAGCTCAGCGCTCTTCATGGGGTTGAGTAATGTGCCCCTCTCCTGTCTCGGGCGAAATAAAGGCACTGAGAAGGGACTAGGTAAAGGCCCAGCAACCAGGCCAGGACCCACAATGTGTCTCCTGCGAGCTCCCTCTGCTGCAATGGTGTCTTCAGGGATCTGTCTCACAGCTTCTCTAGCAGCAGCTCCCAAATCCCATGGGACTGGTGGCCACAGATTTTCTCTATCCAGCTGGTGCCTTGTCTGGGCTTTCCATTAGCACTTCCTCTGTTCACAGTCCGCTTACAGCATTACAAGCAGGGAGCAGGTAGACAGGCACTGTTCGTTGACCCCTCCGAAGGTCCTGGGGTTAATGTTGAGCACCTTAGCCAAGTTGGACATCCGTGATACGCATCTGTGTCCTTCCCTTTTCCATAAATTAATGACTTAGCAGAGAGGTGGAAAAAAAAAAAGCATCTTGTCATCTTCCTTCTGGTTAGGGAAAATATCCCACTGCAGCTGCGAGGGGATGTGCTGAATAGCCTCATTTTTGGCCCAGGGAAAGCAGTGATTGCAGATAATGGGTGACACCTCTAGGAAGAGAACATTTCCCTAGGGGGAATGGTTTGCCATCCTGTCCCACCTTAGGAGCACTCTAAATCTTCTGAACAGTGTTTATTTATGCCTGACGGTCCTGCTGGGTTTGCTCAGCTGCTTTCCAGCATGCTGAAACCTAGCACGAATGCGTAGAAAGAATACCAGTTGCAACGGACTCATAAATGAGGTGTGTCCCAGCTGCAAGGCATGTTTTAGTTGGAGAAGGGTGGAAGCAGTCCACCCTTCTCATTTCCTCTGCCTGTTAAATAATTGATGAAAGCCCACATTAATCATGATGCCCCTCCCACAAAGTCATTAACACTGCACAAAATCTTACATAGCGATTGCAAAGCCACCAGCAAATGTGACATTCTTCACCTTCAACCCTGGCAATAATTTTTCCCCAGAGAGGTCTTGGTTGTTAAGAGGACACCTCTTTAGCAGAAATAGAGAAAAGTGAATGAGCTCTTCACTTGACTAGCTTGAAAATGCCAAGTTTTAGCGGGGATCTTTTTTTTTCACAAGGAGTACCATACCGGTGGCATTGCTGCATCATGTCTTCTGTCTGGGATTTCAGCAGATTACCCTGAGCTCCTTCCCATCCCACATTTCTCAGGCAGAGCACAGCAGCTCTTTAGCAGTGCCATAGTGTATCTGGGAAACAAAACAAGCATGAAGAGGAAAGGGAGGTGCAATATGGCAGAATGTATCAAGGTGAGGTCAGACTGGGAGGCTGGGGATCATGCTGCCAATTTTTCAGATAGTACTGTCAGATTGTGCTTTAAAGATGAGGTTTGTGATGCCTTTCTGCCTCCCCTTCTGCTTGTTAGATCAAGCACTGCTTTGGAATCGATCGCACTGTAGTCAGTGAGTCTGCTCCACCTGCCCCTGGGCTGAACCAGCTTACTAAAGATGCAATCCAAAATCTTGTGCCCAAACCTTTTTCCCAAGGAAGGAACCAAAAGACATTGTGATGCAGATGAAGGTGTTTATGATTAGCATTGACTCAAATTCTCTCTCTCTTTTCTGGCATCTCTTTTCTTAGCGGCTTGGGCTACCTTGCTTTTCTCAGCACCCTCTGCTTTGGAGAGCACTTCTCTGTCCAGCAAAGAACAGAGTTGCTTCCTCTGTTGTTACTCTCTATTACAAAGCCAGTTGCTTCAAATGAAAATAAAATTTTTGCCATTTACCTGTCTCTTCCCTGCTAAATCTCTATATGCGGGTGCCAAAACAGAAGCCGGTTCCTCATTTTAATAGAGTTGGTTATCTAAAAGACCTGTATCCATATAGATTTCTGCTGAGATTTGCTTTAGTTTTCACCTCCTTGTTTCCAGGTACCATCAAGAGAAGCCCTGAGCGCTGCAGCTGCTTTTCAGATGTCTCTTGGAAAGTGGCTCTCTGGACAGTCCATTCACTCATTTTGTCTTCTCGCAGGTGACTCCAGGTAGCAAAGCTGCAACAGCCAACTTGTGTATAGGCGACCAGATCATAGCCATTGATGGCGTGAACACAGATAACATGACGCACCTCGAGGCGCAGAACAAAATCAAGGGCTGCGGAGACGAGCTAACCCTGACGGTCAGCAGGTAGGTCGCCTGGTGAGACTGGGGACAGGGAAAAGGAGGGAGGTGGAGTGGACAGTAGCTGTGTTTTGGTTTGACATCCCTGGCTGGTTTGTTTAATTTGACCTCTTAGTGCTTTGTCTGGCCAGGCACTGAATGGCAAGGGGGAACTGCATTTCAGCCTTTAATCCTAGTGCTGCTTGCATTTGCTGCACTTTGACCTTATGAAAACAAATTTCCCTGTGAGAAATCGGCTGATAATTTGTGGCAGAGTCTGTCAGCCTGCTCTGTGGCTCCTTACAGCAAGAACTCCAAGATGGGTCTCACAAAAACTTCACTCATAGCAGAGGAGGTGTGACCAGAGATGACCTTTCTTCCTGTTGCATGAATTTAGCAGTTAAAATACATGGCTGTGTGCTGTCCAAGCTATTAGTTACCAAGGTTTTGTCACTCACAGATTCAGAAAGATTGTGCATTTTGGAGTCTCTTGATTCAGCTTCTTAAAAGTACTGGGGCCTGGCATTTCAGGGGTGCAGGGGATTTACCCGAATTGCAGCCACAGGTACCAGCTTCAAGGCAGGGGAAGCACAAAAGCATGCCCTAAGTGACACGGTAGCTCAGTTGCTGCGGCTCTCCTGTGATAAGGGAACTCTTTCTGTAGCTTGCACAGGGGCAGCAGTTCAGCAGGCATTTCCCAGTTCAGGAGGAAGTGATGGGCCTTGGCCAAAACAAGCCTGACAATTCATCAAGGGAGTTCACAGAGAGAAGACCCGAGCAGAGGAAGGCAGTGTGAATGGGTGGTGAGCATTACAGCAGCGTGTTAGCCCCAGCATTTCTCATGCTCGCCCCTAGCTTGGCAGCCTGTAGTGTTCCTGTGAGGGAGTGCTTCTTGTCTGCCCCCAAATATCTGGCTTCTAGATCTTAGCAAGCCAATGCTGCCTGGTTCTGGCTGAGAGAGGGGAGAGGGAGAGGGAGAGGGAGAGGGAGAGGGAGAGGGAGAGGGAGAGGGAGAGGGAGAGGGAGAGGGAGAGGGAGAGGGAGAGGGAGAGGGAGAGGGAGAGGGAGAGGGAGAGGGGGGCTCTTTGAGCCTGTGGGCAAGCTCACTCTTACCAGTCATGAGTCTGGAAAATATGTTTGCAAATGTTCATTATCAAGTCGTTAGCTTTATAGCCACTCAATGCGTGTTTTTTCAGCCTTGGATGTGGAAGCTGCCCAGAGGGAGATTTCTGTGCAGCTGTGTAAAGCCACGCAGGAGCTTTGAGTGAAAACTCAAGACTGTCTTTAAATGTGGAAGCATGAAGAGTGTGGTAGACCCTGCTGCTTTACTGACCAGCAAGTACAAATGACAAAATGGCCAAGGAGAGTGTAAAGACTGCAAGGATGTGAAAAAAGCAGTGATCTAACTACTCATCCACCCCAGGGTTTGATATTTCTGCCCATTACTTGGTATGAAATCCATTTCAGGTAGTTCCAGGGAACTTTAAGTCTTTGGTCCTCCTCATTTTTTGGGACTAAAATTCTGCTTAGGGAATCGCTTACTTGTTTGGAGATTTGATAGCTGCTAGAGATGTGTTTCTATCAGGAATATGATACTACAGGATGCTTTCTCAGAGGAGAAAGCTCTGCTTTAATGCCAAAAGACAGACATGTGCATCATGCTGTCCTTCCTGGTTGTTTTCTGTTGAGGATATTTTATCCCAAGCTCTGAGCTGTCCCCTTCTGGGCCCCTGTAACTGCATCTCTTTGTCCACCTGGCTTTGTAGGTAGTTGTGTATGAAAACAAAAGGATATCACTTGTGCTTCAACACTGCCAGCTCCTGGGTCAGGTCTCCATGCTCTGCAGTCGTGGCTTGTTAGTTGGTCCCTTGTGCCAAGCAGCCGTGCTGGCCAGGGCTCCAGGTCTGACGGCAGCAGCTCCACGGGCTGGGCGGCACTGCAGCTGGTGCTGCCGGTGTGCCCAGCTGTGCCGGGTTTCTGGAGAGAGAAATTTTCCAGTCCTTCATTTTACTCATCATCATAGAGATGTCTTGTGAAAGAAGAAACCTTTATTGATTATTAATTTGATAGCTGATTAATTTTAAATGATTTCTTTGAGAGCCAGGTGTGCAAAATGCTGTCAGATCTGCATTTGGGGTGGCAGCAGAGATGGGCCAAGAGGGATTTTACAGACACAGGTTGGAGCTTACATTGGGAATTTTATTTCCACAAAGGGATATTACCATTGTGACAGTGAGGACATACCTTGTGAATGCTGAAAATGCAAGTGTTCAAGAGGAGATGGGATGAATTCATGCAAATAAAACCTGTAAAGGCTAGTATGTACCACAGTAGTACCTCTGCTGCAGAAAGCCCCTAAGCTGCAAAGACGTGAAGGCTGGGAGCATTTTGGGGAAGTACGGGGCTATGCTTGTCCTGTTCTTGTGCCTCTTCCCCAGGCCTAAACAAACCTTATGTGCACTCAGCATCTATGCAACCCTCTTTGCTTTTAATGGTGGCTGAGTGGTTAAAATGTCCTTATCTTTGGCTGCACTAATGATTATTTAAGAGAAATGTAAATGCAGAGAACCAAAAGGACTTAAACACTTCTGGTAAAGGAAATGCTGTTTGCACTGTGTACTTGATTGCAAATATCAACAGCATTCCAATGTTTCCTGTTTCGGTATTTTCCTTAACGATGGTAGCAGTCCAAAAATATTTCAGATCAGATTGTAGGCAGGAAATCTAGTCTAACACATGTCACTGTTAAAAATGGATTGAATTTCTAGCAGAAGAAAACATGCCTGGTCTGCTTTTTTCACCCAAAGGGGCGAATTTATTGGTGAAAATCTGTTTATTTCCTAGGATTCAGAACCAGCCACAAATTGTTTTCTCTGAGTGTGCCTCTCTAAGTGGCACTGCCAGGTGCTTTACTGCCTGACATGTGAACAGAACTGGAAAGGTCTGCTTTCTGCCTTGGAAGCAGTTGTTTTACAATGTTGGCACACACACCAAATTCCTGCTGGACTTTGCATCTCCAGCAGATCGCTGCTCTCTTCTCAGCCTGTTTGTTCCTTCATTTTGCTTTTTATTTCAGGCTAGAGAGTCCTCTTAGAATCATAGTTCACAAAAAATGGAGGTAAAATTTCCATTATTGTCTTCATCAGTGTGCGGTCAAGCTCTGCATGGTGGTTTTCTTTAGTACACATAGAAAGACCAACCTACAGCAGACTTTGCACTTCAGTTAATTCAGAACCACCCAGTTGCTAAAGCAAGAAATTTCACAGGCAGGGTTGTGAGCCTCTTGGCTTTGCAGAAAAAAGGAAGTTTGGGATCTTAAATCTTTGGGAAGACCTCTTTTTTTTTTTTTTCTTTTTTTTTTCTTTTTTTCCAGTGAGGGTGTGTACCTCAGCACTGACAGTATAGGGTCAAACAAAGTGTTGCCCTTGGCTGCCCCCCTCCCAATTGCAACACTGATTTTCCTTTGACAGAGGTAAGCAGCGACATGTCCAGCAGCCTGGAGAATGCTGTCAGCTTGCTTTGGAAGCTTAATGAATTTGGGGAAATGAACTCACTTTGTTGAGAGAGGTCTCAAGACAGGAAGGCTTGAAAACAAAACTCACCTGATATCCAAAAGGTCCAACATCACCCATGTCACTGGTAATGCTCACAAGGAATTTGGCACCCAGCTCTGTGTCTGTAGCTACAGATGGACAAGAGCAGACAAACGCTAATTCCAGTTGCAGTACAGGTGAAAGTAATCTCTAAAAGAAATGGCTTTTTGCCCATGTCACCAAGTGTGTAATGGATCTGTGCTCATATGCAGCCATGAGCAACTCAAAGGTAAACTGTTTATTTATGTTTGGTGAACAAAAAAGAAATATTCCTACAGTGAGCCTGCCCTTCTTTTGTGTCTGGAGGCAGGTTGGGGTGGTAACAGGAGAGGAATATTTGTGAAAAGGGATTGCAAATGTAATCTCTTTTTCTGCTCCTGCTGTCCTTTTCTTCAAATATCCAGCTGCTCTTCTGCACCTCCGCTGCCAGCATATGATATATTGATACACCTTTTCTTTGTTTGCAAAACAGTCTGTTACTCTGCTAAGAGTGATGCCAAGGAATGAAGCTATGCATTTTTTTTCTTTGAAAACTGCTCAAATCAGAGAAGTCAGATGTCCTAACAGCAGATGTTAAGTGCATTGTCACAAAGGATCGTGTGTAGATGCTTATGGAGAAGGAGTGGAGGGCAGGGGAGAGAGAGAAAATGCCATCTGGGCTTTACTTGGTAGGCTTGGCTGCACCCCCACTGCGGGAAGCTCCCCATCCTCACTCTGCTTGTCCCCTGTGTTCGGCCGTGGCTGCACAAAGCCACAATAGGCTCGAGGTTGCTTTCTGGGAAGTCTGCAGAGTTTGTTGACTCATTTAGGCTTGCTTTTTGCTTCCCTGCCAGCAAGAGTTTTCCAGCTCTGTCATCTTGCTAATAATGCTCGTGGCCCTGGGAAGGGCCGGTGCTGTGCAGCAGCTATATAAGGCCATGCACACCGACAGCTCGCCCTGCTGCTCCCCAGCCCTCGCAGGTGCCCGCCAGCAGCTTTTACCAGTGATGGGGGCACTCAAAGGCATTTTGGCAAGTCAAGCCTGGCTTTTGAGGTGTTGTTACAGCCTCTTTGGGAAGGCAAAAGCTGGCAACGCTGCAGCTGGCTGGTGGAGGAGCAGTGTGAGCAGCCAGGTGTGCCTTGTCCTCCTCCATGCTGCGATGAAAGGGCTCGTGGTGCTCCTCTGGTGCTGCTACTGAAGCCAGAGTTGCCCTTTTGCTTTTAGTGGCAGTATGAAGTGAAATAAGAAATTAATTCGGGACCTCTTGTCTCAAGGAAGTTGTGACTAGCATTGCTGTTCGAGACGGTTTTGCTTGCCAAAGCGAATTTGTCCGTTAATGGAGGGCTTGCTAAAAGAGTCTGCTGGTGTTTAAATCCAAGGGCACGTACTTCCATAGCTAACAGGCTGAGTAAACAGGTACCTTCCCGGTAGCCTGAAAGCTCCTGTAGTTAGTCACTAAAGCTGTTAAAATGCCTGCCTAAAACCCTGGGGGCTGTTGAAAGAGGAATTGCCTAATCCTTTCCTTGTTTTTCAGCCGTCAAACCTTCTGATGTGCAAGAAACTTTTTAGTATTTAGGGGTTTAGTTGCTACTTGGGTAAATTAGTTGTGTCCATTCCCGTGTTTGAAAGGGGAATGTAAATGTGCCTCTGCCCTGCAGAAGTTACTTACGCAGTTCCTGGCTACAGAATTAGACCCTCATTTTCCAGCACTGAAATTTCCCTTGAAGCTATGGCCCAGCCCTGCACGCAAACCCCATTGATAGCAAAATGTAGCCTCTTATGATGTTTATATTATACCGTGTTCGAGCCAAGCTTCTTGAAAAATGTTGTATTTCACAAATACCTCTCCACATTCTTGCCTTGACTTGCATGCAGTTTCCTTCCTCTCCTTCCTACCAGTACCTTCCCATCCAAGCTAACCTCAGACAAATTTTCTAATCTTGGGTCTTGTTTTCTGCCTGGATGGAACACCAAATGCATGGCTCGCTCCCTGGCCCTGCCTTGATTGCTCACTGTCCTGTGGTAAGAAAATAGCACAGAAGTGTAAACTGCAAACACAATGAAGTTTGTCTATTTGTATGCCCACTATTAATTTGTCTGGCAGTTGTTTCTGGGCTTGTTTGGCTGTCATGTTTTTGTCTTTTCACTGTTCAGATGTCACTCTCTGTTGGAGTCCCTTTTGCTGGAATATAGAGGAGAAACCATGTTATAAAATAAATTTGGATTTGAGCTAGCCACTCCAACAGCTGATTCCAGCTTCACATAAACGATACAAGCACAGGCAGATATGACAGAGATATGACGTCTAACCAATCCACCCGACTCATGTCTCGTACCTGTACTTCCCAGCCTTACAGAAATCAAGTTCTGCGTCAGAAATGGGACATAGGTGAGCATTTGGGTGCTTGTCCTCTTTTTACTGCCATGCTTCAGTACAAGTGCAGATGCTGATGGCAGGAGCATGGCCAAGAGCTGGGATAGCAGCTCCACGGGTGGTGTGGTGGGACAGGACACGTACTGTGCTGGCCCCTCCAGGCAGGGCATCCACAGCAAAGCTGCCTCATCTTTGCTGGGGCCATAAATGGGTGTTGAGAGAGCAAGTGAGGGGCTCTGTAACAGCTGTTGTAAAGACAAAGGGAAGCTTTGTCCTCCTGGCCTTAGAGGGACAACCGTGCCGGCTATTTAACCTTTCTGTTTGGATAACTTTTAAGCTGAATTGAAAGTAAAGCCTGGAGTGACCTTGCTGCTTCCATTTATATCCAGTGACAGACTGGAATGGCAGCAGGCTGGGAATCAAACTGGGGCTTTTTGCCTCGCTATTAAAAAAGGGAGAAAAATCTGGTCAGAAACCCAAATTTGGCTGTGGTAACTAACCCAAGGTGCCTCCCAAAAGCTGGAGACCAACGCGCTCTGCCACCTCCAATGCACCGAGCCAGGGCAATGGGACGAGAGCAAGCACCCAGGGACCTGAGGGGAGGTTTCTGCTCTGTGCTCATACACAGGCCTGCTCTGAGATTAAATCCACAGTCTGAAAAAGGCTTTTCAGTGCTTCTGAAATCTGGTAATGTTAACCTGCTGCAAGAGAAAGTACTGCCTGGAAAATACTAGTGAGAATTGGCACCAGGGCTACCTCATGCTAGAAATCAGCTGAAGTGTTTAATGCTTTCTGAACTGTTCTTTTATCTCCAGCCAGCGTCCACTTGCTTGCAGCCTGGCTGGCAGGGTATTTAATTTCCATGTGCTTTGCTGTGTCCCCTGTATTTCCAGAAGAGGTGAAAACCCAGTCACATGTGATCTGCAAGCATTTCCAAAGAGTAAGGCTTTGCTTTGCTCAATGGGCTGCTCCCCTCTGTGCAAATACAAGTCTTCAAGTGCAAAAAGCAACCATCTGAGAGGTGTCTGTGACTTTGTTATGCTTGATAGCTGTCATCTGAGTAAAGCTGCTGATTCCTCTGGCCCCTTAAAGCACTGGTGGCCAGAAGTAAGGTTGGAATGACTGTTTTACACTCACCTGGGGTGTTGTACATCCAGCAACAGCAGCTGTTGGGGCAAGACAATGATCAGATTGTCATAGAGTTGACCTCATGCAGCTCTTACATCCATAGTTGTCAGTCTATGTGTTCTCCAGAGCATCAGATGCCAGGATTTGGGTGAAGTAGGCTGTGGGCTATTGGTGCTGCAGCTGTGCCCACAGGATGCAATAGCCCAGAGGCAAAGGTTTGCTCTGCCTGACTCATGGTGTGTAAAGCCTACCATCAGGTGTGACCTGTGTCTGTGAAGTTTCCTGAGAAAGGAGGTACAGCAGGTACAGTACAGCAGGATTCCGTCAAGGCTTCTTCTGTGTAAAGTCCAGAGTGCAATAGCTAATAGGTAAATAAACGTCCTATAAAAAATCTCTTCCTTGAGTAAGAGTGTTGGCTCCCACCTCCTCCCACTGAGCTACCCTCTGGATGTTAAGCATTAAAATACAATTTATGCAGCAAGTGTCTGGAGTATACACGTGTATCACAGTTAGGCTTTTTTTGCTTGATTTTATTTTAAAATGTACTGACATTGGAGGGCTTTTAGAGAAATGAGGTAGATGAGAATTAATTTATTGTGGGTAGCTCTACACCCTGCTTCTCTACCCCTGTCAGTTTTATAAGCCTTTTCTGTTTAAAGTATCTTTCCAGTTGTCCAGTTAATTCTCAGTGGAAACATTCCTGTTTTGCTAACTAAGAACTTAAACTGTAGCTGGCCCTGGCCCCACAGATATCTGGGAAGAACATCTATCTGCAGTTGCAGAGTCACAAAGTTGCGGGATCTGCTGTCAAAACAGGACATGGCTTTCAAAATTAATCCTAAGAGTTTATCAGCTATCTAGTTGCTGCACTGTGCAATGTGTAACATCGAACAATAGGTTTCAATCAGCAATTCTACAGCAACTCGTTCCCTACTATTAAAAAGTTTGCAAAAGTAGCACTGTTTGGTCCCTCCTCGATGCTAGCTGCTCTCTGTAGGTCCGAGAAACTTAGGTAGCATGTGTTTCCCATAATATATCTCAAGCAAATCTAAGCTTAATTCTTAATTCTCCCTCACTGCTTGCTTGTCTACTGTTCTGTGGGGCATAGCAAAACTCCAGAATGATGATGGTAGAAGTGATTGGCTTTGGTCAGAGGTCTTGATTTGTGTTTCAGGCCGCTGTGAGTAATTGGGTCAGACCACAGAGCAGCAAAGGTTATGCAGACTTTCCCTTGGACACATTATGTCGTCTCAGTTCTTAGTCCTATTGCAGACTTTGACCCATTTTTTCATAACTTCCAAACATTTCTGTTTGCTCTGCATGGATACCACTGCATAAATAAGGAAATTCTGAAGACCCAAACCAAGAAACATTTCCGGCAGCTCAACTTCAAGAACAAAATGTTCTCTGTGTATTCAATACAGACTAGAATCGTTCCATTTCCCTGCTACCCATAAAAGCTGAAACATGCAGTAATTTGAATTGTCCCACTTAGTTAAAGGATCTGCATCCCAGGGGTATTTCCAGCTTCTGCTGTTGGGTGACTCCCAGCTCTACTGCCTGGGCTGGAGCCTGTGCTTGTTGTGTCGCCAGTGGAGTCCCAAAGGACAAGCCAGGGCAGTCGCTGCTGAGATCCTGTCTTGCTCCAAGGACCTCTTACAGCATTACACAGCCATCCGAATTACGTACCTGGAATGAGGCTCTAGTATGGATTCCCTCTAGTATGGTAGCGCTGCATACAAAATTCTGGGGGAGATGTTTTTAGCTGATGAACTTCAAATCCTTTAATAACAATAATGTTGCTCTGTGATGGAGGTAGGTTAACTATTGAAAATTCATGTGTTGCAGGACAGAATCAAAAGTCTGGTCACCACTTGTAAATGAAGAGGGGAAGACGCATCCTTATAAGATGAATCTGGCCTCCCAGCCCCAGGTAAGTAAGAGTATCTGCATGTTCCCGTTCCCGCTTACTCCTGGCTGGCTTTGGAGCAGTTTCTGGCCTGATCCTCCAAGGAGTCAAGCATGTGTCACTCCACTGGTCACACTGGGGACAGCGCGTGCCCCTTACCTCCCTTGGAAACCTGCAGAGACAGACAGACAGACATGGTCAGAGCTAGTCGGATACCTCGCCGCAGGTAAGCTGCTTGGGCTGGAGGTGGTGTCTCCTGCCATGTGCATGCTCACACCTGTCACAGGGCGCACAGAAGGCACTGTGGAGGTGTGGCTCAATAAATCATCACTACCGTTGCGAAGCCTGTTGATTTTCATAGATAAGAAAGGTCTCGAGAGGAGAGTAAAGTGATTTGCAATGTTTTCTGGTTTTGCTTCTCTTTTTTTTCCTCTTACTAATAGACTCTTATCAGCAGTCTAGCCCTGGAAAAAGTGGAAGAGAAATATACCAGCCTTCTATATTTTTATCTGTGTGGCAGATCTTGCAACTCCTTTCTAGGAGATTGGTTCTGTAAACTGTTGGTAGCCTTGCTTCATCGGTCTGCTGCCTCTGTCAAGTAAACGTAGTAATAACAGTGACCTGTGCAAGGGCATTGCCTGGGCTAGGCTCGGAAGATTACACTGCAGAAATCTACAGCTGTGCTAAAATCAAAGGCATTGCTCTGGATTTCACTGGGGTAATGACTTGGATTCTGGCCCTAGCACATTTCCCCTGTGAGTCTTTCTAGCAAAATGAGTAAAGAGAAAAATAGTTTGACTCTGCGATTAATTAAGTGCTAATATATCTGTTTGGGATGTAAAGGACCCGAACCTAAAGTAGCATGTGTGCAGCAATGCCCAGCTCAGACCTTGGCTTGGGATCGATCCATGCTCCTTTTCACACCAAGCTGCTGTGTTTTACTTGGCTTGAGAGCGTGGTGCTGCATTCTGCAGGTATTTCATGACTTAGCCAAGGCACAGTGCGAGACTGAGCTGCTTGGACTTAGGTTGGGCTGGGGCCCTGCAGTGACACTTGCCTGTGACACTGTTGAGCTGGGATCTGCTCTGTGTCTTCTGCTCCGAAGATGCTCTGCTGCAAACCTCGAGACTGTGGGGCCAACTCTTGCCAAAGGAGTGCAGAAGAGGCTCCCCTGCAAGGCTGCAGAGGGCTGTTGTTTAAACAGCATGTTTTGGGAAAGGTGGATAACCCACAGCCTTTGAAAATAACCTCATCTAGTGCTCTCATAAAAGGCAAAGATAGCTCAGTGCCCTGCTGGTGCTTCATCTTGGAACACAACAGAATTTGTCTTGGTGCTTTGTAAAACCCAGTGTTGGCTGGTGAATCTGACTGTGCAGCTGCTTTATGGCACAATTTCACTGCTCACTAAATCTCCCTGAAGCACTCTATTTTGAATAGTGTGTTTCTCTAGAACTCAGTGTTGAAGGGCTCCAAACTCCAACACACAGAGAAAATTCATGCTTCTGAAGTGCAACTCAAGCAATGCTACAGGGCAAAGGAAGAGGTGGTCCAGCCACAGTGTCTGTGCCTGTTGTCAGCTGAAGCAGAAACTTCACCTTGACCTGTAGAAATCAAAGTGAGAGCCTTCAGTGGCTTTCAGTATGTATATGTACTGCAGCCCTGCTTCTCCTGAGTGATCCTTGGATCAATGTTGGCAGAAATCAGGAAGAACTAGATGTAGAAATCACCTGATGCCTGGGTCTGAACAGAGATAAGGGCTGTAGCCCAAAAATCTAAAACTAGGCCACCAACCTGATAAGGACCTGAGTTCATTTCAATGTGCTCAGCAGAACTAAGTGAGAAAAAGCCCTGTAAAAGCATCCTCTCCTACAGCTTTGTGCAGGTCCTTACCATGGTGCGGGGCTGGATGGGACCCTGAGTACTGGGGGAGGCAGTGGATGTCCCTGCTTAGACCCCCCCAGCCTGGAGGGAGCTTCTTAGCAGCAGAGGATTCAGCAGGAGACCTCACCCTGGAGACCAAGACCCTAACCCAGGCATTAACCAGAATTTAGCTAAATCTTCACCCTTTCTCCCACCCTGGGGTACTATACATGCCAGGAGGAACTTAACTTGGCTCACGAAGCTGAGTTACCTGCTGCAAGGCACCTGCTGCTGCAGCCCCCTTGCCACCAGCCACCGCACCACCACCACCCCCCTTTTCCCCCAGTCCAGCCTAGGTCACTGGACAGACATCTGCCACTGGTCAAACATTACACACAGGCTATTTTAATCCTCTGATATCACCTCTTACTTTAACTCATTTACTCTGGCATGTTTAACCCTAATCAATAGTTCTTCTTTAGTCAGCTGTCCTTGGGGGCACTTCAGAGTGCTGGCTGCATGAGTCAGCCCTTGACTGCCTGGGGAAGCCTGCTGCAACTCTGGAAGAAACAAGGGTGTGAGGAACTAATCTTAACTCTTGTCTTTGGCTTGCAAGTCATGCTTTGCTTCCTAAAGTCCGAGTAAATGGCATCACAAAGATCAGATGGCACAGGATTCATCAATAGCCCTGGCTGCAGGGTGCATTCCTGTTAAACCCTAGCCTTAGCCCTACCCCTGGCTCGGCTCTGGCTGCTGTGTAGATACCCTGATGCTGCCAGCTTGCAAGTGTGACATGACTGCATCTGTGATACCCACCCTTAACTGAGGAACTTGGAGAGAAACTGACTGTAGCAAGATTCCTGTTACAAACCTTGTGTCTAAGCAGGGACCCCTGTTTTAGTCTGGCACTAGGAGCCACCTGTCGCCTGAAAATTAGGCTCTGAGCCCTTGTTACAGTTGATGCTAGGAGAGATTTACATGTATTTCCTGGTGTAAAAGCAACACTGGTGTCAAGCTCAAACCTGGTGTCAAGCTCCCATAGAACTCTTGCCTTTTTTCCCTTTATTTTGAAAACAAAGCCAGTTAAGTCATCTGTGGTGGCCTATGTGAGTGGTTCTTGCTGGTGTGTGGAGCATGGGGCTTTCCTTCACGTGGGCGTGGACTGGAGCAGAGGAATTTCGCAGTGTGAGCTGTTCGGCTCATGTCTCCAAACCACAAGCTGCCATTTACCCTTCCTGCTCCACAGTGCCTGAACATCCTAGTCTGCTGTGCCGAGGGAAAGTGGCATGAACACCACCAAGTGTTAAGGTGTGCTCTTTTGTGTTTTTTTTTTTAATGTACACCCGTTTCCTTTTTCAGTAGCTGAGTGCAGCAGGGAAGGTTTAGTGGCGAGGGCTGTCTGCTCGCAGCATGATGTCAGCGCAGCGTGCTGACTTCTGCCAGATCCGTGGTGAGCCCTTGGCCGCGTTTCTCTGGGGCTGCATCTTTGTAGCATGCCCAGAGCCCTCAGCCAGGCTTGCTGCAAAGCAGCAGCAGCGTGCAGAAGGTGCTGTGCCTCTATACCAGCATGGCAAACTGGTAGGAATTTCCCCACAAAGGTGCCGATCTCATTTCCCAACAGAGCTGTTAGAAGTTGTGAGTGGAGCTGACTCTTCGAAGGCAGTGCTGTCTGAGCTGTTTAGTTTTTTTTCTAGCTGCCTCGCCAGTGAAAACAACCCATGTGCTTTCCTTGGCAGCTGCCTTATACAGAGCACTTATTAATTCACTTACCAAAGAAAATAAGACATACTGAGTCCAAGTAGTTCATTTATGGCCTGATCCAGGGTCCTCTGAAGATGTTTCTCATAGTTTTCGCACACAGCCCTTTGCATGCAGAAACATCATCATATATGTAAATAGAGTTACTGCAGACTCAAAAAAAAAAAAAAAAAAAAAAAAAAGGGGGGGTTTAAAGCCTTTGCTGAAGAGATTAGGCTGCAATTATTCAAATAAGTTCCACACTTTCTTAAAATGAGGTTCTGTTTGATGTTGCTCCCAAAATTCACCATCTAAACTGAAACTTCTCACAGTATTTGTCCACCTTTTTTTCCTGTTCCCATTTTATTTGTGCAGTTAAATAACTTAAGTCTTTGCAAATGATCTTACAAAAGAAATTATTTTTTTTTTTGTCAAGAACTCTATGACTAAATAGACATTAAGATCTCTGTTTTCACACGTTTTACTATTTGAAATAGGCTTTTTGTTTACTGCTGTAGTCCTGTTAAGAGGCTGATACTTGGTGAAATGCTGCGTCTGTCTGTGGAAGTATTTTCCCTTACTTGGAATGCAACTTCAAGATGCTTCTAAGGGCCTTCGGAAAAAAAAAAAAAAAAAAAAAAAGACATTCCACAACCTCCCATGCATTCCCCAAAGTCCTGAATCCTAAGACTGACTTCATTGTCTGTGCTGATCTTTGCAAATGAAAGAGCTACAGCCTTATTATTGTTTCATTACCATTATCTTTATCTTTCTAAATTAATTTAAACTGAGGCAAGAGTGATGACAAAATCACATTTCATCAAAAGGTGCAGCAGCCTGTCAGTCGTGATGGCTCAGGGGCTGAACAAGCTTTGTTTTGGATGTGGCTATGGCTACATCAGGGGAAGGAAATGACGAGACTTCTTCGTATATTTACTCAATTATTTCACTTGCACTTCTCACCCACATCATGAGGGCGATCACTCAGTGTCATTTTCCCATCAAGAGCTTTTCCTTACCGTGGTGGGAAAGATTAAAATAATGTCTGCCTGTCCCTTCTGCTTAACTTTTTTTGATAAAAATGATTGAAGTGAGGGAGAACAACTTATTCTGGTGACTAAGGTGATTTCAGTTCTTGTGGCACTGGCCAGAGATGAGGATAACTTGGAACTGCCACACTCCGGTAACCTGGCCTGGGCATTAAGCTCCAGAGCCACGGGCTGCTGTGCGTGGCTGTGTTGCCCGTTGGTAAAATGAACCATAAAACTTGTTATCCCTCAGGCTGTGCCAGATTCGGGCTCTCCGGGAGAAGATTTGTCTTTTTCCTGTGTTTGTACGACACTGAGGTCAATGGGGCCGAGGTCTCTGTTTGCTCTGGGTGAGCTCATGTAGGAAGTGAGCCGAGAGAAACCAGTTTTGAGGGTGGT